CCACCATCGATTCAAGACTACAAGGCTGAGTACCTTCGGTCGGGGGTACAGGGTACTTAGATAGAGAGCGGCGACTTGGCCAGTCACCGCCGCGATGCTACGTACGATCGTGGGAGAGAGGAACGGATAGCGCCTAAGTTTACAGTTTGATCAACATGACGGTGACGATGCGGATTTGTCCTCTATTGAGTTCGGGCGAATAATGAACTCACCGGGGGGTTGAGACTGAAGGTTGATAGGTAAACTCTTTTAGCCCCAGGTACTGACGACTTGGTCCGGACCGATGGACACGAATCATCGATCGCAAGACCGGTGGAGATGCTCCAGTTGGATGAATTCATGAGCCAGTCTCGCCGACGGTTGGAGCCTTGGATTTGCCTGAGCGATGGGAAGTTGACTGTAGGATTCTGTTTCATCGAGTGGTCATCGGTCGGCACTCCCGGACTTGTCCCCTCCAGACAGACTATACATACGAGGAAAAGGGGAAAAGATATGAGTCTATCTACGAGACAATGTACCTGATACCGCGATATCGCGAGATTGGAGGTATCCCAGGGAGACAGAAATGAGAGGATGGACACACCGAATCATTACCGCTCGTACGCGCCGGTATGAACCCCGTATCAGGAACCCAGCGCTTAGCAATCGCCAGAGTAGGAGGCGGGCACAAGATGGGCTGGCTGCGAGGGCCCCTTCCAAGGGTTTGAACATTTTCGAGAACCCAAATCCAATTCCAATCCGGGTGAATGGGCTTCTTTCGTGATGTTTCTCGGTAAGGCTGGCTAAACTGGCCCCAAAAGAAGTTCTCGGCCCAGGTCTGTCTGGAACAGTGCCATGGTCGTCTGGATCAAGGGTCCTTCTTGGACAGTTCATAAAACGGAGGAGGCCCGTCCAAGAGATGGTGAGGCACCAGGCACTGCGGCCAGTGGGGCACCGCAGAGGGAGGGGATCGATCGGCTACTTTTTCCCGGTGCCAGGGCTGCCCGTCAACTGGACGGATTACTGTTTGATGAATCATGAATCGTTCTTGCCCGGCTGCGTCCAGGTGCTGACCAGAAATCCTCCGCGGATGGACCACGGGCGGCGACTCGCGGTGACGTTAACCACTCAATGCTCCCTCGCCCCTTTGTCTGGTAAGTTTGACCGGTGACAAGAACCCCAGCCCAGATCTACTCTCTTTGCCTTTGGTCTGTCCACCATCCAGACTTCCGTCCGTGAGTTTGGAGGAAAAGAAGGCCTGAGCCAAATGTCGCGGTGTAGAGTGTGCCATGTCTCGTGGCGTGGCACAGAGCGGCGTTACCGGCCAGTCCGGGGGTTCGAGAGGGGAAGAAGGAAGAAAATGAAACGGGGAAAGTGACTAACTGCCTAGAGACACACTGACTGACTGACTGACTAGACACCGTATAGATTAAACGGATTAAAGGTACATGAAGATCCACCCTTCTGTCAGAGTGGGCGGTATATTGTGAGATCTAGGCTGCAATGCTGCAGGAGAGGGGAGGCACAGGGTGCGACGACTGCGTAAGCCGGCCAACGCCTGACCGGATTATTAAACGGCCCAAAGACAGCAAGCAGGATTCAGCATGGAATACGAACGGAATGTCGCACAATGGGTTCCGGGGCTTCCACACCTGCAGTTGAGGTAGAATTCTCCGGGCCGAACGCTGCAGTACCTTACATCGGCCTCGTCACAAATTCATGTTCTTGCCGGTATACTGCTGAGTAGTCCGTCGAGACGTCTGAGTGCCATCTCAATCAACTGCACACTCTATTTGAGACGCTCATCCCGTTTCATTACCCCCCACCAAGGACGATTAGCAGTATCGTCATAACAATGTCGATGTTATAATAGCAGTGATATACGTCAGGCCCGAACTAACTGGCTTGAAGCTTGTTCCTGATTAACGAAGAGCACAGCATTAACCCCCCAGCAGGATCCATCATGGCCGCGTTCAGGACATTGATAAGGTTCCTCCTTGAACTCAAGACTCCGGTGGACAATAGTGATTCAGTTCAATTAGACTCTGGGGAAAACCTGGAGCAAAGTCAAAGTAGGACACCCAGCTGCTGCACGCATCTCCTAGCCAACCTATCTAGCAACTGCAAACGGCACGGGAAGCTATGGAAGCTTCTTCATCGCGTCTATGACCTTTGGTTGATGCGGGACAAAGAGGAGTCCATCTGGGGGTGCACGCGGACAGTTAACGCCACATGCTAGAGTGATGATGTGCTCCCCGGTATGGAGATTGGAGAAGAAACAGCGCACCGGTTGACAGCAGCTTTCCCTGGAATCCCCATGCGCGGGGATCCTTAGCCTGAAGCATGGAAGAGATAACCCAAGTAGGGGAAGCACCGTGCTTATAGGACGTCGGAGTATAGGCCTGCGAGCCTCGCGAATTTACTTTACCGTGATGAGTAAAGATGTGAACAATGCATTAGTCTCCCGCACTGGCCTTATTGATGGGATCGTGGGGGGTTTTACTACAGTGTATCCTTCTCTCTAGCCCAGACTGGCAGCCAATTTCCGGCTGTTTTTGGAAATCCGCAAGTTCAGCAGACAGACTGTACATCCCAGGCCGTGCTATACAACGACAAATGTCATATGTCAGTATGAAGCAACCCGACAGCTATCCGATCCCACTCGGAAGGTAGCGGCAATAACTTAGTTCTAGGCACTTAATTCGTCACCTTCCTCAGCCCTTCAAATTCCCAGCAGGATGAAATAGAACTAGCACCTCAACCCAAGTCCGATCTCGCCATCATTCCCAGGGTCGAAAGCGAGGAGGGGGTGGAAACGCTCGTCTCGTAAAAAAAGGCGGGTAAGTTAGTTCCCCCCTCTAGCACTGCAGAGATCCGGTCTGGGTGATCGACGTGGCACTGCCAGCCTAGCAATCCACCAATGAACAGGTCCAAGAGCAGGTAAGGCACAGGAGCACGGGCGAACGCACAGGTAAAGGTACCACGCCTCCCCGACCAGCAAGCCAAGCCCATTAATCATTGCACCACCATCTTTCTCCTCTGCTTTGCCCCTCATTTTCCTAGAACCTGATAAGCCCACCGGTACACGCGCGCGCCACTGAGGGGCAAAAAAGAGAGTCAATCAGGTTTAGTTTCCCCCTTTCGTGCCAAGATCATCCGAGTGGCCACAATGCCCATCAAGGGGAAGGGGAGGGGGTGGAGGAGTGAGAAAGTGAGGATTGTTGCTAAATGCTGAAGAGGGGGGGAAGGTCCGGTAAGACAGGTTCAGTGATGATGATAATGATGACAGGTGACACGGGTCTGTCCCATCCCTGTTGTATCTGAAACATCGATATCGGCGCTGACGGGAACTGCCTGTGCATCCATCCATCCCTCCCTCGCCTCTAATCGATTTATTATTATCTATTATGTCCTTTATTTCTTTCCTTTCCCCTCCTTCCGTCGGGTTCTTATCAATGGGAAAGCGGGGTTTTGATAAGTAAATGTGCAGTCTAAGTGGGATGGCTTCGGGGCTAAAGAGAAGAGGGGAGGATAGAGAGAGGGAAAAAGAAGGGCGCGTGCACGGATGTGTGTGTGCTATCTGGACTAGCTGACTGGCTGACAGGACTAGTAGTGGTTTCGATTCTCTTAGTCTGCCTGTGCTACCCGCTGAGAGATGGAGTACAAAGCAGGTACCTGCGTTGCAAGAGGGGGTGTACCTGGTAAGGTATTGTTAAGGTATATACTACTTTATTGTTCTTTGAACATATACTCTCCCCCGGATAATAGTCACAGTAGTAGTAACCCACCTTCCGATATACTTGACAACTATACACAGCTAAAAAGGTGACAGCAAAAATAAAAATACAAGAAAATAAGAATAGCAACAAGTTTCCCACATAAACGCTTACGTAGAAGACCATCAGATCACGGCGGGTCCTGATCCAAAATGCTGACGTCTTACATTATGTGATTCTTTTCTCCGGCGGCAAAACACTTCCCTCCCTATACAGCACACTAACAGAGTACATCCATTATAGCGCAGGTAAGTACAACTACTTACCTTTCTTCCTTTTATCCGTCCTCCATAAGTCCATATGTATAGCTGCTTTACCCTTTCCGCCGAAGATATCTTAACGTCTCCTCTCCCGAACACATAAAACATACAGGCTAATATTAGCACATTATGTATCACTAGTAGTAACCAACAGACCAGATCTTATACCGAACCTCAAACCCAAACCCAAACCTAACCTTAGTAGTTAGATAATACATATAGCATGTATGACTCGTATACATTTACCCAGCTAACCAACCAACCAACAATCCTACCTTATCGATAACCCAGTACACAACTACTACTTTGTACTAGTAGTAAGTACTATCTTGTAGTCAGTGCGTATCTAGGCACACATACATACATACACACATGCTTACGTAGTGGCAAAAAGCAAAACCCTCTCTAAAGGTAGTATATATTAGTAAGAAAACCCTAAACCGTGACAAAATATCCTCCGATTAACTGAAGTCCATCAATTACCAAATAACCAAATCAATCAAGACATACGTATGCTTGCTTAGTAGTAGTAAGTAAGTAAGTGAGTAGGCTGCTCAATAAAAAGGAAATAAAGAAGAGAAGAGAGGTGAGAAAGCTAAATAAGTGAGGCGAGATAAATATGATTGGTTCAGGATGGATGTTGCACAGTGAGTAATACTACCCTCATGCTTACTATTTTGTTTTGAAGATGGAATGGGGGCAGAAAGGATAAGGCAAGCCAGGGGGGGATGGGGCGCAGGTAGGTTGGTGTCAGCTGATGGTTATGATGCATGTATGCATGTATGTATGTGTATGTGTATGTGTATGCGTATGTGTGTTTGTAGTGCAGTGGTCAGTGTGTACCTGATGGATATGTACTGTGTCTTTCTATTTTCACATGGGAAATGGGTCTGTTGTACTACTTCTTGTTTCTTGCTTGCTTTGACTGTGTGCCTGAGGCGACTTGATGTCTGCGCATGCATATGTGTTCGATGTGGATGTCGCAGGGGTATATTATGGCGTCAATTGTATTTAGTTGGTGGCTATTTAGTATGATACATGTTGCTCCATCTCATTCACGCCTGTCTATCCAGTACATTGGCAATAGAACTGACCATAACGGCTGCTTCCCGTTCCCAGCTCCTCTCCAATCCTGAGTCGACCCCCAGTCGCTTCTCAGTCCCGAGAATTGACGAGGGGAGCTGCGAGCCCCGCAGAACGCAGTCCTTGACTTCCTTCTTGATACGGTCCCGGTTGGAGCGCAGTGTCCGGGCGGAGACACCACCGCGGTTGATAATTTCCTGCACACGAGCCGCGAGGTATGATGCGAGTGATCGCCAGAAGTAGGATGGGAGGGAAGACGTGTCGAGAGCGTTGAGGAGCGGTTGCAACAGGTTGTTCTTGCCGCTGGCTTGGATTTGCGGTTCCGGCTGTTCCCCGTTGCGGGTGCCAGCTGCAGCTGCAGGTGCTGTTGGGGGGAAGAGTGGATGCGACGGTGGCCGCAGGTTGCTGAGAATAGCTTCCAGGGCAAAGATATCCTGGCAGCGTGCAGACAGGTCGGAGAGAGTGCGCTCGAGAGTGGGCAACATAGACAGCGCCCGGGTGAGGTTACTCAGGGACGAGGAGATAGCCGTTTGCATGTATCCTTGCAGGGTTGAGAGGAGCAAGTCTGGCTGGAAGGTTGCTGCGGAGGTGACATTCTTGGGGACCGGCGATAATAGATACAAGATGTTGACGGCAGAGACGAGGCGTGCTCTGGCATCGCGCGCCTGTTTGTAGCTCATTTGTGACTGGGAGCCCGAGCCTGCGCTTGCAATAGTCGACATGGTAAATCGGCCGATGGCTTGCTGTGCTCTCGTCTTGACCATGTTCTCGGCGGGGATGACAAGCTCACTGCGCAGTGTTCGGATGACCTTGACGCGGTCTAGTCCATGGCCTTCCTCGCCTACTGCCGTCTCAGAGAACATTCGACGTAGACTTACAATCGTGGAGGCGGCCCGTTCCAGCGTCCGGTAGTCATCCTTTGCAGGCGCCGTGGCATCAAGGCCTCCGATCTCTGCGAGCTGGCTCTCCAGCTGTCTGCCTAGTGAAAGACAGCGTGCAACCGCTCGTGCGAGTCGTACAGTGGCCAACGACTTCTCTGCAGCCACCCTGGCCTCGTCGGCAGCTTCCCATTTGCGGAGAACTTCCCTTTCCAGCCGCTCATATCCCTGCGTTACCGAAGCAATCTGCTCTTCGGCTTCTTTGAGGATACGGCCCGCTGCGGCGGTCTGGTCGCGCGTGTGCGTCAGTAGGGGGAGGGCAGACTTAGTGGTCAGCGCATGGATGTGGGTGTCGATCTCCTGAAGATCGAATAACACCCGTGAAAGCGGGGTTGAAAGGTCCAGCGGTGTGTCTGTTGCATTGTTGGTGGCTACAACCAAGATATTGGCAAACGAGGCGGGTGAGAATTCCGGGTCTAGGAAGGCCTCGTAGTCTATGTATGAGGGTTCACCGTCCGCCATGGCTTGTGGCGGCTGATTGGGAGACAATCAGGGGAGCAAACAGGCCAAAAAAAAAAAGGAGGGAGGAAAGAAAGAAGCAGCGAAATTAGAGAATATGGAACTGAAACTCAAAAAAAAAGAGAGGCTTGGGTATCACCGTATCGAACAAAGCAGATGGATTACAGGCCAGCCGTGTGGTTTACCCCAGGTGGCTGCTTGACCGCAGGACAATCAAAGCTTAATGTGGCAGAGACTCCCATGTGATAGAGAGGACGGAATGGTGGATGCTGCTCCAACTAGCCATCGTTCAGCTCAAATGCTCGTGAAGACAAGCAGCAGCAGTTGTTGTTCGGGATGCCATGTGTCGCCTAGTGCATTAGTCAGCTGGCATAAGATGGTGTATATTTCCAGGCACATTCTGCCAGGTCAGTCTATTCTGACATGGTTTACAACACATTGCATTCAGATTGGATGCTCGAATATTAGCCGATGACAACTTCATCGTCTATTGACTGATATTCTCCTACCACATTCCATCTCCTCGTCTGATGACCCGTATCCCGCCAATATATACTTGGTTACGTTTGTGTCTCCTCAGGTGGTCGATAAACTTATGTTCCATCAATCTTAGCTGTATTTGCTCTTTAGACCCATAGTAGACCCACATAATACACACGAGTCAATCACTACATGTCAACGAAATGTCAGTAACACTCACATGGCCATACAACGACCTCGCTGTTTTCGTGATAATAATTTTCTGGACTATGTAGCATTAAGCAGCAGCCCAATTCATCAATCAAGGCAAGATGGCCGAGTTGGTCCAAGGCGTCAGGTTAAGGTCCACCTTAATACCCAGCTTCACAGCTTCCTGATCATCGTAAGATGGCGTGGGTTCGAATCCCACTCTTGTCATATCTTTTTGCATTTTCTCTTACCCTTGCGGGTAGCGAGGATTCATCTTCTGTTTTTGCCTTACTCTCCTTGATTCACTTCTACTGTGCCTTATCTACCGACCCGTTCAGTCCCCCTTTCACTTCTATTAGGGTAGGGTGACACGGGTAAGCATGTACTATAAGTTAGAAAATCGGCGAGAGGGATATTTCATACTCAAAGCAGCAGAGACAGCAATTATATAGAAGAATGCGAACTATGGACACTTTTGCTAGCAGATAACTCGTTCCTTATTGCAGGACCCTTCCGTTAGTCTCTTCAACGATCAACTCGTACTCGGGCTGGAATTCGGTATAGAAGTTGTGCTGTATACGGTCAACCATCCACCCATTTATCACAATTGAGAAGGGTAACTCACATGATTCTGCGCAACATCAGCAGTATACTTCGCTACCTCATTCGAGATGATTCTCTTCGGAACACCATTCGCGGCCGCAGCTTCAGCCAGCAACTGTGTGTGGCAGGCATTGTCCAAGGAGAAGTAGAGGAAGGCCGCCTCGTCGACAGTTCGGCCCACGGTGAGAAGACTATTCTCTTCCGTTAGTACATGATATACTTGATATCATATTATGCATCGGACTCACCCATGGTTCTGCAAAATGCAAGCAATGTTGTCCTTGCCTAGGGCACGGGCAATCTGCTCTCCCTCCTCCTGCGCAAGGGCAATGCCGCCGTGGTCTTCATAGACACCGACCTTTCCGTAGAGGTTGCATGCATCTATACATACCAGATTAGACAATCAGTCCATATCCCTGTTAGGCAACCGGTATTTCTACTAACCCTGAGTAAGCATCTCAATCGGCTTCCCAAACGCACTCCACGTCTTCCCATAAATTGAATGCGTATGCGCCGCAGCAATAACATCCGGCCGGGCCTTGTGAATCTCCGAGTGGATCATGAATCCGGCCTCGTTGATAGGTAGCTGAGCACCGCCCTCGGTGACATATCCCTCTGCGTCAACAAGGACGAGATCCGATGCCTTGATGGTGGAGAAGTGCTTGGCGAAGGGGTTCATCCAGAAGTGGTCCTTTAGAATAGGGTCTGCAGCATATTCCGTCAATAACTGTTGAGCCGAAATCCAGCGATTACATTGTGTTATGAAGAAATGCTCACTCACCTCTCATAGAAATATGCCCCGACACACCCTCCCCATATCCTTTCTTGCCAAAGAACCGGAATGCAGCAGCCATATGCTCCTTCATCCACTGCCGCTTAGCAGCAGGGTCACTAAAGGTCGGAATACCTCGTAGCTTGAGCGTTCCGGCACGGTTTCCCCGTGCGACGGACTGGAAGTCCTTGTCGTTGGCGGCATCTTCGATGTGGGTTTTGCTGGTGGTGTTGTTGTTGTCGGCCGCTACGACGACGGGGACGGGGTTAGTGGTGGTTTCGGTGACGGTAGCGGACATGGTTACTACCAGCAGTATAGCTTTGTTCTCTCTGGTCTTTGATTTAATTGCTGAAAGAAGATGTCCTGGGGAGGAGAGGGGAAGATGAGTTGGCGGAGACAAAAGTATAAATAAATGTTGTATGAGGGGCACACTAAGTATCTACAGTCTTCATCCTTCAGGCTTATCGCAGCCCCGGAATTGCATGTCAAGTAAGGTGATAGGCGCACTGCGCCGAAGTGACGGGGGCTCTGATAGCTTGATAAGAGCTGTGCCCCGGGCCGGGGTCACCGTGCGCCTTCCGGGGACATGTTCCATCCAAGTTGTTATAGTGCATTTATCCGGATGCTAGTACCCGGATGAATATCACTCTTTTCTTGTAGGTGTAAAGTATAATAGCCAGGTGTTTAGTGGCCTTTATTAGAGGCTGGAAGTCTGTGATGTTCGTCTTATGCGGTTTTGGGGTGTGAATTCATTGCCCTTTGCATGTTGCAAGCAATTCATTCAACCACGGCACTGTATGTTGCTTAGATTAGAAGTTTGAATATTTAACAGACTACTACTAGGTACAGTGATGTGACCAGTGCATGATTAGACCAGTAGCGCTATGATGAAAGTGGGACAGTCTGCTGACCTTCAACGAAATGGATACTAACTCCGGTTAGATGTGTTGCTTAGCAAGATTTGCTAAGTACTACTGGTTCACTTTCAAGATTGGCAGTTTATACTTTCCACATAGATATGTTCATCGTTTATAGATATATATGTTCCTTTCTATGACTTTTAAAATACGTCGTCTGTGATCACTTCTGTTGTAGGATAATTAATTAATTGTTTACCTGTATCGATAACTGTTAGGAACAATGGAAAACGTTCATAGACTCTTTTTGACTATAATCTATGGTCCTTGTTCTAATGCCGCGCTATGTACTAAAGTAGTACATCTGGATATAGACGCCAGTGCCTTCTAAGTCCTTTTGATCGCCACAGCAGGATGAATATATATTTCACAAAGTAAGAATTCAAAATCAACACATCAAGGATCACAATATGAAAAGAAGTAATTGGCATCAATCCAATCCAACAACGCCACCAATGCAGGTACCAGCCAGCTAGGGTATACATGAGAAAGGAATAAGAGCAAACGTGAAAAAGACCATAACCACATCCAGTGATAGTCTCACGTACTCAAGGTCAATAAAGGAGATCATAGGGTGATAAGGTCATGACATAGAAAAGGGAAAAAGAAGGGAAAAAAAAAGAAATCTATACTGCCGCGTCACCCTTCATTTCCACCATCTCATACTCATCCCCGCCACTGCTACTATCGCGCAAGCCTCGTCCCCTTCCTCTACCCCTCGACAGTGAGAATGACTCCTCACCGCCAGCACCGCTCTGCGCCTCACCACCGCCTGAAGCTCCAGCAGATATACCACCACCACTGCTGCTACCTCCGCCAATACCACCAAAACTGATAGGCTGCAGTTCCCGCCAACGACAGGCCCAAATGCCCAAGAATGTCATGAACGCGGCACTCGCACCCTGCAGGCCCCACCAGAGCCAATTCGCGGGCACGGAATGCGTGTACAAGGTTGTAGCGATGAGGTGGAGGAAGTGTAGGGTTAGGGCGAAGTCGGGGATAAGCTTGGACCGAGCGACGAGAAGAAGGAGGAATATAACCCTTTAATGTAGACTTCTTGTTAGAATTTGTGCCTTGGCCGTGAAAATGGAAGCTAAAGAACTTACCCAATCCCACTAGTCAACAACCACACCAAGCCAAGCATCCATCCAATGGTAGTATCGCCGCGGAGGGCATTCCAACTGAAGACAAGGTCGAGGGAGAAGGGCGTGCCGTAGACGACCGTTGTAAAGAGGATGAGAGCCGTGGCGGTGACATAGTAGGCGACTTGAAGGAGGAGGATCTTCCGGACAATCTTCAGTGGTGGAAGGTCAGTTCGAGAGCCCGCTCGAGGGGCCCGGCGGCGTGGGGGCATGAATTGTGTATTTTAATGTGAATAGGCGATTAGATTAGGTTGGATGTGTTGGAGGGCCCCCGAACTGCGGTGGTCGGGGAGTGTGCAGTGTGCTTGACCGCAAACTTATCGAACTGGATGGGTGTTTTGCGAGACGTCAGGTCTGGTTAAAGCGTCCCTGAATAACGCCGATCCGGAAGGAAATATTCCAGGGCAAAACTCCTCAGGTTGTATGACGTGGTGCTGCAGAGCTGATTGATCGATAAATATCCAGAGCGCCGTTCGGCGATGTTGGAGCCAACTTGACCGGACGGGTTAGCGCCACATGACCGGCGTCCGCGGCGGCGGAGCGGAGCAACCAATGCATCATCTCAATTATTGTCGTTGAATATCCGGACAATCTAGAATCCACATCCTACTCCTCACACACTCTCTACACAACCACATACATTCAACCACAATGGGCTGGCTTCCCTGGTCCTCCGACTCTTCTAACACCGCCTCCGACGGTGGCCGCATAGCTCCCGATCGAACCTCCCGCCAACGATGCTACGAGGGCCGCGACATGTTCTTTTCCTGCCTCGACCGGAATGATATCTTAGATGCAATCAAGGATGACAAGGAGGCGCGTCGGAAGTGTGGAAAGGAGATTGCAGAGTTTGAGACGGCTTGCTCGAGGGCGTGGGTATGTGTTTCTTGCCTTGTTCATTGCGAGCTTTGGTTTTCGCTTATTGCTGGGGCTCGCTGCGGCATGAGATAAGAATTTCCTGATTGTTTCATCTCTTGGTTTTGAAGTTTGAAGCTAATCGTGTACTGTGGATTGACAGGTCAAATATTTCAAGGAGAAGCGCGTGATGGAGTATAACCGGGACAAGACAATTGAGCGGATTAAGAAGGAAGATGCGGCCCAGGTTCAAGAATTGAAAGCACAGGGGTGGAACTCCCGGTAAAGAGGACGGAAAAAAAATTGGATAACTGAGGTGATATATTGTGATCGGGGAAGTGATGGTGCCCATTGAGGGCTTTCTACCTGTACGATATTGATGTACGCTTACCAGGCTTCTAATGACTGCCGGACCGCATGCTACTAGATATTCTCCACTATAGGCTGGAACTGTGGCTTATTAGAATTACGGTGTGCTTGCATTGTGTCCGCCATGCTAGTCACAATATGCCTAGGGTCTCACAAGAATCCGTGGATAAGAATAGATACAAAAGCTCCGCAAAGAATCCCAACATCGCTGATCGATGTCTAATTCCATACATCAAAACCAACCGAACCATTGCACCCCTATAACGTGTATTCGCTGATTCGACCGAGTGCGCAAGAAAAATCAACCCAACAACCGAACCTTCATAACCTTTATCAGCGGTAACGCTCCATATCCGATTCTCAATCGATCAATCAGTCAACGCCCGACTCCTTAAATGTCGCCAACGACTGCGAAGCCAGAGAGAAAGAGGAAGAGAGGAAAGAGAAAAGAGAGAGTAAACAAGGAATGTCATCAATCATTGCTTCCATTTGCCCAGTTGGTTCATGATGTTCTGCACCTGGGGACCAACGGCTGCCTGGTTTTGAGGCTGCTGGCCTCCGAGTCCCTTGGCAAGCAACGAAATTAAGTTGGGATCGGATACCAAAGGAGCATTGGGCGCCTGCAGAGGAAAGGGCTGTGGAGGCAGTGGCTGTTGCGGGTTAGCAGCAACAGGCTGGCGAGTGGCAGCGTTCAGCAGGCTAGCGAGGTCTGCTGCGCCATGCGGCGTGCTGGCACTAGGAAACGGCTGCTGCGCCGTTGGCACAGCGGGCGGCCGTTGCTGGAGCACTCCCAACAGCGACTGTAGCGTGGGCGCGTCAAGGGAGGTAATCAGGTTGGCAATATTGGGCTGATTGGCGACGGTGGGCAGCGGTGCCTGAGGAGGCACTGTTGCGGCCGGAGCAGGAAGCGGGGGAATCCCAAATGCCGGGTTCGGAGGGAAAGGCGCCGGGGGAGCGCCACGCTGCATCGACTGGGCATGGAACACAATCTCGGCGGCGATACTGGGCTCGACATCAGGGTACTCTGGTAGAGACACCGTCAGCGAACCACAATCCATGCAGGCTTACTGGGGATACTGGCGACTCACCGTTGGAGCGAACGTTGTCTGGCCCTCCGCTTCGGTCAAACACCTGCAGGGGGATTTTCCTAGAGAACTGACTCGGGCGTGAAAGCCTCACTACCGCAAGGACGCCCTCCTGGATCTGTCGTTGAACAGCAGCGTTCAGGGGGATTCGGGGTCCAAGGACAAGCACATCCACCCGGAGACCCCGGTTACGGAAAGAGTTCTCCACAAAGAAAATGAAGTTGCTGATCACGGCGTTATTAGACATTGCATGGATAATCCACAGAGAAGCGGAACAAGACAAGAACCACTCACCGATCCAATTCCTCGAGCACAAGGATCTGCACTTCCGGTACGTCTCTCGGAGCTCGCCGAGGAACGGGCAGGTCTGCATCGCTTTCGTAAGACCCACGACCCCGTGGGCTTGGGCTGCGATACCTGCGATCCCTCGTGTATGGTGACCGAGAACGCCGCCTTTCACGTCGATCGTACCGCTCTGGAGTCCTATCTCGAGACCGGTACCCATCCCTAGCGCGGAAAGCACGAGGAGACGGCGAGCGAGGCGGAGGGGGTGGTCGATAGTCGTCACGTCTACGGTGGCCGGGCTCATCCCTAAAATCGCTGAATGGCACGCGCCCCGATTCGTACGGACGATCGTAACGATCAGCCGGGGCTCTCGTACTGCGGCTTCCGGAAGGACCACTCCGGCTGAATTCTGGAGACCTCGAGCGCCTGGGAGGAGCGCGAGAAGGTTCTGCCGGGGCGGCCCCGGGTCTTGTACTCCTCTGTGGCTTCGAGATTTCAAGATCTGGTGCAACACAGATGAGTCTCAAGTGAGGACATCCATTGTCGAGTGGGTATACTTACGGACTTTGCGTCCTCTAACAACGGCTCCTTGCTCAGCGTCGAGAGCCTGTTTACAGGCAGACGATTCAAGAAACTGGATAAATCCATAGGCTTGCTTAATGGATATCTGAGCCAACTTTCCAAATTTGTGGAAGATGTGGAATAAGTCACGCTTCGTCACTCTTTCGGTGGGCAGATTACCTGCACCTCGGTCAGATCACTGTCTAAACCCTTGTCTCCATACGCAGCAAGAAGTACTAACCGACAAACAATCTAGAACCCGGCGGAAACCGGTCCCAAAGACCTTCAGTTACGTAGATCCTTTCATCATGCAGAAACTCATCGTACTTCTTCTGCACCTCGGGGCCCCATGGTGTGTCTTCATCGGAACCCTTGTTCTGCCGGGCCACTACCCGTTCACTCCCAGCCTTTCTGTTATTCACTGGTCCTGGGGAACCCTGAGACTCGGAAGTAGTAGATGTAGACTGTTGGAAACTCGGCACGGGGGGAGGGGGCAAAGCGCTGGCACCCGAGGACGTCCCCGGTGCGCCAGCCGCAGCCAATGATGGGAGGCCCAGATTGGACTGATAATTACTCTGCTGGGCGGTGTAGGTGGAGGAGGGGGAGGATTGTGCATTCGAAGTATTAGGGGGGAGCTGGTGATATGACCGGATGTCATCACTGGCATTGTAGTTGGGATGGATAGAGGGCTTCTCCTGGGGAGGGGGGCGAGGGGGGAGTCCCAGGGAAGATTGGAGCGCCTCGTCATCCGTTCCTGCCTGGGGAAGGGCAGAAACGTCTGCTGACAAAGGCGCCGTCTCTGAGACCGCAGGGGCAGAGGGCGCAGTGGAAGAAGGGGGTAGATTATCGAGGAGGTTCTGGAAATCGACACCATCCTCACCAGTGTTATCATCAGCTTTGCTCTGGGGCTCTAGGCGAGTTTGCGGCGCGGGCTGGGCGGTCCAGCTGGCGACTGCGTGGTCTACCTCGCTCGCACTGGGGGTGTCTTGAGCGGCATGGGAGGAAGAGGGAGGGACTTCGGGGGGAGGAGGAGCTAGGAGGGAGGCGGGATCTGATGGAGGAAGAGTGGTTAGAGAAGAGTTTGTTGGAGTGTCCTGGGCCGCAGAGGAGGTACCAGCGGCCATGGGAGGCGCGGGTTGGTCTGATGCAAAGGACGCCTGGGCAGTAGTAGCCGTAGCAGACAGTGCGTTGGCAATCTTGTTCATCGATCCATCCTCCACCTGCGACGAGTCCGAGTGGAAGCTACCTTGAGTGTTTGGTGGTTGGCGCGGTGGTGGTTGCTCCGGCACTTGCACGGAGCCAGTAGTTCCCCTCACTTCGCCGGGCCCTGCATATTGGCCACGAAATGAGGTGGAATCATTGGGATGCGCCTGGGAACTATTGCCAAGGAAGGCCTCGGACTTCTCATAAGTCGACGTGTCGTTAAAAACAGGGTCCATTTGATTCTGAAGCACCGGGATCCTGGCAGGTTCCGCGACGTGTAGCGGACGAGGGCTCTCGGGAGTCAGGGTCTTGCCGCGAAAGTGAAGAGCTTCATCTGGGGAGCTGGGCGTCATGTAGACCAGGGGGGAGAGATCGATTCATCTACAAGAGCACACAAGAAGGTCCGACAAGAACCACACGGAGATGGGGTTTTTGGAAAATCGACAAAGCTAAGGTGGGGCTATCTTGCAAAATGAACCGGGCCGTTGGAGCCGGGGCGGTAAAAGGGATAGCAGCAACCCAGAGGGAAGAAGTAAAAGAGAGAGGGGCGGGCTTCTTTTTTCCTTTCTTGTCTTCTGATGGTGTGGATGGGTTGAGGGTAAGAGACGGATGGCGCGAGAGAGAGAGAAGTAAAAAAAAAAAGACAAGCCACACACACGCGGTCTCTGACACTCACACCCCTGGATCCTGTCCGAGGATAACAAGAGAGCCAGTAAGTGAGGCTTTTTTCTGTGAAGGGAGGCGGGGGAGGGAGAAAGCGCGTAAATAACAAAGCGATAAGCGCAACGGAGAAATGGATGGAGTAAACAGTATAAAAGACAAACAGAAAGGAAAAAGAAATAATAGTACAAGGTTAGGTGAGCAAAAGGGGAGAAAAATCAGGAACAAGCCGTTATAGAAAGCTCTAGCAAGATGGAGTCACGGAACAACAAGGAAAGGCGATGAGGAAGTGAGAGGATGAGGAGGAGCGCGTATTATTTCATCAATACCCAATGACAATTGCCAGAAAATGGACACAACGAGGGACAAGCGATCAGCAGACGCAAGATTGCGATGGAGGAGCTAAAAATGGTAAATGGAGCAGGGAAGAAACAATTCCTTATCCACCAGATGAATGATGGATGGCTGGACTGCTTTTTCGCGCTTCACACAGTCAATCTGTGGTGGAGGGGGGGAAGAAAGAAGAAAGAGGAAAGGGTAGTGAGAATAGTGAGAAGATTCGAGCTCCGCGGCGTAACTTGAAAGTTACGGAAAGGTCAAAGTTTGCGCAAGTCAGTACCGGCACCATACCTGATCGGGGTGTTTTAGTGCTTCAGCAGGTCCAGCCATGCGGTGTGACTGGCTGGATCGGACCCCAGCGGCGGGTCATGGCGCACCTGGATTTTTTTCTCTTCTGGAACTGGCCGTAATTGGCATCGGTATCAATTAGTCAAGCCCGACTACTTTTGTACGAACTAGTCAAGTAGACTACACAGTAAACCAAATAACGTTAAAGACCCCTCTAAGAATATCCCTGGGCCCATGATCCCATCTTGCCATCATCGGGGCCAGATCCTTGTTGACTTGCTCCGACGGAATTCTTCCGTCTGTGGTAACTACACAAATAATACTACTAGTAACTAGCTTGGGCTAAGACTCGGAACACTTGGAAGTCAACTGACTGGCTTGTTGTTTGAAAGGCCACCTGGTGTCGGTATCGGAACCATTACTTTACCATCTCAGCCGGGTTACCGTTTGACAACCAGCGGTGACCCAACCTATCTATCTATCTAGTACTCTTTAGTCTGAAGAAACTAAAACATCCATCTTTGATTATTGATCAAGCTACTATCTCACTAAGGACTATTGCAACCGAGGCCGACCGCTACTACTGAAACTGGTGTCTACCCTACCCGTCGACGAACCGTCAGCCCGACCCTGCCGGCCACCCTACTTTTAAATTACCTGACCACTAACAAACGGGTCCTTGGTGAAAGTAACTCCGTCATATCCGTACTAAGAGCTAAGGACTTTACTCTAGCTCGGCTTCTGGAAGATCCTCGTGCTTGTTACTCGTTAGCATACCCATCCTTAATTCAATGTCCCTGTTCCTATCGGTCCTACCTGCAGCTGCGCGGCACCTCCCTTCCCCGCGCGCTGCTACTGCTGCTGCTACTGCTACTACTACTGCTACTGCTACTGCTGCGAACATGTTACGAGCGAATCATGTAAGCCGTGGATTAGAATCCATCATGGCACATGCCCGGCTTTCCCTCCCCCGTAATTTTCACCGCGTTTCCCTCGCTTGCTATTATCCCCCTTCCTCCCGCCCCACTGTCGCAACACGAACCTTTGCGTCCAGGCGAGCCGCCGCCATCTCGACACCTTCGGGCCTAGATTCGGACCACCACCTGTCGGCGGCTAGAGAATGGGCCGCTAGGCTCAATTCAAAGGCCATCACCATCCCGCGTGACATCTGCGAGATTTCCTTTAGTCGTTCTAGTGGCCCTGGAGGTCAAAACGTGAACAAGTCGGTTGCCGCCATCGGTCTGAACCAACCACTCCCATTGATTGGTGACTAACATGTATCTGTCAATGCTACTTCGTATAGGGTGAACTCGAAAGCCACATTACGAGTCCCCCTCAAATCTTTACTGCCTTTCGTCCCCGAACTTCTACATGCCCCGCTGCAAGCGTCTCGATACGTCGCCGCGAAATCCCAGATTCTGGTCATTCAATCGGATGAGTCGCGCAGACAGACCGCCAACGTGGAGGCTTGCTACGATAAGCTCCACCAGGTCCTCAAGAGCATAGCAGAGGACACGATCCCCGGAGAGACTTCGCAAGAACAACGTGACAAGGTACAAAAATTGTATGTATTTCCTCCTCGGGGTATTTAGGATCCACTTTGAGGAACATGCGAACCTCGGACTGATCTAGCGCAGAAAGAAAGCTGCAAACGAAGCCCGCATCAAGTCGAAGAAATTGCACAGCAGCAAAAAGAGCAGCCGACGGGGTAGTTATGACGACTAACAAACATGCTAACTTTTCATCACCTAATAACCAAGAGGACCTTTCCCTCATTCTCATTGCCCATTAAGCTTGCGACGGAAAAAGCCCGATAAACGCCGATGAATGATTTAGTAAAAAATGTAAGCTCTATGCTTCCTGTACAGTGCGTTCCGCATTACGGATAGTGGCCGAAATCGCCTTTTGGAGGGAGGCATCCACGCCTTCTGTCTTCTCAAGGGGCTGTAGCCAGCTGACGATCTCCTTGGCGACGTTGGGGTTATTCCGGTACTCCTTGAGACGGGCAAATGACGCACTAAACGCACGTGGGAATTCGGGTGAAGTAACCCGGAGTCCAGCGGTGGGGAATTTGATGTAGCAGATTTGCGTATGAGGACTGTTTGGCTTGGTCTGCTGCATCACGTCGACCACATGGCCGAGAATCTTGTGCAGGCAGGGCAGATCGTCAAACTCGACCGCCATATCGTAGAATTCATGACCGAAACGGTCGTCATTTTTGAAGTTCTTCATGGCCGTATCGAAGATGGCGAGAGGGATAGCACCACTCAGGGCTGGGGTGTTGGCAAGGTTGTCCAAAGCCACTTGATCCACACCGCCATCCTCTCCAGCACCGGGGTTGATATCTTCTCCAGTGATCTTGGGCATAGCAATCATGTCGGCATCTAAATCGTCCTCCTGCGCTGGCTTCGGGGCTTCGATCGGCTTATCGAGACCCAAGATCCGCTGTCGAGCAACCAGCTTGGCGATATATATCAATTCCAGTTTGGCATAGTGGAGCCACAGCTTCTTGGAGCTTTTGCAGAAGCGCAAACCGCGCTGCATGTAACCCCTAGATTGTGTCATATCCGCATGCTCATCCACAGAGTACTGCGCAGCATATAGCCACAAGTCGACGTTGGCGGGATGTAACCGCAAGGCGTCCGTAAGGATGGTCGAGACCTTTTTGTAGGCTTTCTGTTGTTTCGCGTATTCAAGGTACTGCACCCACAAGCCCACATCACCATGAAACTTGCGAGTTGCGCGGTCAAGGATGAAGAAGATGCGCCTTTGCCCAGTGTATCCTGCTGATCTGATTCCCAACCGCTTCACCCTCTTCCGGCGCAAGGTGTCTAGGTTCATCTCGTATTGCGCATATCGGACGAAGTCAACAGGCAGGGCGCCACGTGCATTCAGCTTGTGCTCAAAGTCGGACCGTTTCTTGATGATGGCTGTAATTTCCTCCTGCAGGCAGATCAAACGGCATGTCAGTTTCCTAAGCGCATCGATGTGGGTAGATAATGATCATGGGCACCAATTTACCTTGGAGAAGATTTTCTTCCGCTCAAACTCCTTGAGCTCAGGGACCGACTTCTCCAGAAAGAAGCGTGCCTTATCGGTAGCGGCTGACATGATTGCTCTGGAAGGGTTCAGCAAGTAGCGACTACAGCAGTTCCTTTGCAACCCAGAAATCCAGCCAGAACCAGACGATAGGCAAAAAAAGTTGTCGGCATCCCGCACGAGATCTCCGCCCAGGGACCTGGCCGCCTGCCTGATCGGGGCTAGTGGCTGGAGCGCGCCGCCCGCGTGTTGCCGAGCCTCGCTCCGAAGGTCATCCCATCATCTTGTCTCTCACCTTCAGGGGAATCTTGGGCTTCTCGCTGTCGGGATTCTTTGTACGACCCGCTCTTTCGCTTTTTCTTTTCCCTTCTTATTTCGTTTCTCTTTCGTTGACGCTCATTTTTATCCCCCTTAGTCTGTTTTTATTTTAGCTTATTCTTCTAATTGGCTGGAGTCCGTGCTCAGTGCCTCCCTGTGCTGCCATGGCACCCAGATATAAAGATGGGGATGCCGTTGTGGCGGTTAGTGTCTCTGCACTTCGCGGTTTGTCAAGCTAATTGACCATTTCTCAGGTCAATGGAAAATGGATCTCTTGGGCGCATACGGCAGTGGCCTACACGGCCTTCTTCAGTGCCCTGGTAGTGGGAATGTCCTTGCACTTCCACAAGATTGTCCAGAACGAACACTACGGCTACCCTGATGAATGGTTCCCTTCCGTGTCGGCCACTATCGGTGATCGCTACCCTGAACGCTCTTTCTTCCAAGTCTTCATTGCCATTACTTCCGGCCCTCGTTTCGCCCTCGTCTTCCTTTGGTACCTCCTGACTGCCCGCCCCAATTCCGCCCTGCCAAAGCTGGTTGCTGGTGTGGGCTTGTTCCGGACATTCACGTGTGGAGGCTGGACTTATGTTACCTCGACTGATGATCACGACTGGCACGACATTTTCATGATCTCGTACCTGGTGGCAACCTTGCCCTGGACTCTCGGCTGCCTCGCCCTCAGCCCGAACAACCGCCGCGCTGTCAAGTACCGCAAGATCTTGGCCAGTCTGTTCTTCGGCACTCTGGTGCCCTTGATCTACTACTTCATCCAACACAAAGTGCACAAGGTTCCTGGGGGTAAGATTGCATGGACGCCGCTGCTGTGGATGACATTGTTGACCTTTGGCTAGCTTACACGAGATACGCCTTCTTCGAGTGGTCGCTTATTTTGTTTGATGTGGGATTCGATGCCGTCACAGCTCTTGACTTTGACGCATTCGAGATTGTTGTAAGGGATGTCAAGGGGGTTAGCAGAGGGTATGTACACTGGCTTCCAAAGTAAAGCAGAGCAAGAGAGGAAAATGTACAGTCGCCAAAAGATGGTTGTCGGTATTTGAAAGACGTGATCTAAGATTTCAAACTTCCAGGCAGTTGAAGACCACTGCGGACTCTGTCCTTGAAAAAGAGTGTGTACAATCTGTTCTCCAGACTTAACACGAACATGGCAGTTAACTCGTAGTCAGGAAGGGCAAGCCTGTCGGAAACACGTTTGGCGAGGGCTTTTTCTGGTCTGAAATCATCGATGCTGCTGCAGACGTCTACAATGGGGTACGCTTCAAACTGGGCTTTCTCTCCAATTTATGTGGTTGCTGATAAGTTGTAGTTCGTCTTCTGGACCCTCTGCACTGCCCTCCCTGTTCTCGTCTGGTGTAAGTAGTACGTCTTTTATCTGCAGGATCGCATGTCTGATTGGATGTAGACTTCCCCCTTTGGCACATGGGTATCTCCGGATATGAGGCGGCCATTGTCTGCTACCTTTCGCCCCTGCTCCTCGGTATCCCGGCCATCAAATCTGCGGCCATCAAGAACCCCCGCCTTTTCCACCTGCTCTCGCTGTCCGGACTCCTGGCATATAAGGTGCAAGACCCTGCCAACCGCCTCTTTGTTATGGGCTTCGCCGTTATCTGCAGCTGCGTGACCTGGTCCGCTAGCTTATATGCAGAGAGAGCGAACAACGTCAGACTGGAGTCCCGTATCCTCTCTTGGAGCATCGGTTTGATTATGTCTAGCGTCGCCAAGTTCGCATGCGCAACAAACAACCCCCTGTGGCCAATCATGCACGCCCAGAACGGTGGATGGAATAAGATTGGACTTCTTCTCGCTGTCCTGGCTGTCCTTCGGTCTTACCGTAGACCTGCCACGAGTGGAGGAGATTATCTGCCGTCAAGTGGCAAGAAGGGCTCTCCGTTCTTGGCCGGTCTGGGTGTTGGAGGCGTGATGTTCGCCATGCACTACCTTCTGTCGGATTCTAGTACGATGATGTCTTGGGTCTGGGAGGGATATCCGGTACGAGGCCCTATCGCGGCTCCCCACGGTGCCGTTACAATCTTTACTATGGGTGCTGGTCTCGTCTACGGCCTCTTTTATCCTTCCGTGGCTGGTAGTTGGACAGCGTTCGGACTTGGCTCTCTGGGTGCCACATTCCTTACTTGCTACAGTCACTGGACCGGATACTATGGCGGTCTTGTCCTCGCATTCTACCTTCTGGCCGTGACTCCTGTCCTCCTTTCCTCGGCCGTCAGACATTCTCCTGCATCTACTTTCGGCGTGGGCTGCATCTTGTACATCTTCTTGATCCTGTTCCACGTTTGGGTTGTTGCTTATGCCTTTGTCCCTGGTGGGTACCTCGTCAGAGAGCACACGGATTGGGTCGTGATCACCATCATGTTGTCCATTGGCGCTGGTGTCTTTTCGGCTGGGGTGTCGAATGCATCCAGCCCGAAGCCCAAGGCCGTCAGCCCTAACGGCAGAAGACAGCGGTCATACTTCATCTACGTCCTTGCAGTCCTGCAACTGCTCTCCGTTTCCATCGCGTATCTTCGCTTCCCCACTAATGACTACACCCCTTATCACAAGGACGACAAAGTTGCCACCCTTGGCATTTGGACGATCCACTTCGGCCTTGATAACGATATGTGGGCATCTGAGCGGCGCATGCGCGATGTAATCCAGGAGCTTGAGCTTGATGTGATCGGCTTGCTTGAATCAGACAACCAGCGCATCATCATGGGCAACCGTGATGTTACGCAGTTCTTGGCAGACGACCTGGGAATGTACGCGGACTTTGGGCCGGGTCCCAACAAACACACCTGGGGCTCGGCTTTGCTCTCCAAGTTCCCGATTGTCAACTCCACCCATCACCTACTCCCTTCACCGGTTGGTGAGCTTGCTCCGGCCATCCACGCCACTTTGGACATGTATGGCGAGCTTGTTGATGTTGTGGTCTTCCATTCGGGTCAGGAGGAGGATCCGGAAGACCGTCGTCTGCAAACGGAGTACTTGTCCAACCTGATGGGCTCGTCGTCTCGTCCGATGGTGCTGCTGAGTTACTTGGTCACCAAACCGCTTGAGGGCAACTACAACACCTATGTCAGTGATATCAGCGGCATGAAGGACATTGACCCCACGGACTGGGACCGTTGGTGCGAGTACATTTTGTATAAGAAGTTGAAGAGAACAGGCTACGCCAGAGTTAGCCGTGACTCGATCACCGACACTGAAATCCAGGTATGCTCCTTTGGCCTAGCTGACTTCCACAGTTCTTTCCTCTAACCAGCTATTCTTGATAGGTTGGTAAATTTGTGATTGGCGAGCCGGAACCGGAAAATGAAATGCGCATCCCTGAGGAAATGGTCCCCGAAGGCCGTCGATTCCCTACATTGTTCCGCGGCCAGGGAGTTCGTGGTCATCGGTACCACGTCTTCGACGAGCCCCGATACTGGCAATGATTGTTAGCTCTTGATTTAAGGGGCGCACCCCATTCCAGATACCTTTGAGCAACGTCGAATGTCTTTCATATACTGTTCTTGAGTATAGTTCATACGACGAGCATACCAGCATTGCGTGGCCAACTGCCCGTGGTGATCATATGTGGTCTTTTTTAAATCGTACATAATGTCATCTTTCCCTTATTGTTCTATTCAAAGTTGGTGTGCAACAGATCTGCAGCGAAGGTGTACTGTGAAGTGCTGTCACGGACTGGTCTCGGGGACGACGGGGTCACGCTCCGCCTGCTGTTGGGCTGCTTGTAAACTTAGTAGTAGATGGGGATGGCAGGAGCTGAGGGGTGGCCCTGGTTTCGTGCCTGCCCCTCGTTCTGTGGAACGTAAACTAGGACTAACCTTCACTTTCAGTGCATCCTTGACTGGGCTGTGGAATGCGAAATCGCCAATTAAGCATGTTCGCCAGGTCGATGTGACATAATCTATATGACAAGGTACGCGATGCTGGAGATTTTCCACAGTTCATGAACATCTGAGCTGATCAGCTGCACATATTATCACTGTTCTCTTGATGGTCTCTGCTGGAGCAGGTACCCTTGCAAGAGGATATAGGTCAGTCACGTCATAAGGGTCAGATCCGAGCTGAGACCAGCCGTATCGAATCATTGCCCTGGACGAGTACCACCGAGCACAATTGCAAAGTACAGAGTACATCCCACCAGAACCAGATCGTTTGACTCGGTTCCCAGGAAGCTAGATCAACACTCGAGCTACCCACAAAAGAACATTCCAACGACAATAGAAAGTAACGCTGAGGCAAGTAAGCACTTTCCATTGCTAGTTTTCCGGTTATTCGGTATCAGCAGCGCTAGGAATTTTCCGAGGAATGTACGAAGTACTTTCATTTTCTTTGTTGGTCTTCGTCCCAGTTTTGCCTTCCCTAGATGGAGGTAGTTTGACTTCAATCAGGCAACAATGAAAGAAAAGAAGGGAATTTCTTCGATTATCTTCTAGGGCGGAAATGTGTTGAAAATGTACATCGGAAAGGCCAGGGGACATCTGACAGGTGTGATGAGGGCCATGCAGAGGCGATGTTCGTCGTTCGTTTTCGCTGTCCTCGCGGGCTTCCCCGTCCCTATGCGTTGTATGCTCAGCGAACCTTAAAAGTGATGGATTCTCTTCGGACAGAACTGACTAACTAACCAACAGCACACTCTTGCGGGAGACTAGATCCTTTCAGTTCGAAGATTGTATCAGAGTGCATGAGTGCCTCTGCTCGGACTTGGACGAGTCTACGAAGGTTTAGGTAGGTTTAGCATCGTTGGCTTTGTTACTGACAATGCTGACGCGGGCGTATGGGTCTTTCACTTTGCGATTGCTGCCTCGTGGAAAGTGCTTGTTGATGCTTTATGGGACAAAGGAGCCATCAACAAAGGCACAGAGGCATACTTTGCGTCTATTCTATTTTTGTTGAATCAGTTACTTCATTCGATATAGGTGAAAGGAAGCTCATTCGAAACCTAGCGTGAATGAATCCCTTCGACAATGCAAGTTGTCCCAGATATATTTGACTACATCGCTCTGAACGGAGTGCCCAGGCTGACCATTTCTTTTTTCAAGTCATCCTGAGCTTACGACCATTTGGAATCGCATCCCGAGAAATTTGTATTACGAGGTGTACTTCCAGTGTGTACTCGAGCATATACTTTTGTTCAAGCTATCCATATCCGCCACTCATCAACTCAACAAGCAATGTCTGGAGAACCCGGCAAGCGGCCCAAGGCTGCGTCGCGAAAGACTTCCCTTGACTCGAACCCACCAGGGGACCAATACGTTGAGTTTGTCAATGCGGAAAATGAAATCCCGTCAAATGGTGCTGGGAGGCTTTCGGCAGGACGGGGAGCCATCTTGGCCAATGCTGCCAGAGAGTTGCAGGATGTCGCTGCTAGGCAATCAGTTGGCCATACGAGCAACAGGCCCCAACCACCACATCTGGGGACGCGAAGATCTCGACAATATGAAGAACCAGCCGTCCCGCAAACGTGGGCAATAGGATCTAAGGGCAAGCAGCATCATCGACAAATGCCCGCTCCTAAGATGGTAGCACCGACTCAATCTGGCACAGGTGATGGCTATACTTATAGTTCATATAAGCGGCCGCCTTTATTCACGCAGGCCCCCAAGAATAAGGTCCATCGGCCAAAGTCCCCTACTGATGGGCACAGTCAATTCCTAACAAGAACGTTGGATATGTTCAACAGCCGTAACGAGCCGCCTGCAGTGGAAATAGGTCCAAACCACGAAATAGACATGCCACCGACTCAGTACATGGCCCAGGAACCACCCTTCAGCGTGAATGATGGTGGAATCTCAAATCATGGTGAGTGTAAATGGATTTGGATTATTGTCACTTTACTTGTGTTGAGCATGTTCCTATGCCTCTTTCTGTACGTGTTCAAGGTTATTAGATGATGTAATGTATGTCTTGTCAGGGCGGCCTAAGTCGTTATAAGCAAACCTGTTTGGCGATATATACTGGCTGTCTTCTCAGATATTGCGGCTCCCGGGAAGGATTTGCTCGCATTCTTCATGTATCCCTTGCGTTATACATTCCCGAACTCTTTCCGATGTGCTGATTCTGGCCATGTGCTTAGGTCACGGGGGTGGATTGGCAGTCTACGAACCATATAACCCAGCCTTACATCCTTACCCGCCCCCTGACCCCCAGGGGTATGGATCTGGAGTACCGCATAGAGGTAAGGGTACCATCGACTTCTCCTTCTGAAAGTGTTGAAGTGCCCGGCTGACGAGAAATCCAGTGCCTCCAGGAGATGCGCCATACAAAATAGCAAGACAAGGTGCGAAGGCCCTAGCGAGGGAAAGACCCAGACGGCTACGGCAAAGTCTAGCAGAGCCGGAAGTACTCACTGGGGTTTTAGATGTAGCACCGAAACTGGCCACACAGCTGCTACAAAAAACGGTTCATGGTGAAACACTCTTAGAGATACAGGAGGCTCGAGTCCACCCACCACCATGGACAGCATGGCGAAACACAGCAGGGCCACATACCGAACTATACCCATCTTTGGGAGACCCGATGCCCGAGACAAGAGAACAACAAGGTCAGACTGACGGGAAGAAAGCTGGCTCACGGAAGAGCCAACCTGTTCAGGCACCACCTATTCCAAAAATAATATCCAAGGTAAATGACAGCCAGAAATACATGGATGAGCAATACAAGGAGTTTTACCCTGAAAATATACTTCACCGGATGAGAGGATACGGCGGAGGAAGTCCAAGCAGTTTGAATACCGCTTTGACTCCTAGTCAGCTTGAGCGGATACCTAGGGCTCCGCCTTTGCTACCCCAGACTGCGCCAGCACAAGTGGAACCAGCGAAGAAAGGAGAAGCGAAAGGTTCGAAGAGGAAGAGGGCTACAGAACCGGAGGAATCGGAACCACCAGCACGCTCAGCATCACCAAAACGCTCAGCACCCCCAGTACGTTCAGCACGGTTACCAACATCAGCAGGACCTGCAGTAGGGGAAGCAGCACCGGCACGCTCAGCAGCACCGAAAAGCTCAGTAGCACCAAAAGGCTCAGTAGCACCAAAAGGCTCAGCAGCACCGAAACGCTCGGCACCACCTAAACGCTCAGTACCACCTGTAGCAGGGGAAGCAGAACCAGCATCGCCACCACGGCGGATGCAAACACGAGCCATGACCAGGTGCCGGGAGAAAGAGGGTGCGAAAGCAACTAGGAAAGGTTGAAGTTGAAACAAATGGGGCAAGGCATATGTCCTCGTGTACTTAGCAGATTCTTGTAGCTTTATTCACTTTGCTTGTTAATATATGTTCTTTGTATACTTCGACGATAGTAACTATATAAATGATCTGCGATCCTAATTACCCGATAAAGAGGGTATGCAAACCGGACAAACAAGACCCGTGATGTGATGCTGCTTTGTGTCTGCCGATGTCGACCAAACAATCATCGGCATCAGCATCCTTCGCAGTCAGCCATTGCTCCATATCAGTGATTGCTGCTCAATAGGCTGGATATGTTACGATAATCGCCAACTGGTCGCGCTTCTGTTCGTCGTTACTCCGCCTGGATCGATGAGCTAAGTGAGAGCGCTTCCCGAGTGTCCGCGACAGCATCATCTGCAGCTCTCCTGGGATCGCCGCGCTCGAGAATCTCCAAGCCAAGATGTTCACCTTTACCCCTCTTCTCGGCGCACAGTCTGCGTCATCAAAGGCTTCACAATCGATCCTCGAGCTTGATGGAGGAATCAAGATCCTTGTGGACGTCGGTTGGGATGACACCTTCGATCCTCTCGACCTGCAGGAACTCGAAAAGTGAGCTCCCACTGCAGTCCTTGTATATCCATTGGAGGGGTCGATTTTCTGATATAATAATGCTAGACATGTTCCGACCTTGTCGCTCATTCTTCTAACCCACGCTACACCCGCTCATATTGGTGCCTTTGCCCATTGTTGCAAGACCTTCCCTCTCTTCACGCAAATTCCCGTCTACGCTACGAGTCCCGTCATTGCGCTCGGTCGCACGTTGCTACAGGATTTATACGCCTCTTCTCCGCTGGCCGCAACATTCTTACCCAAGGCGTCGATCTCCGAGCCCGGAGCTTCCACGGCTGCAGCTTCAGCCGCTGCGTCGGTGGCCGAAGGCGACGAAAGCACCGAAGCTACTCATGCCGGGCGCATCCTCCTCCAACCTCCTACCGCCGAAGAGATCGCCCGGTACTTCTCTTTGATACACCCGTTGAAATACTCACAACCACACCAACCGCTTCCGTCACCATTCTCCCCGCCCCTGAACGGCCTTACGCTGACCGCATACAATGCTGGACACACCGTCGGTGGTACGATATGGCATATACAACATGGCATGGAGTCGATTGTCTACGCGGTCGACTGGAACCAAGCTCGAGAAAGCGTCGTCGCGGGCGCTGCCTGGTTTGGAGGCTCCGGTGCCAGTGGAACGGAGGTCATCGAGCAGCTGCGCAAACCTACGGCGCTGGTATGCAGTACTAGGGGAGGTGAACGCTTCGCGCTGCCCGGAGGCAGGAAGAAGCGGGATGACTTGCTGCTGGACATGATCCGGAGCACCATCGCCAAGGGTGGCACAGTGCTGATTCCTACGGATACCAGCGCTCGCGTGCTGGAGCTGGCTTATGCGCTGGAACATGCCTGGCGCGATGCGGCAGGCTCTGGCCAGGGCGATGATGTACTGAAAGGAGCCGGGCTATACCTGGCCGGTCGGAAAGCTAATACTACGATGCGACTGGCAAGGAGTATGTTGGAGTGGATGGACGAAAATATCGTGCGAGAGTTCGAGGCTGCTGAGGGTGTGGATGCAGCGACTGGCCAGTCGAATACAGAAGGGCAACGGGCAGGTCAGAATCAAGGCAAGACAGAAGGAAAGGGCGTGGGACCTTTTACGTTCAAGCATCTCCGAATCTTGGAACGCAAGAAGCGACTAGAGAAGATTCTGTCCGACCAAAAGCCCAAGGTAATTCTGGCTTCCGATACGTCGCTGGATTGGGGATTCGCGAAGGACTCTCTACGTCTGGTGGCGGAAGGTGCCAACAACCTACTGCTCTTGACGGAGCCTCTGCACAAGGAGAGGATCACGGAGGGCCAGGAGAGCAACCACAGGAAGACACTCGGCAGTATGATCTGGCAGTGGTATGAAGAACGAAAGGATGGCGTCGCTCTGGAAAAGGCATCGGACGGCGAGATGTTGGAGCAGGTGCACAGCGGAGGCCGGGATCTTTCCTGGACGGATGTGCGACGTGCGCCTCTGGACGCAGGCGAGCAGCTGCTCTACCAGCAGTATCTGGCTACGAAACGACAACTTCAAGATACCTCTCAAGCAAGAGGACAGGAAAACCTGGATAATGCCGCCGACGCGCTCGACGACCGGTCAAGCTCTACATCAGAAGACTCGGAGACGGAACAACAGGGCCGCGTCCTGAATTTCTCTACCTCGTTAGCACACTCCAACCGCAACAAACTCGGCCTCAGCGATGAAGACCTTGGCGTCAACATTCTTCTACGGCGTAAGAATGTCTACGACTACGATGTACGAGGCAAGAAAGGTCGCGAGCGCATGTTCCCGTATGTGGCACCCCGAAAAAAGGGGGACGAGTTTGGAGAGTTCATCCGGCCTGAGGAGTACCTCCGTGCTGAGGAACGCGAGGAGGCCGACATGCAGCAGCGTCGGACCGATTCCCAGACCAAGCTGGGGCAGAAACGTCGATGGGACGAAACAGCGCCCCATGGACGTCGACTGTCGGGCAGTGGTGCGAAACGCCAAGCGCTTGGAGATGCGCAGAAACGGGATGTCAGCACTGCTGACGAACTGAGCCTCGCCGAAGATGGCGAGGTGGATGCTGCGGTATCTTCGGAGGATGAGGTGGAGGGACAGAGCTTTGAGGGGCCAGCGAAGGCAGTGTACGAGAAGGCTACGCTGACCATAAATGCTCGGCTGGCATATGTGGACTTTACGGGACTACACGACAAGCGCAGTCTGGAGATGCTTATCCCGCTCATCCAGCCCCGGAAGCTGATCCTGGTTGGGGGTATGAAACAGGAGACGACCGCGTTGGCGACCGAATGCCAGAAGCTCCTGGCAGCCAAATCCGGAATGGACGTTTCGGCCGCAGACTCGGCAGTCATCTTCACGCCGGTCAACGGCGAAGTTGTTGACGCCAGCGTCGACACCAACGCATGGATGGTCAAGCTGAGCAACAACTTGGTCCGGCGTTTGAAGTGGCAGCACGTACGCAGCCTGGGAGTGGTCACGCTCACGGCGCAGTTGCGGGGGCCGGAACAGGCCGTCCTGGAGGACTCCACGGAAGAGAACCCCAGCAAGAAGCCAAAGCTGTTGGAAGAGGAGAAGAAGGAAGAAGGAGGTAGCACCGAGGTCGCGACGAACGCACCACCAGAGGGGGTTAAACCATCAGCTGACAAGTCCGAGGTGTACCCACTGCTGGATGTGCTGCCGGTCAACATGGCGGCGGGGACGCGATCCATGACCCGGCCGCTCCATGTGGGCGACCTGCGGCTGGCAGATTTGCGCAAGATCATGCAAGGGGCCGGACACACGGCGGAATTCAGGGGCGAGGGAACGCTCCTTATCGATGGGATGGTGGCAGTGCGGAAGTCGGCGACGGGGCGGATTGAGATTGAAGCATCGGCGCAGTCTGCGGCGGCGACGAATCTGGGACGAGGAGGAGGGAGCTTTTTGGCTGTGAAGCAGAAGATTTATGAAGGATTGGCCGTTGTGTCGGGGAGTTAGCTGCAGCTGCAACGAACCGGTTCGTCTCGATGTTGGATTATACCAACCAAGTAGGTTAAATACGACATAAGATAGTTATCTACCCACTATCCTTACCTATTGAATGTAGTATATGATAAATGCCATGAACTTTTGGCCCGTCAGCGAAATCCTCCGAATAGCCCTGTGTAATCTAGCCCCCATAAGCTGAGCATGCAGGTAAGTATACCGGGAGTCAGCATTGTAAATCAATGGCACTCATCACACCATCATACTTGGTAGTATAGATGAACACAACCGTGCACTACTAATACATATCTATCTACTCCGTCAGTCTATCATTTAGCTACTATAAATGGATATAATATGTCTTAGTCCTAACAAGCCACATTCCTGCCTATGTTACTTTACCCCTTTTCCTGCCCCAGATCCCGAAGTAAATCAATAGTCGCGGGAGGTGTTTCTGGAAGGGCTAGATCTATGATCTAGGTAAGGCCAGACCAGGGGGAGGCGGGAACTAGTTGTGTCAGATGGTGATAGTGTCGATTTTGTGGGAGGAGTCTAGATTGTATATGTAGATATTTTTGGTAGATGCTATATACTTTGTAGTGAGTACATGGAGTGTCTAGTAGTAGTATGGTCTGGGTGAATCAGGGGGAGTCAGTACTATCATCTATCTACTTAGTCTAGGTTTGGTGTGGTGGCCGGTAATACACCTAGTAGTTGGGGTTGTTCCTGGATTTAATTAACCAGTACTAAGTAACTGTATATGTTGGGAGTCGTGTTAGTGATTAGTTCCAAGCCTGAGGTATCTATCTATCTATCTACCCAGTCAGTCAGTAACTAAGTAAGTACTGAATATTACTCACCATGAGATCAATCTGTCTCAGATGTCAGCTTCACAGTAGCTCAACTAGTATTGGAAGTGGAACCTGCCATTCCTTGATTGCGAGCAGGAGCAAACAGGAATACTTTGTCTTACAGGTACTCTGCAAGTAACTTCGTAAAAAGACAGCAAGATCGTGATCCCAACCACCAACAGTAATCAGTACCTCCATCCATCCGTGAATAAAATATCCATCAAGGCAACAATAAACGAGAGAGAGGCAGGGTTCCCCTCATCACGGCCTTCCCTCGGATCCGTCGGATAAATCCCATTCCCCCCCTCCCCCCACCTCCACCACACATCACCACTGACTGACCTCCAAAGACCATTGTCCAGAGCACCACACCATCACCAACCACCAAAACCAAGCAACATGCCCATCAACTAGTCTAAACGATAGACAAGAGAAGTACTGCTAGGAGGAGGGGTAAAACATATGAAACACATCCAAAACACACCCACTAACCCCCCACTCACCATCAGCAGCACCAGCATCAGCACTTAACAGTAACTAAGAGTAACCCACCACGTCAACCATCAAACATCCCCTCTCTCATTGGATAGCATAGAAAAATGAGTGACACCCATGACATACGTAACGACCCTCTGGTGGACCTTGAGTGGACAGACAGCCCAAAAATCAATCGAGACGATGGATTTTCCCCCCCGATCTTTGAATCTTGAATGGACAATGCAGCGGATCCACGCTCGACCAATGGGATGTGGGGATCCATGAGGGATAAGGTTAGTGATGTGGCCAATTATATTGAAGAAATTGGGATAGGGCAGTTACCGCTTTGCCTTAGGCTGTTGTTCATCGTTGCTTGGTTGGGTTCTTCAGCGGTTAGAGAGTAAGTATGTGTGAATCTGTTCATTTGTTTTAAGTATGGAGTAAAAAAATCATGTGTATGGAAGATGGAATAATACTATTCTATCTTCTTTGGGAAGTGTGCAAGTTGGCTCTGGCTGCCTAAATTGGCTGGTCATGAATTTTTTTTTTTTTTGGTCGTGTTCTTTCGGATGTTGGTACTTTACGTATGCGCCACTTTCTTTCTTTTTTCTCCCATTTCCTATTTTCTTTCTCCCGTTTTCGCCTCGTAAGTAACCGCGGGATTGAAGAACCCAATTTACACCCACCACTCACCTATAGTACTTCCGTAGACTGACTGAACTGGCTGACTGATTGACTTTACTATAGTGAGGTTCGGCACATGGGAGGGTGAGAATCCCGCGCTACTTTCTTGCCTCCTAACATCGCCATCATATGGGATACTTTTACTCAGTAACCAAGTTTTTTTGCTCACTAATCAAATTATTCTCTACTGTAGTTAGTATTTACTGACCACACAAAAGAAACACCACGTAGTGGGTTATTCATTTAGTTCACCTAGAGAATTACTCACACTATGTGTCACCCCCCCAATATCCATGTCGGGCACCCCCCCTCCCCTCAGCCGAGCAGAGAAAAAGAAAGTCTAGAATCTCCCCAATTTCATCGGTGAGAAAAGAAAGAACAGAACAGAACAAACAAAAGTGGGTCCCGGTCCAGCCCAATCGATGAATCTGAACTTGGGCTGGGAGGCGCCGCCTATTGTGGGATTCGGGCCCCACTTTTGAGAGTGTCTTCACGGATCCACTGTGGCTGATTTTTTGCCTGTCCGGTGTCCACACGGTAGTTACGTAGTTGTTTGCTGGGCGACTTGCTTACTGTGTAGGTGGGAGGGGAGAGGGGAGGGGGGGTGAGTCAGTGTCTGCCTCCTGGGGGGTGGAATGAGTGAATGGTATCTAGGTCGGAGGCAAAAAGTAGGTGTAGATGTAGGTAGGATGCATAGTTCCTGCATTTAGCTATTGCTATTGTTTCTTGTCATCTGTAGGTGGGAAATAGGGTATTTGATCTGTCAGATTGGGGGGCGTAGGTTGTCAGAACTGAACTGTGAATTGTTCTGAAATGGATTATGAAGGAGATTATTCTGTGTGTTTGATTGTAGGGATGAAGGTTGTAATGGTGTGTGTGTGACTGTGTTGGTTGGTTGGTTGTATTCCTTCTAGAGTAATAATATTACTCCCTGTGGTCTGGGATAAGTCAATAATATTTGAAAAAAGACAATTACACCGGTTAGACTTCTGACAGGTCAGACATTGATTTCAACTGTCAATTATTGATCAAGGTACTTCGTATAGGTATTTCTGAGGTATACCACATGTCCGTAGGAAAAGAGAAATAGGAGAGAGAAGAGAATACAAGGAAGAAAATAATCTTGAGGAAAAGTAGATTGTTTGTAGTTTTTTTTTGTTCTATCAAACAGCAAGTCTATAGGCGTAATTCATGTGATCTCAAATCACTACATACATAACCGCATAGCACAGCAAGCGAAATCCACCAAAGGTGTGATTCACGAAGCGAAAAAAGTGAGTGTTGTGTGTTCTGCTTTGTCTTGTGCAACTCATCCAGGAGGCAGATCAAGTCAATCTATACATGAGAACTCAAAACCAAGCCCATCCGACCCATGGTATATTCCAAAAAGAAAAAAAACTCCATCTCTTTTGAATCCGATTGATTGAGGAGATCCGTTTAACCCAGAGTAAGAGTGAACTGGGTGTCAATGGGGCAGCCGTGAGTAGCCTCGTTGTCATCGGGCTGGAGGTAAGCCTCAGCGCACGCAGTGTCACCAGCCTCGCAGTTGACAGAAGGGCAGTTGTCACCCTCCTCGGAGGGAGTGACGGAGAAACCGTACTTGGTGAAAGCGGAGTCACTGCCGAGGTTGATGCAGGACATGTCCCAGTAGATGGTGTCACCATCCTGGGTGTACTCGAACTGGAGGACATCGGACTGGCTCTCAGTGGTGGACAGCTTGATGGAGATACCACCACCGTTGTCGTTGGTTTGCCAGGATTCGGAGTAGCTACCACCGCCCGCAGAAAGGGTATGCATGTTACTGACTCTATCAGAAACAGACCACGCGTAGACGGTAGTGTTGCTCATGTTGTTGGAGATGGAGACGCCGCCGGAGCCAGAAGAGGTACCGTTGCGACGAACCATGTTGTTGTTGACGGAGTGGGGAAGAGCCGTGGCAGCGGTGGCCAGAGCGGCAGTAAGGATGGTCTTGAAGAACATTTTGATGAGATTTGTTTGAAGAGATTGACTCAAAAAAGATGAGATTTTGGGTTGTCAAGAAAGACTGTTGTTGGTTCCTCTGAAAAAGAGAAAGTGGTTTGTTGTATGTGTAGTAGTAAAGTCCAAAAGAGAGAGGACTAAAAGGAAGGCAGACTAGTCTGATCGACAGACTAAAATCAGATGTATCAAAAAAGAGAGAGAATGACAGGTCAGACAAAGCTGATCAAGAGAGTGTCAGTGGATTTGCTGATGGATTGAAGAGGAAGCAAAAGGTGCAGCGAGATGCATCCTTATATAGCTTTTTGCGGCGGCAAGGCATCCAACCGTCGGCGAAGAGATCGGCTAGTGCTCATACTGCTGTTCCTGCTGTTCCTGGCCGTTTCAACGAATCGCCGCCAGAGGCGCAGGGGTAAAAAGTTTGTTTGGCTTCGGGGTCCACATGGCCACTGACGTGGATTGGAGTGTCCCTGGCGAGCCATTGAATTGCATTTTTCTTTTTTTCTTTTTCTTTTCTTTTCGCCATTTCCAAGTTGTGCTGGAAGTTGGGCGCAGGTGGAGAAGAAGTTCCTGGAGACGCCACGAGACGGAATCCACTGCCATCTGCCATCATCTGCCATCCATCGTAGTCACTCCATTAGGGTATTGTGGAAGTGGTGCATTTAGTGTGTGTGCGTGTGTGTGTGTGGGTGCTGACAGCGCCTGCAGTGGGTGTGTACCCTCTACAGTACTTACTTCTGGAATACACTCATCACTACCTACTACGTAGTTACCTTGTCCCTAGTCCACTTAGTATACTCACTACGTCTAGACCTCGATCCATCCACTAGATACATAACGGATACTTGTCTAGATTCTCCCCTCATTTCAGTTCTTTCATTCTATGCCAATCCCATCCAATATGAACAATGAAATCTTACACCACCAAACCTATAGTCGTAGCCATGACTATAGTCAGTCATATTGATCCCAAAAATAGGCACTCAATAATTCTCCCTTTTACCCCCCGAACCACAGCACACCCAGCATGGCAGCGACCCAATTCCATTCCTTTCTTTCGCCCATTCATCCATTCAGTCGTTGACTGCACTCCACAAAACCCCAACTTCGCCTTCCTCTGGGCACGAAAAAGTCAAAGTGGTGTACCAACCTTCGGAGGCCGTGGAAATACATCGCCCCCTGTCCCGATGCGTGGTAATAACTGCCCTTAGTAATAAGCCGTGTGTGCACACAAGCCCTGCACTGTTCCAGACTTGAGATCGGAACCAGTCTTTTCGATCCATCCTCACTGACTGATTTGACTGGTGTGGATCAAAGAACTTCCCCCATGGCAATGGCAATGGGGGCAAATCCTTCAGAGGGGGAAAAAAAGAACGCACTGCATGGGTCCTGTCTTGGTGCTTCTCATCCACGGATCGGAATTCTTCGCTTGTCGTTTGTCCTGCCTTGCCTGTTCTTTTTCGCTGCTCGTCCGAGAGAAAGAAACTGAGTAAGCAATTCAAACCATTATCCCGGTGTTGCCATTGTGTTCCACTTGCAGTTGTCTGATTCCACCAACGAATCTGCCTACGCAATCCGAGCACTTGGTGGAGCGGAGTTCGAACCACACTCACTCACACTGTTCAAGTGCTTAGGCCACCACCACCACCCACTAACTACTAACTAATTCTAGTCTCCGAACCTAGTCCGACCTTATTCTGTACTGAAAAGTCTTCGATTTGGATGCGAGAGAAAGTCTAGAACGTGGTGATCTAGTTTTGTGGTCTTTCTTTCTTCCCCCTCTACTGTGAATTCTTACCCCCCTCATTGCCCCCCTCTTCTTGGGGTTCTCGTATGCCTATCCTCTCTGGGAAGGTATTGCCTCTTTACTGTACATCTTTTTTCCTTTCTACATGGTCCGATTGTGGTTGGCACACAGACACTTGCGCATCCACCTGCTATTACGCCATACCTGCCTCTTTCTACTTGCCTACTGCTACTGCCACTGCTACTACTTGCTGGGCATGGTCTGATCGCGAGAAAAGACCCTGAAAAGGATCCCAAGAATCAAACTGAACGGAACTGAACCCTTTCTGTCAACGCTCTTCTCAACCGTGGTATATTGCAAGTCACTGCCGCTTCTGGAACAAACCCCTCTCTTCCAAATTCTTTCCCTTGAACCATACCAAAATATGTGTAGAAATGTTCCCTGTATCTGTCTTCCCCCACTCCCACCCCTACTATTCTACCAGTATGGCGCTCGGAGACCCGCCAAACTCGTCAATCCCCCCTCCCCCGCTGTGTCCTCGCGTTTGCGATGCCCCGCCAGCTCCAGGTTGATTTGCCGGTGAATGTGTACCAGCCAGTCCACTGAGCTCTGCGCCTCGTTGTTGCGGTCCTCCACCAGCATCCGCGCAAACTCGTACTCCGCCCCGTCTAGACCCTGACGCGCCAGCTGGATCGTCACGGCCTTGGATCCCCGGATTGTTGAGAAGTACTGCAGTAAATTGCGCACCTGCGCGTTCAAATGCGTCTCCAGCACTGGGATCGTCGATATCTGTGGACTCAACCCCTGCAGCGACGTCTGGCCCTCGCCGAATAGGTCCTCCAGGAGGTTGGGCGACACATGCGAATGCAGCCACAGCAGGCACTGCTGCCCATTATCCACCAGGTACGCCCCGCCTTCCTCAATTTTGGAGAAGCTGGCCCGCAGCGAGGGGGGCACTTGCAGTTGTCCCTGTTCGTTGGGGAATCCGTCGGTCGGCTGCATGTTGTGGATCGGAATTATGCGGGGGTACAGGTACAGTGACAGCTCCGTGCACCCGATGGACCGCAGCATCCGCATGTCGTGAATGCGTCGATCCGACGCCTCTTGTCCGCCTGCATGCTGTCAGACAACCGCGTTTTTCCGATGGACGGTGAGTGAAAAGGGAATTGAGGGGTCTTACCTTTGATTGCCCGCGACTTGATCAGGCTGAGCATGTACATCGAGAACTCTTTCAAGTTCTCTGGCAGCACCAATTGCCCGGGAGGATGAGATCCGGAGAAGATCTTGCGGTATCCGCTGAAGATGTCCACCGTCTTCTCGGAGACACCAGCCCGGATGTCCTTGAGGGACTTGTCTAGGGTCTTGGAGGCCGCTGTAGTTTCATTAGCATTTATCGTTCCTGCCGACAGTAGCAAACATACCATCCTTGGCCACCATGGCGACCACTGCGTCTTGATCCACGAACTTCATCGTCTCCATACCACCCTCATTGACTGCAGCCACGGTGTTGATGCACCGCACCCGACGCTGGCCATTAGCCGAGGTATACAGCAAGGCTGCCTGGAAGTGGGCATCCAGCTTCGGGTCGAGCTTTCCATCGTAGCTGAAGACTACTCCGATAGCCTTGTCAGCGTCGATGGCTCCAATCTCGAGGTCGGCTCCGAAGGTATGTTGGACAAAGTTGCCATGATAGCCCGACACCTGCAGTCCGTTCGAACAACGGACCTTCATCAGGGCCTGATAGCCCGTCTCTCGCGTGATCGCATGCGCCAATTCCTTCGAGAGCTTGCGGATATCGCGAGGTGCGTGGAAGTTCGGGTAGAAGAAGGTCTCACCGCCGGTTACCTCAGGGATGTGGCCTGCCAACGTTAGCCGTAGTCAGGCAGGGGTAGCGCGTGTCAACTCACCAATCGTAGCAACGTCCATGTATGTTCCGCTCGGTGCCGCAATGAACATGTCCAGTCCGATTCCAGCCTCGGCCAGATGTCCGGCCGTCTCACGCCATCCTGCATGCTCTGTCGTAAAGAGCTTCCTCTCCGCGTCGGTGCCGTGGACCTTGGGGTCGTCCCGTAGGGACAGCGCACCAGGGCCCCAAGTGGGCAAGCTAGCGATCGTGCCCACGATCTTACCGCCAGTCGGTCTCAAGGCGGACAAGGCCGCATTGAGGGCGGGCAGCAAGGCTGGCTGTGGGTTCTTGACATGAGAGAAGATGCTCGGGATGCGCTGCAGCAGAGAGGTAATGACATCCCTGGACTTGTTAGCTGCATAGTTCAACCACAATTATGTAAGAGACGTACTTGGATTCGTAGGGGTCAACAAACAGTCCCTCGCTGAGAGGGACGAACGGCTCCTCCAGATCGGTCATCACCATCATCTGTGCCTGATCGAGTTGTGCCTGGAATTGTAAGCTTAGTAACGACAGAGGGGCGATTCGAACATACACTCAGGTTGTAAAAGTGCACCTCTTTATCATAGGTGACAATACCAATCTTTGCACCTTCAGGTATCCGCCGTGCGGGGGCCTCATCCTCGGGGTTCTCCGTCTCCTCGCTGTACAACGCTTCCATGATACCCTTGCACACGCCCTTCAGGAATCCTTTGTTCACCGATTCCTGGCTGACATCAATCAAGAACAGCCATTGAAGACCGACGGGCTCCTTGTTCCAGTAGTCCTTCGGCACCAGGAACTCCACGGTTCCCATCATCAGCTCCGGACGCTGCATGCGGTCGATGCGCGAGCCGGACGGGTCCAGCGGGGCAAAGTATTCCGGTGGCACATCGTTGGGGAATGTGCACATGTTACAAACAAACTTGTTCCCTCCGGAGCGGAACGACATGAAGGGATTGATATACGCTCTGCACCGGCGGCACCGCGGCGGCCCGGCATCGCCAAAGTCCAGTACCGGAATCGGCTGCTCGCCGTCTAGGCGCGCCAACGGCTGCAATATCATGCCCAGAGGAAGGCCCGTCGAGGAGAGGAAGTCGGAGGTGGATGGGATGTTGTTCAAGGTGAGACGGGCGTACTTGGGGGACGAATTGCCCTGGTCGTGGGCGACGAACGGAACCGCCGCTGGAGGGGGAAGATGCCGCTCCATCGTCGGGTACACATGGTTGAAGTAGTATTGTGCGGGCAAATCGCGAGACCGGGGAATGCTAGGGATCTGTTCCGGATCGACCTTCCCTTGTGTTGGAACTGCACCGGCACCACCTCCGAACGCTGGGTTCACGGGGGCGGGAATGCTCGCGGCGGGCGAGATGGGACGAGGTGCTTGGTTCAAGCCGGTGTTCAGGAACTGAGAGGTTGGCTGCATGGGATCCTGGGGGGCGGCCGCGAACGGTTGCGCGACTGATGCCGAAGCACCAGCAATCTCGTGGTGCGCATGCCGATGCTTCTTCTTGCTCGACCTGGCCGCTCCTCCTTCACCTCCCATTATTCCCAAACCACTCATCTGGGATGCTAGCCCGGCCATTCCGGGGTCCACAGGGGCACCCATCGCAGCTTGCGGATCGACCTGGTGTGCGAATTGTGACGGTGGTTGTTGCAGAGGCTGCTGTGCTGGCGGGGGAGAGCCGTAGGCGGGCCATTGTTGATTAGGGGCAGGGACTCCATACGCAGCACCGGGCTGGGGAGGCGAAGGGCCGGGAGGAATCCCAGCGGCAGGATAGCCTTGCGGAGGCACTTGATATGCCATTTGATTGGGATCGGAGGGGTTTTCACCAGGCACCGGGGCCTGGCCGTAGGTATGATACATGTTGGGGTCGGCCATAGTGCTTCATAACGCGGGGGAAGCAAATCAACGAGCGTGGACGAGGGGACAGAGGGATCGATCACCGGCGAAGAGAAACCCTGTCAGCCACGGACCATCACCAAGTGCTCCAAGACGACAGCCGGGAAGGGTTTGCACCAGGAAAAGGGGAAGTATAGCAATTAATCGCAACTGACCACCTAAACACTTCCTCGTCGGAGGAGAACCCGTGGCCTTGGCCGCTTCCCCCTCTCGGCCTAGCGCCTGCTTATCTCAGCGGCCACATTTCTGGCACTGGTGGTCTATCTGGACGCCCGGACTCAGGTACAGCCAACTATAAAGTTACGACTGATTCCTAGCCCATAAGATAGGTTATGTATATTTTGGTGTCTATGGTATTTATGGATTAGTTGGTTCGACTAGGGTACTCGAGTCGGCGGGAAGAACCGGCTCGAAAAGGCTCATGTGAACGACAGGAACTGTCGCGCAGTGCGCGTTGTATACATCTGCCCAACTTTAATTGATCGTTCAGTCATTGGGCTCCTGGTCACAGCAGGGTATCATAAATTCCCAGGATTGCTTATTTCTGTTGGACTGGTCATCCGACGGTGATCCTCAGATACTAGTGTTCTCTGAAAATGTTATAGTTGATCCAAATCAGACTGTCATAATTGTGTTGTGATAGACATCGTCTATCCTTTTGAAAGATGAAGTTATGCGATGCCTGTCAGAACATCGACCTCCGAAATCTCTTGCAATCTTACCACAATACGCGTGAACTCTATCCAATAAGCGACCCTTGGACTGGCGGGCTTTCCCTCAATATTTATAAATCCAAGGGGTTTCAGGCTCACCACGCGAGTATCACCGCTCTTCAAAATGCTATGAAAGATGGCTGTGAGTTTTGCAGAATGGTTTGGGCACATCATTGCCACTTCTTGTCCCAAAACAGTGACAGAAAATACTGCGCTGACACTGAAACGCATGGGACGGATGAATGCGCATGTAAGCAATGCCGAGGGCCGCTGCTCTTTTCTATCCATCAGAATTATGGTCTTCATCGCTACCTTCAATTGGTAGTTGTAGCCATGCCAGATGATAATGGGGAGCGGGACCCGAATATCTGCAAGGATGTTGGAGTAATCGCAAAGTTGAACATATGCACTGCTAAGGGTAGGTACCCGGAGACTGGGAGGCTGTGAGAGTACGCTAACGCCGAAAAGGCGCAGAGATACCAAAGAGAGACGCACATCTCCTTGAAGATATCGGTCGTGACGAATTGCCTTGTGATCTGCACTCTGAGATGTGTCTCTCTCTGGCGGCCAGTTGGCTAGATAAATGCTGCCGGAAGCATGCAAAATGCGAAGGATACAAAGACAGAGCGCATTCTCTTCCCACACGTGTCATTGACGTAGGGGACTCACTCACACAACCATATTTACACATCAGCGCAGACGGTGAAACCGGAAGATGGGCGGCATTGAGCTATTGCTGGGGCGGAGACTCTAATTTCACTCTCAATGCCTCATCTTTTGACGGTCTCCGCAGCGGACGGTCTCTGGCGACATTTCCAGCCACTCTACGGGACGCTGTCCTCGTGACAAGAGCACTAGGATTCCGCTACTTATGGATCGACTCCCTCTGTATCTTTCAAGATGATAGTAATGACTGGGCGGTCGAAGCTTCAAGAATGAGCCGCATTCACAGACATGCAGCTGTCACTATTGCCGCTACGAGCGCAAAAACGGCGGACGATGGCTTCCTAGACAAAAGGGCACCGTTCTTTAGCTGCCCTTTCCCTTGGCGTCGAAGATCCCACCGAGGTAGCGTCAATGATGATTTCCGCGCGTATCCTGTTGTTTTTCGGAGTTACACGAATGAGTTTAACAAGGAGCCGTCACGGTATTCGCGCTGGGCTACCAGAGGCTGGACATTCCAAGAGGAATTACTATCGAAAAGACTCTTGTATTACACTAAAGAAGAGATGATTTGGAAGTGCCGCGCTGTGACGTTTAGGGAGCCAGGAGAGGAACCCGCTACCTCTCTCATAGAGCTTCCACAGCCACTACCGGTTCCTCTGCCCAAGCCAGATGAACTATACGCCGCAAATGACATGCCAGATCCCTATCGGAATTGGTACCTGCTGCTGGAAAAGTATTTATTACGGGATCTCAAATTTGATAGAGATCGCTTGCCGGCGATCGAAGCATTGGCCGAGTTCTTCCATGCGCAGTTTGGAGAACAGTACTGCGCGGGATTGTGGAGGGGGGGCCTCCTATTTGGCTTATTATGGAGCATTCACCGTAATGAGCACTACCCAGGACCGCTTGCTGATACTGCTAGACGCTCTGAGGCTCAGAACCTCCGTTACCAATACAAATATAATAAAGAAAGATATGCTCCGGTGGGTGATTCTTCGAAGCAACGGAAGCCGTCCTGGAGCTGGATAGGGGCAGATACTTATGTCGCTTTGAAGTGGCCCCAGTTGAGATGGATGCGCAACTATACCTATCTTGCAAAAATCCTTGATTTCAAGGTCCACGGCCAGCTTCATGGCGTCTTCGGCCATGTAGAGGGCGCGGAACTTACCCTGGAGGCGCCGTATCGGCACTTCCATTTGAAACTCGATAGCTATTCCAAGTCCCGATGGAACCCCGTGAGGGCTGCATAGAGGGCCCTTACGCGCTCTAGTCCGTTGGCAAGCATGAGGGAGCTGGCGCAGGTCGCCCTTGTGAGACCTGGCTACCTCGCAGGAACGGAAACGAGCGGCTCTGTTATCGTTCCGAGCAGCAGTATGGACTTCACACTAATCCACATTGCAGAAGTGACTCGATTTGATCCACCAGTGCTATATCTCCTCATTCTACAGCCTCAGCCGAGGAATGCAACCAACAGCAGGGGACCACATCATTATCGTAGAGTTGGGTTGCTGCGGCTTAGCCCGCACAGATACAACAGTTCCGACTCTGTCAGGGTGGCGGAGACAAAACGCTTGGAGAGTGATGCCTATAAGGAAGTTGCTTCAGAGAAGTGGCCAGTCGGAACTTTTGTAATTGACTGAGTATGATAAGAGCTGCAGCATATCGAATCACTGGCATTTCTCTTGCTGTTTATGGGGTTACCGTCTGGCTACCCCATCTGAATGAAGCATCAACGAATGTCGAACTCGCTCAGTAAAGAGATGTATGCTTTGAACATACAAGCCGGTGTATTCAAGTAAGTCATCACAGACAGTTTCTATCATAGCAATAATCACAATTCGTCACTGTCGCTTTCCTATGAGCTCTTGGATCCAATCTTGCATGCGCCGCTTAGGGCGTACTCCGAGACTACACTCATATTGCTGCAGTCAGCAGCTTCAGAGATCTAAGACATTATAGGTAGCGTTACCTCTGATATCAGGGATTCAAAGCTGTAATATTTCTAGGAACTCACTGGTATGATAGCTTGACCTTTATAGTTGACCAGGTCGATGCGCGGGGAGCCGTGACTCGGTAAAGGATAGCATTATTGGAACTCGAGAACTTATGAAGCAAATCCCAATCAGACGCCATTAACCAGGGTTTTCCGAGAGGTTTTGCGGGGATGTCTTTGTGATATACGGAGTATAGGAGTAGGAGGTGTAGGGATGCCCTTGCTGGGTTTTGTCAGTCCGGCCCCGATAAGAATGCATCATGCGTCTGCCCCCTCCCAGCCACTTCTGCTGGATCTCCAGTTCCTTTTGACTAATGATGAAATTTCATCAAACTTTATGACCACTTTGTTGACTATCTATTAATTCTCTCATCCTTTCGCTCACCCTCAGTAATACCCCAAATTCATCCTCCGTGTTCGTGGTGGTCCTCGCGGGGTTCTCACCGACTCTTCATCGGCATCTGGACGGGTGAGTTCCGCATCGACTGATCCCGACGATCACTGATCGGAATCTACAGAGTTACTTTGAATACCGAATTCGAACCCACCATTCGCCCTCGTTGCTTCGTTCAATCCTAGGGCGAAACTATATCCACGCTCCCAGTGCGATGGCCACCATCCACGACAATGACGAGCTTCTCTTGGCCCGCATCGGCTACAAACAGGTATGGCCCAAGCGCCTGGATCCATCGGCTGGCTTTTGACTCTTTAGGAATTGAAACGTGAATTCTCAAAATGGTCCACCGTCTCTTATGCCATTTCCATCTTAGGCATTCTAGGCTCAGTTCCCGCCACGTTCGGAGCTCCCTTGGCTGCAGGAGGCCCAGCAACCGCAGTATGGTGTTGGTTTGTGGGCTCTTGCATGGCCTTGTGTATCGGCAGCTCGGTCGCAGAGCTGGTCTCTGCATATCCTACTGCCGGAGGCATGTACTTTGTCACCAAGCATGTAGTCCCAGATGAACATGTACCCATCTTCTCCTGGGTACAGGGATGGTGTAACCTCCTCGGACAGACGGCGGGAGTATCCAGTGTCGCCTATACTGTCAGCCAGATGTTACTTGCCTGCGCGAGCATGAATTCGGAGCTTGTGGATGGAAAGTATTCGTACTCACCGTAGGTCTCTTGCCGTAGCATACCTACTGTCTTGACTAACGGGACAGTTCCGCGTTGGATACGGTGCTCTTGTCCGTGATATTGCTCTGTGTACTGGGTGTGATCTGCTCGATGACCACCAAGTCTCTGCATCAAATCTTCCTTTGGTTCGCTCCGATAAACAGTATGTCATCTTCTCATGGAAGTTGGACCCAGCTGACCAGCTAGTCGCCGCGACTTTCTGTATCTGCTTCGCCCTGTTATGGTTCACCCCCAATAAGCAACCAGCCATCTGGGTGTTCACCCACTTCACTGATGGGTCCGGATGGGGATCAAAGGTATTCTCCTTCCTACTAGGGTTTATCTCTGTTGCATGGACAATGACCGACTACGACGGAACCACACAGTGAGCACACTCTACATCTGCTAAATTCCCCAGACCAGCTTACACATAGTCCCAGCATGTCCGAAGAAACCCACAATGCAGCAGCTCTAGGTCCCCTAGCCATCCAGTCAGCCGTGATTGTATCTGGCATCCTCGGCTGGATCCTAACCATATCAATGTGCTTCTGTCTCACCGACTTCGATGGCATCCTCAATACCCCCACTGGCCTCCCAGCAGCCCAGATCTTCCTCAACGCCGGAGGAAAGCTAGGCGGCTCAGCCATGTGGGGACTAGCAATCCTCGTACAGTTCTTCACTGGATGCTCTGCCATGCTAGCAGACACTCGAATGGCCTACGCTTTTGCTCGTGACGAAGCCCTACCCTTTTCGTCGTACGTTCCCTACACTAACCCCTCATCCAACGAAGCAAGATAGACTGTTAACACCACGAACCATCCAGCTTCCTCTCCCAAGTGAACCCATACACCCAAACCCCCGTCAACGCCGTCTGGTTCGTCGTCTTCTTCAGCATCTGCCTGAATTGCATTGCCATCGGCTCGACCCACACCGCCACCGCGATCTTCAGCATCACTGCGCCGGCATTGGACCTCTCCTACGTGTCCGTCATCCTAGCCCACCAGATATACCGAAAGCAGGTGAAGTTCATCGAGGGGCCGTTTACACTGGGACGATGGGGACCTTACATTAATTGGATCTCGGTGATATGGGTGGTGTTTATCAGCTCGGTGCTGTTCTTTCCGCCGACGGTGCCGGTGACGGTGTCGAATATGTGCGTTCAGATCCCCTCAATGAAGTCTTCAGACGGATCTAACTAGTGGTAGGAACTACGGCATCTGCGTTGGTATTTCCATCGCTGCGTTTTCGCTGGTTTGGTGGTGGGTTGCTGCGAGGGGGTGAGTATATCTTTCTATTCTTTACGTAAGTTCAAGAAAAGAAAATGGTTACTGACTCGTGAATAGAAGATACACTGGCCCTCGAACAACAGAACACATGCAACCTGTCCCGACCGAGGAACCGGGCCTTGACTATGGGACTATGCAGTGATGGATGGATGCCTATCTCTCGTTGCACACATCAAAACCCCCAACGTAACCATCCAGTTTGATTCAGACTCTACCTAGCTGTTATAGATGACTGGTGCTTTATCCATAAATACAGGTATAGATCGAATAGAATAGACTTGTTTCCTTGTAGTTGATATCTTCCAGTACTTTGCGCACATACACACCTCACTCAATGATAATCTATCTCCGTGATCACCTCCACCCTACCCATAGCACCAATCTACTCTACCAGTATCAAACAATCTACACGCAAAAGAACCTCCAACCATCACCAATAACATCAGAACCACGATCACGATCGTCACTCAATTCCCTTTCTCAGCTATTCAGCTACTACCTAACCCTTATAACGAATCCGCCGAGCTGGGCTGGATATTAACTACATTAGCTCACTAATGTATGTCTCAACCAAGCTATCTATTATGTATCTATCTATCTACCTGGAGAATAGAGCGATAAGTGCCCAACCGGATTCCAACCTGATCCTGATTCCTACTAGTAACAGTAAGTCATATCCCGAGAGGGGAAGAGATTAGCGGGAGCTTATCTACGACCATACACATATCAACTTGCAGAATGCAGGGGAAAGGAAAGAAAAAGAAGGAAAAAAAGCAATGATGATGATAAGGAGAAGAAGGAAATAAAACAAAAGCAAACATCTTCAGGAACAGGAATGTATTTGCAGTGGAACAGAAAGGGGAGAAGCTTAACTAGTAGATGTCAGTGGAAGTTAAATTGGACCAACCTACTGTAAGGTTGCCTTGGGTAGTTGGGTGGTGTTGTTGGGTTCATTAGTAGGTCGGTAGCTGACTAGTGGGTAGCCCGCTGTAGCTACTGCTAGTGTTGATGGAAGATTCTGTGTGAAAGTCGGTATATCCAGGCTTGGTAAAGGGTAATATCATAATCTTAACTATCTGTATATACAAAGGCAGTAATCTTATACATGTATCAAGAATAATAAAGAAAGAAGAAAAATATCATCACGACTCATCAGACGCATACTCCGTCATATATATAAGTACATCTCAAAGAACCATTCCGACCGGCCAGTGTCCCTTTTGGTATGTTGGTATACGGAACTGTGCCCCTATCCATGCCCGCTGACGCCATGTCCGTCCGTCTCGCTTTGAGGCTGCTCCACTTGGGTTCTGTTGCCCGTTCGCCATTCGGTAGACCAGAAAAAGAAAAAGAATAGGAGAAAAGAAAAAGAAGAAGAAAAAGGAAAGAAAGGAAGAAAGAGATACATACATCGAATGACTCGGAGAACCAACGAAAAGTTCGTCGCCAGTAAGAACGACGAATCATGCAATCGGACCGAACCGAAAAAGAAAACATGCAAATTGCAAATAGAAGCGGCAAGTAGCCTAGGTGATCAAGAAATCCATATTCATGTCGCTGATGATCTTCTCCCAGTCCCAACTTTCTTCCATTTTCGTGTCCATCACTTCCCACACTCGCTCAACGACCTTGAAGGCGGGTTCGATGTTGCGGAGGTTGGAGTAGCCCTTGAGGGTCTCAAAGCCCTTCTTGATCCTCTCCCGCTGGCGGGGCAGGAAGGCAGAACAGCCCAGGAGGAACAGTGGCATCAGCACAATACTGTAGGCGCCTGCATCCTGAGGCAGCTGATCCAGGAAAGAAAGTCCATCGTCCACAACCTGTGCAATTTTCTCGCTTGGTCGGGACGGGCGGATGGTGCGGTACAGGTAGACCCAGGTGGACTGGCGATATAGTTGCGCCAGGTAGTAGTTTGGCGTGTTGGGCGTATACGAGGTCTCCCAAGCTCGAATGGCGGAGTCGATGGAGACGGCATCGCCCAGAATCTGGTAGTCAACAGCAGGTTCGTATCCTTCATTGGACCGCTGTCGAATCCGGTCTCGAATTCGAGTTACCTCGGAGATATAATTGAATAGACCATCAAAGACTCCAAGGAACATCCCTGCCTGCGCGTGTGGCACAAAGTCAGGCAGCCGTAAGCCGCCCTGCAGATGGGCGGGGCGGCGATCCAGCGAAGTGATGGAGTTGGAGACATCATGGTACTGGAAGAACTCGACAATAAACTGCCGGAACTTCTCATTCCTCGGTTGCTGTGTCGACAGCAAATACCGGGCGGCATCCATGTGGGGTCTGTATTCCCCTTTGGTTTCCCCTTCACAGATGGTGTTCAAGCTGAGAGCAATTGTGGATGCGATAATGGGATCTTCGATAAGAAGCTCAGGGTCTTGCTCAGAATTACCTGAAGACGCTGTGATATTGTCCTTGAGATCCCTGATAGCGCGGTGGTAATGATAGAACTTTCGCTCCTCCAACATTGGATCATGATGGAGACCCGACAGGTGCGATCCTGAGAGGCACATGAGCGAGTGCATCAAACCCCGGTGCTGAGTGGCCATCGGGAGCAAGATCTCCTTGAACGGGTTGGAGTCATCGTTGATCAGGGTCAAAACGCGACTAAAGCCGTAGACGAAATGATCGAGGAAGCGCCGGTCAATCTCGGTTTCGATGCCGTCGATAAGCAGAGGTAGAGAGCGGGCAACCATGTTCTGGGTGCGAACTGCTGTGAAACTAAGGCGTCAGAACGTTCATACAGGTGTCAAGGTGATTGGATCAAAGGCGCCGGATAAGCAACCAGGAATAGTAAATACGCACAGCAAAGCAGCTCGAGCATGCCACGGTCCAAGGTGCACTTACCATCCTCAAGCTTCTGCTTACCACTCTTCCATATTTCTTTCGGCGGGTAGCCCTCGCATACCACGGCATTCTTCTGACAGTTGAGACACCTGCAGGAAGGGAAAGAAAGTTAACCACTGCGACCGTTGCGACACAGGATGGACCAGTCAAAGGAGGACGGGAGCTTTACGCTGGCTTGGTCTCGTCGCATTTCTTCTTCCGCCGGCGACAGGTGATACAACCCGTTTTGGATCGACCCTTGGTGATTTTGATCTGATTCCCGGGCGCTGGCAGCGGATGTTTGCGTGGTCGTCCACGTTTCCGTGGGACGTTGACGGGAGCAGCCGTGGAATCCGGATGGGTAGAACTCGCATTGGCCATCGATGTCTCCACTCCCACCGGTTTTATGCTCTGCAACTCGTCCACATCATCTATCTCCTCGATCTTGGGTGTTACCTCGTCCATGGAAGCGTCCATGCCGTGGGATGCGATCACGTTGAATCGGAAGGTTTTCGGCGAGGTGTCTGCGGTCGTTGAAAACGGATGGTGTAAGCCGTCTTGAATCTTGACGTCGACCTCGGCAGAGGGAGAATTATCGGAGGGGGCGTCGCCATCCCACGAGGCGGGCGAATCGTTAGATATGCCGTCGGTGGTGCTGATGCTGTTTCGGTGCGAGAGTGACGAGTCGTCTACTAATGGGCAGTCGCCGAGGGCGGGGACGTCCGTCAACATGACCGAGCGGGTGGAGTCGCGACGCTCAGCTGGCGGGTTGGCCGATGGCATGGTGTGAGGGAGACCGGTGACATTATTATAGGTGGTGGATGGAGGGAGCACATAGGTGTGGGATTTCTGCATGGACAACATTGACCCATACACACCTCAAGCCGAGGTGCGCTATGATTGCGAGATAGACAAGAGGAGGGCGATAAAGAGGGGGTGGGAGAAGGAGGAAAGGAAGGCGAGCGAACGGGAAGAGAAATGTGTTGGTTGGTTGGTCGGGGAGTTTGGACCAGCGCGAGGAAGAGGGGTAGACGGGCGACAATGCTTCGGCGATGGGGAGGGGGAGAAGAGGTGGTTTAAGAAGGAGGTTGTTGGGGAGGTCTTTTTAAGGAGGGGAAGGTGAAGAAGTGAATGAGGATAAAGAATCTCCCTATAGAGTAATTATGATTGGAGTGGGGAGCAGTTCAAGACTTGGCTGTGATTTAGTGGAAGCACGGATTGGACCCGAGGGAGATTAGTCGTAGTTTAGCAGGAGGAATTCGTGGTGTGAGTGGATGGGGAAAGGCAGGTTTCAATCAGTCAATCAGTCAATCAGTTAGCTGTTAGTGTAAGAATAGTAATAGTAGTGGTGGTAAGTAGTGTAGTAGTAGTAGTAGTAGTAGTAGTAGTGGATCGTCCGTGGGTAGAGAGAGTGGGAGTGCAGAGGCAGAATCTTTCCTCTTGAAACGAGGCTGAATTTGAAGATCGGGGAGAAGGAAGGATGGGGAAGCGATTTAATATAAGTAATAGTATGGTATTTTTTTTACTGGCAAGAGGTAGTAGAACCAGAGGAAGGTTTTTGGGTTTTTTGGTCTTTCTAATTATTCAATAGGATTCCGAACAGTAGTCATAGGAATGAATAATGTTCCTGACAATCCGTATTGTATGGACAGGTATGGCGATGGGGATGGGGATGGGGCAAGGTATTAACAGTAATTCTCTGTGAATGGATGGTTTGGAGGGGGATGGATGGCAAGACGGAAAGGTAACCAACCCAAGTGGGCAAGTCGAGAGGGTAGCAGTAATAATAGTAGGAGGAGGAAAGTTAGTAGAATTTAGTTAGTACTTCTGGCAGCACCGAAGTATTATAAGAATTATAATTATAATTCTTCGTCTTTTTTGGTTGATTCACTACTTTACTTGCTACCACTTGTTTTTTCACTATAGTTCTGATGGTTGAGCTATGGACTGACTGACCCTCTGGAGCCCGTCCGACTACTACTGACATAAGTACAGGAGCTAAGTTACCGTGCGCAAGAACAATAATAACGGCACAAATAAGTAAAATAGCTCTTAGGGTGTCGTGGAAAATCCAAAAACATTTCCCTGGGGAGCAACATTCTCGTGATGTATGCTGATGGGGACTTCCCAACATTAGGATTATCATTAGTATCCTCCTGCTCATCTCTGGTTCATTCTCTTCTCCTCATCGGTCGGGGAGTGATTGGAGGCATGGAAGTGGACCCCATCAAGAGGGCATCCAAACTAGGCAAACTTTGTGATCAATGCTTCCTGTCTGGGGAGAATCGCAATAATTAACCGTGACAATGACAACAATGCGCCAGAGCCAAGCCCACTTTCGGAGATTCCGCAGCGTGCCAGACAAAGACAACTAACTATACCGGCAGTTTGACCATTACTGCTTTGAGTATTCTAGGGCGATTTCCTCTTATTGTATCCTCTAACATAGCGGGTAAATGAACAGCAATCATCTCTAAAACAAACTAGGAATGATGATCAAGAAATTCAAACAGATTTTAGAGGAAAAAAGAAAAAGATTAAAAAGAGAGAAAAAGACAGGGTCAGTAGGGCATCCATCCATCCCGTCCCGGGCTGCGCTTTTTTTAAACTCTAACATGGATGCGGGGGGGTCGAGGAACGCCAAGCCAGTGCGCATTTGCACTCTGATTGGTCCGTCGCGGGACGGAGAAAAACGCCAAAGAAGCGAGCCAAAGCCATGCTAAACTTCACTAGGTTAACCTGCGATTCTCTTCGCCGTCCTGATTTTCGTCGTCTTCCCTAGTGCCGAGTGCCTAGTGCCAGTTCCTACAGCTTCCACTTCTTCCCCAGCGCGGTGGATACGCAAAAGCAAATGATGCTGCTCGAATGAGGAATTTGTTTTTACCCAGTAGAACAGCCCCAGCTGGGAGGGTCCCCATCCAGAATAAACCTTCCCTACGCATGGATGGTGCACCCTGGGAAAGGTCGCCGGACGGATGATCCTCGTCGCTCACCACTAGATCCTGCTGGGCGCACCTTTCGGTTGGCGACCGGCCGGTGTGGGTGATTCCCCAGACCCGTCCAAAATGCAATGGATGGTCCTCCCCTCCCCTCTGCTCCCTCCCAGGGGCCCGGCAGCCTGTAAGACTAGAGAAAAACCCACTAAGTGATGGACGAAGCAACTAGCGACTGGCTTGCGTGGAGGATCTGCTCCATCCGGTGAGGCTATTGCCGACTCCATACAACCAGATTGACTGGCAACCTTCCACAGTCGTACAGGGCCGCGTCGCTATGAGAGAGTTCGTCACCTTGATTGCGAACTGCAGCTGGAAACCCCCGAATCCGTCCTGATGACACAATGCCAGCGGGAAGCAGGTCCAGATCATGGAGTAGCCTCGCATCGGTATGTGCAGCTGGTGGCTGTGGAGGGGGAGGAGGTGGTGGTGCTGCTGCTTGTATTGCTGTGGGAACCAGCAACCGACTGACCGTGATCATGGGAATATCGCTCTCGTATAGTTAGTTAACTTTCCCCCGGTCCCCTGATAATTCTTGGTGGAACAGAACGGGAGGATTGTCTTCTCCCAGTGTAAATCTTCGGGGCCCCCCCAAAGAACCACACCAGACGATCAGTCTACCAAAAAAAAGCAACTACGCATTTCGATCTATCTCTAGCATATCGAAAGGAGAGGAGAGAAACCAGGTCTTTCTTTCATCTCTTACATACAGGCCGGACACGTTGAAGCATTGAATGCACCATGTGTTCGCGGACAGCCCTGCTGCAGTGGAAGAGCGACGCCGATGACGGTGGTGATGACGGGGCGTAGCGTTCTAGTCGGTCTTATGTATTACTTGCATGCCGGGATGACACGGCTCGGGCTCAGCTGGACGCCACACCCCACGCTACGACGACCTTGGACACTGCGCTCTCTCTCTTCTGGGCTCCCGCCCTCTCTTCTCTCTTAGGTCTCATCAGCCGGTGTTGGACAAGTGCGGAGATGGCCAGATGCTCGGGCAGTGACACCACAGGCCAAATTCCCTTGAGGCACTAGTCTTGGAGCTCTTGTCCTCCCTGCATTGTGATCCGTCTGACCAGTCTGACGCCCCCCTTTCGAGTCGTCCGATCTTTCCCCAGACTGCTGAGAGATACTGCGTGAGCTATTCATGAAAGCAGATCGGACGGTAATTAGCGAGGATTGACATGCCCCTCCGAGCATGCCATGGTTGTGTTACAGACGGCAACAGGAATGGAAGGCCAGAAAAGCCCTCACCCTGACAATCTGGGGAAAAGTGGGCCAGATCTTCTCTCCTGTGCGCCCCAGCACGGACATTCAAGGCACTGCAGATGAATCTTCCATCCAGGACCGCCAACCCATCTGTCCCCCAAAGCAGGCACGGATGGCTTGGAAGTGGCTCCTGTAGGCACTGGATGTATTACATCTCTTCCCGTGACCAAAGACAAATTCAATCTGGCAGGTCTGTGATCTTGTCATGGACGACTGGTTCCCTGTTTATGCTCACGGCACTACGGGAAGGCTCCGTGCAAAATAGGCAGAGGCAGCCTGAAAATGACTCTGTAGTAGGACTAGGTACTACAACTAGCTGTTCTGTAAACGCCCATAGTCATACTATTAATACTACTAATCATACCTACTTACTTCCAGGCAGTACACAAATGAAATCGCGACCGACGGATCGCCGTGTTGAGGGTCCTGGTCAACGGTCTGTCCTCCATCGCAGGTGGTCTCCTCACTCGACCTTTCCCTCCCACTCTGTCTTTCCCCTCTCATCAGATGTTCAGCTTTCCCTGACATGAGGAGACAGCGGCCTTTTATTGGAGGACTATGTTTCCGAGGGCTTGGACCTCACGGCTGACGGTGATTCGAAACGGCTGGCGAAGAGTAGTCGTCCGCGCCATCTGCCAGACGACGAATTCGGAAGTGGAGCTGGAGCTTAGGCTGGCTGGAGCTCGAGCTCGGAACTTGAGAGGCTCTGGCGCCGTATTCTTTTTCCCACTACTTACAAAGTGGACTAGGCTTCTGGGTCCGACCGTGCCTCGCTTTTTCCCCTTTTCCGTTGCTTTATCCGCGTGTCGCCGGTTTCACTCTAGCACTCGTCTGGTTCGCTCTAGCGATTAAGCTTGATGATCATGGATGGTCAGATGGCCATAATGATGGCTTTTTTTCTGTGTAAGAGCCAAGGTCGTGAGTGGATTCTCTCTCTGGCACTCGCCCGAGAGACAGCAAAAGAGAGAGCGTCGTGGGAGAAGGCGGATCGCCCAATGGGGAAATCCGTAACGAAGATTACAGTACCTCGTATGTACCCAGCACCTGTTCGGGTGCTATTGAAGCTGGAGAGTTTGCGCTATGCTCTCCCAGCCCACGAGTTCTCGTTTTTCTACGAGTCAAGCCGGTCTTGGGGCCAGGCAGGTACAAGAAACTAGGCCGCCTAGCTTCTGTTAGTCACGATGGCTAACCAACACTCGTGCCCGGTCACCGGAAAGCCCAGCAGGTGCTGACGCTGCAAGTGCACTCCTCACGATCAATTTGCTACAACAGGGAATTGGAGTTAGCCAGCTTGGGAAAAATAAGCATTCACGATGGAGCGACGATGCCTGGGTTGAAACACGCCCCACTCACAACCGGAATGGCCGTGACAAGACCCTCCTGCACTCCATATTCTACCGCATCGGGTATACGTACATGGTGAGAGAGCCATTGCCTTTGTGCCAATTTCCTTTTAGAAAGCAAGCACAGCAAGCAGGCGGACAAGAGCCCAACCACTGCATGAGAGAAGGTTAACAGCGCCATCTCAACCAGAAGAGTCAGTGGAACGGGACAAGTGGATCCACGGAAGGGTGTTCCCGCCGTATTCCAGTGGAGAGACAAGGAGCGAACCGCCGGTCCTGGTCACCTAAATTCTTCATCCTCTTCCTTCTGCTCAGATCAACAAGGCGTGCATTTGCGAGATGGGTGTACGATCGAATTTCCTTGCCTTATGCCTGCCTGTCCACGTAAACTCTACAACCTACCTACCCCGCCATTCTTGTCCTTGCGGAGTCTCGTACCGAGTACACTGAGCAGATCTCTTGACTCGCAGTCTGTCCACTCTCATCCGTTGCAATCGTCTTCTCCTCGTTACTCCTTGCGTGAATGCGGAGGTGACACGGAGACCTGAATGTGCTTGGTCTTAGCTTGTCAATACGGTCGAATCTATAGGCACGCCATACAGACTACGTTAAGGTGATGCCTATGTGCCCACCTTCCTATCGCTTTATCACTATAAACCCGACAATTAAGGACTATCAAGCAGCTATATCCATCCATAAGAGCATCCGGTATACATCCGACCGTAGCAGAGCTCCGTTCCGTCACCCGGTGTCCACAGCTCCTCTACCACCAATCCCGTTCCCATAACGGAGCAATGGACACTTGAGAAACAGACACAATACACATTGCGTAAGTAGTGTATATTGGCATTGTCTACGAAACACGAACCAGAATAACAGTATACCACCTGACCATTCTCCGCACTAAAACGGGCAAGTCAGCCGAACCCCTGCTGCGGATAGGCAGCTACAGTACCTACTCTAGTAAGCGCTGTTCCAACTTTAACTTTGTCCGTCGGTCGAGAGCGATGAAGTTGATGCTCATAGTAGTGACAAGTATATTAGGATTAACCTGCTAAGTAGGTAGGCAAGGTACATCCCAACACACTAATATTAGTCTAAGCTCTTAGGATGGATTGACCACAGGTGTTGGCCGACCACTCAGGCCTATGATATAACTAACGCACGGCCCTGATTCGTAACTTGCATGAGACGATGAGGTCTGAGTCCGGTTCCAGGAAGTTCGGTGGCATTCTACACCCTTTACACTGTAAGTGAGTGCTGCTTATGGCTGTGTACTAGCTAGTATGTTGTAGTAAGCATGTGCATGTAGAATGGCAGTATTCCATGGTGAGTGAGTGAAAGTTATTTACTATTTACCCTATAGGACATTAGTATCTTCCTCGCAACATAGCCACTTCTATTACTTCAAGCAATGTGTCAAGCCAGGATAAAGACAGACCACTGTTAATAATATCCCAGAATAGAATACAATCTCAACGGACGTAGGTATGTAGAGTGACCATGATGGGAAAAATATATACATCAGAAACCCCGATTCGTATATGTAGATCAACTCTGTTGCTTCGTCAATCCAATTACCTATTCAGGTAGTTACTTAGTTACTTACTACTTACGGACTGACCTGCCTACACTTAATTACCTAGCGAGCCGCTTATTTCTCGATTGCCTGCATAAAGCGGGCACAGTATCCCCCATGTCTCCACTGATCTAGTTTAGTGTATTTTCTGTCTCTGCTGTTCACAGTACACAGTACACCCCATCAGGGAGTAATCAGTGTACGGTTACTTCTGTTTGATAGTGATACCTCCCTTTCTCTCCTTCTCATTCTAGCATCAGGTAATATGAACAAGAAAATGAATAAAACAGCTAACCCCAAAGACTCCACAAAGTAGACCCATATTCTCATCCTATGTATCCCATCCCACGCAATACCACACATCCACCCATACAACCCAAATACATACAACATACACAGCCCCATCCCATCCCATCCAATCCACCAAGCAAGAAACTAACCCAACAATTGCGGGGAACGAAATTTAAAAACCGTCTGAGGCGCAGCCAATAACATCCCCCATAAACGAATACTTATTCAGCCCAGCGCACAGCTTTCTATCCAATCAATGTGTAGAAGTTGGCAATTGCCTTGGATTTGCTTTCACAGTAACCACGCCCGTCCCCCTCCTCCTCAGAATGAAATGTTTTTTTCTTGACTCAGTGTATGTATGACCTGATCTGGTTTTCGGAGGCGCCGGTCGGTCGGCCGGTCGGCCGATTGACCGACCGAGTGTGAGTGTGTGTAGTCTCTTTGACCCACTTCTACTACTTACTACTTACTGTGGGTGGGAGTATTATGTGTCGCGCGGTTGGGTACTGATGGGGAATTCCATAGTAGATCTGATGATGTTACTGTGTAGTTATTGATTAGTGAGACATGAGTAAGTAAGTGACTAGGTAGATGAAGTTCACTAGATCTGTATGTAGTTGATGTATGTATGCTAGTATGTAGACTAAGTAGAGACTTCTATTCCATCACTGCTAAGTCCAACAAAAACACACACACACACACACACACACACACAGATACTTACTTCTCTACCTATCTACCTCCCAACACTCGAAAACATACTCCGTAGTTAACAGTGTATAATCATCACCTACATACACTATGACTCACCTACCTACCCACTCCACATTCCCTCTCTTCCTCACCAACCATCATCCCCTCCATTGCTTTCCATACTTCCAACCCGTACCCGCAAACAACAGAAAAAAGTAAGAGTGCCTAATATACACCCACTACCCATACACCCACACACATCCCCGACCAATCCTTCTATAGTACATCCCGTAACTTGGGCAGCAACTCAACTCAAGTAGAAACAAAAGTACCATACTCCCTTCCGGTTTTTGCTTTCTGCATGGATCATGTTGTCTTATGGAAGGTGAAAGAAGGTTCGTTTGGGACTCCTTCAGAACTACTGACTAGTAGCTAGCTGGGCAGCGAGCAGGCTGCCGTGGTGGCTTGGTGGCGTGAATGGCTGCTGAGTAGTTCACTGGATAGTTAGTAAGTGGGTTGGGTAGGGTGTCACCTGATGATGATGGGATAGGGACGGCAAGTGTATGCCATGCCTTGGCGGGCAGGATTCTAGTGGTGATGATGGAGGATCTGGAATGGGGAATTTTCGGATGATTGGGTTTGAACTGGGATCAGGTTCTTGGGTGTATTGTAGTGGGAAAGGGCATTCCTTCCTTGAATATCTCGATGAGGGGCGATTGGGATGGTGTCACGTGATATATTTGTCTTGTGCTTCCGTTTCTATATCTATCCAACGAGCTACAGGAGGTAAGATTTTTAGATGTTGTGTTTAAGGGTAATTAGAATAGTTGTTTGATGTCCTAAAAAGATTATATAGGAATGTTTTGCCATATAAATATTTGTACTACCATCAACCAAACATGCTCAAAAGCATCTGAGTATTATATAGCAGAATCCCGACGTGCTCTGAGAGCAAGCACAAGTGAAGTACCATCATTCAGATGCTCCTTAGCACCGAGTATACTTCTAGCCTTGTTTGGCCGAGCAGGCTGGTGACGTGGTCTCAGAGCAAGCACGAGCGATAAATCATTGCTCAGCTGCTCTTTCGTATCCGATATATCCTTATGATTCCCTGCACGAGCAATTAGAATCATCACAGCAAATCCAACAAACCAAACCAGAACTTTAGTTAAACGTCTAAGACAAAAAACTACTTCAATCCCATTCAAACAATCCAGAATCAACATCAGGTTCATCTGAGTCATCATAACTGTCACTCCGAGCAGACAGCTGATCATGACCAGAACGCAGAACCAGGACGAGCAGGAACATCCACATCCTTATCCGACACCCACACTTGCATAACAGAGTTCAACTCACTTTCGGACCCAGACTCAAATGCAGGATCATACCCCGGGCTAGGAGCATGTCTCCTCAACGCGCGCCGAAAAGTACGAAAGTACGTTCTCAGCATACACTCATTATTCGCAACCCAGTTGCTGCCCATTTTCTTAATATATGTCTCGTCAGTGTGACTCCCTCGGAACCAAGCCTGTTTCTCTTCGTCAATGATAAGCCCCATTATTGCCTTTGAAGACATCTTCTTCCAGTTGCGATGCCAGGATATCCGTAACGCTTCTTTGCATGCTTCTTCATGGAAGGAATGGCCGTATATAATTATCAAGCAGAGGTATCGCTTGGTGCGGTTGGCAAAATCTCGGAAATAGAGCCTTTGGGCTTGAAAGAGCTCGTTCTCTTCTTCTGGATCGGGGCTGACTTCGAAGTTTTCAAACTCGTAGCTCTCGCTCTCGCTGGTTGGGAAGTATCGCTTGAGATTAAGGGGTAGGAATGGCCAGACGGGCTTGATGGTCTGTATAGCAGTATTGAACTCGATGAGTTCGTTGGTCTCGGTGGATTCTCTGCACTCATATGCCTCTTCCCACTCCATGGTGTGACTGGAGTCGCTGCAGTAGCTGGACATTATGAAGGTTGTGGTTGAAAATAGAGGACATGAGGCGACTCGAACAGATTGGTGGGAGCACATTATCATGCTGCTGTATTAGGTATTTTATATATTTTCGCAGGCATATTACTCAGGAATAACCCGGAGATATCATGGAATGCCAATATTCCTCAAACAAAGCGAAGGAGCACTGCTTTTATTGAGGAGAATATTTTCACATCCTATATAAGGCCTACGCGGTATATACCACTCGTAAAGATATCAGATGCTCATTCGAGGGGAAAGCACTTAATACACATCGAAGGCTGAAAAGCTACGTTTGGGAATACGATGCTTTTATAGACCATTCGAGGTGTGACTTGGTATAGACTGTAGTGTTTTCTTTGTGCCTACATATTATTTTATATATCAAGGCTGGGTTCATCGAGGAATCATCGGGGATTATCCAAATACTCAACGGGAGCAGGTATAATATATCGAACTTGCCGGTATTATCCAGCCATAGCATATCATTGCCTGCCTATTTCCAGAAGAAGGCAGGAAGCCTTCGAAGTCTGCCAAGGTTGAGAAATCAAATTCTGCTGCTAAAATACGTACAATAATTCTAGTCATAGTATTAGTGCTATCACTCTCCAGTTCTTAAGCCACGCACTATAGTAAGAACTCGAAAGTTTAATTCCTTTCTGTACTGGTATTGATGGCTCTTTCAGATCTTATGACTGGCGAAAAGCGGAAGATTTTCTCTCAATTCTCGTCAGTGGTCTTCCTAGATGTCCATTAGAAACAAAAAGCTGTAACACAACCCCACTTCATATATTCATCCACAATTCAGGTTAAATTTGGGCCATCATTGCTTGAAGCTTCTTATCCACTTAATCATTCCCTTCCCTTTGAGGTAAGCATTGTCTTCGGACGCCTTGTGACTGTGTCCCGTTTCCGGATCGAATGGTCGGTGTACATCACAGCTTGGGCGAACAAGTTGGAGCAGCATACTCCGTGTGATAGTGTCTGAAGTATTGGACGATGGAGCTCAGCTCTATTTGTGCCAGTCAGAATTGTTCAACTGCCTGAGTGGTGAATCAAACCTTGCTGTTGATATCATCAGAGCCCACCAGCTTATATGTTGGTGTCTGATCCTCAAGTAGTAACGTCTATATGGTATGTATTTATCATAAAAACAAATTGCTTATCTTGCAATTGTCCATCTGTTGTTGGCTGGGCACATTGGGATCTTGAAAAATCCAGATTCTCGAAAGATGTTCCATCTCCGGACAAATCTGATTGATGAAGGCTTGAGGGCGACCCATTAACTGGAGAAGGATAAGAACAGACTACTGTTAGATCCAGTGATAGACCATCTCTGGTCGGGATACATAGCTGTACTACCAGACCGTGTTATAGTATGTCTTCGACCGGTTTCAGACAGTGGAATTTCCCTGCCAGAATTTTGCAAGATAAGCCTTCATTGTAATAGTATATAGAAGTGCTGCTAGACTGGACACATTTATTGCGCGTAACACGAGGCTTCCTCTCCTATTAGAGTCCGCTGGCTACAGCTAATTACTAGACTATTCAGCGGCAGCGTGCACGATGCAATACACCCGTGCATTTGACACTGTGCTTGAGAGCGAGATGTCCCATTTCTAGGTTGCCTGCACGACGATGGGCAGACCCGAGTGGCCATGTTTGCTCTACCTGAGTGCAGTAGAGGATACAAGATGACGTTCATGACTAGTCTTGTTAGCGGGCCTGAATTGCAGAGATATTACCGAGTAATCCAGCAGGAGCTCGCTAGCTAATGCTTCTTTAATAACACCGCAAGGCCGAAGCCCAACCAACATAGCCATCATCGCCAGGCAAAAGACGCTACAGCGAACCGCGCTCGTATGCACGGCGTTCAGCCAGGGTAGCGCCAGCGGCAGGAGGGGGAGCCGACAGAGCAATCAACGCACGTCGAGAAGCGAGAAGCGCATCATAAGCGGGCAGATTAGCCTATGGAAACACCACCGATTAGCCATCTGAACCAGCGAACCCCAGATACCTTGACATATACTGACACGACAGGCCTTGCGAGTACCCTTCAGACCATGATATTGACCTTTGGAAGACACCAGGCTTTATGCGGCCGAGGACAACTTTGATGTCCCACCTTTTGCTTCAGATAGCACGCGAACCAGCACAGGGCCGACGACTGCATACTGGTTGAGGATCTGCATTAGCTCCTTAACTCTCTCTGGATTGCCTACTTGCACCACGATGTCCTCCGCTTCCGCTAGGTATTTGAGTACGCCGGCCACCTTTCTATCCCTCTCGCGGTCTCGGTGGTGGTCATACCCTTCGCCGTACCTCTCCAGCAGTAATGCGGTGCGAAGAGAACCACCATGGCCCGCTCTTCCCTTCCTTTACGTCCTCGCCATGCCGCGGACATAAGCAGCAGGAACTCTGATAAACAGTCGAGAGGGCTGAGTTTCCTGTGCTTTGACACAGTATGTGATGTAGAAGGACTGTTATCCTACCAGACATTTAGCATCTAGCGATCTCTTGTGCTCTTTTGAACTCTGGGTAGACTGCTTGCTCTGTTTTAGTTTCGGTTTTCCTCTCTGGGCAGCAGTCGACTGACCACGACCAGACTCTATTATCATGTCAGTTCTGGGTTGATATCGACAGTTATTAGACTATACTTACAGGCTCTAAGGGAGACTGCTGCTTTTGAGTCACCAGTTGTAGTATTTAGTAATCAAGAAATTGTGAAAGCAGAATTATCGCCGTCTGACTTTCGAATCATCGGTTCAGGGCGTTCAACGTCTGCGAGCCAGAGACACGCGGCGGCAGCGGCATCAACACACTCGAGCTTTAACTTACTATTCAAGTTTTCGATTAGTGAAGTCCGCCCAACACCAACTTCCACAGGTTCTGCATGACCCATCGGAACTTCGGGACGAGAGGATCTGTGTTGTCTAGGGTCAGAACTTTGCAGTTCTTATCCCAATATGCGTCATATGCTTCCATTTGTTCCTGGGTGAGTGGCACCTCATAGACCTTTTTTCACTACCGGTGGGATATCCTGACCGATTGTGCAGTCGGACCTAATCGGGATAACCGAAGCCATCATGCGGCGCACCATTAGTTGCCTGGGGAGAGTTCGCATGCGGGTTGCACTGGTCGCCTTGCTGATAGTCTGTGGAGAAACGTGCTTCTAGAAATATTTGATTGAGAGTAGGTGCTTTTGATTAGATGCCAGCTGTTCTGGATTCTGATCTGAAGGGATCGGTGTATTATGCAGCAGCAGCCGAGGATATCCGTTAAAATCTGTATTTTGAATGGTTAAAAACGGTGTAGCCATTATAAGCAAGTTGAAGGAACCCTGTAACTACTGCATGGCTAGCGATATACCCAAAGCTCCATTCCACAGATAGTGAGCCTCATCACATATCACCAGGTCAAAGCAACATATCTGAAACTCTGGAAAATGACAGCCTGATTTCTGATTCTGGCTGACTCAGTTCGATGTCGGAATCAAGGATCAAGTTCGTCATAGACCTAACGTTTTCTGGACCATTAGCGATTGGGTTGTGGTTGGGGCAGATTCAGTTATCTTTGTAGGACATATCATGCTCATGCATGTGTGTATTGATGTGTCTAGTTTGCCTGTAGGTTGTGAAGAGCCCGTATATAGAAATATATGCCATTTATACGAAGAGATGGCATTCTCGAAGAGAAAAAACGCTGCCAACCGCAGTTTAGGCGAAGGGATCATATTTCCTGCATAAATCTTGATTATTGCGGAGAACAAACTGAACTCGCATACGTCGCAATAGTCATAATTGGCTCCACGCCGTCAGGAACGCTATTATATCTCTCGTATATATTCGACAGTAATACGTCACATACTTTGGCTGTAGTCCTGGCGTGTCCCCTCTTGAGAAGACGCAGCGTAACAATACTACCACATGTATGGAAAGATGTCACCCCCTTCCTCAGCAAGAGAAGCAATTCTTAACCAGAGTATGGCTTGAGAAGTCTAAACAATTAGCGGATATCAAGATAGTACCGCTTTGATTTTATATCAGCAGAGGTGCGAGACCAGATGAGATTCGCGTTCAGTCTTTGGTTATTTCCGGGGCATAAGGGCTTCCAAGCATTCTCTCACAGCAATAGCTGTCTGTGGGTTCATCCTGGCCGGACAATGAGTCTTCCTGATCGTCTTCAGATCGGAAAATTATAGATACGACCATCCTGTATTCCACCAGTCAAACTGGCCAGCTCATAGATGAGCTGTGCAAATCATAGATATTAGCTCGACTCAACGAAGGAAAATCTCCACCGATATCCTGTAGTCTGGCGGTATATTTCCAGACACCTCTCTTTCAGGAAGGCCATGGCATAGTATAAAGATGGAGGTACACATCCATAATACTTCTATAGCAATACCCCAATGTCAATTCGGAAGTTATTTCGCTATGTTTGCCGTTGCTGGATGAATCATTGCCATTGTCGCTAAGCCGGTGCACATCATTATTATTGTCTCGAAGTAGTAAGGTAGTATTTTGGAAACAGGTTATTGTAGTAGACACCAGGGAAAGCCTCAAACGGGTTGAACGTGTTAGGTTATGTATACTAGATGTATACTACCATGGCTTAGTTGAAGTCCACATAGAGTAGCTTTCAGATAAGTAATAGTAGATATCAGAGTAGATGTAGGTAAAAATAAAGAGAAAGAAGATTAAAAACAAGATAATATATAGTATCGACCAGCAGCGTGAATCATCATCGCCCCCTTCACCTATACCATTAACAATCTCCAAGATATTCATCCTCCAGATTGAATACGACACAACCAACCCACTCGTGAATAGCAACCAATCCTACGCTCTCATGTCACCAACCCAACCAGCAAAAGCAACCAGCCCACGCCACCACCAGCAGAAGAAAAGGAAAGAATAACAAAAAGCAAAGATACACACACACACACACACACACACACACACACACACACATCACTTCGACTCCGCACTCCCTGGCCCAGATGTCAACCAACACCAGCACATCACCTTCCAAATCCATGTCATCTCCACTTGCAAATATCATCCACCTACAGATCATCCCAGCCCATCAACGCCTATGAACAAAACAACCAAACAAGCCAGCACCAAGACAAGTTACTCGGATGGAAGCTTCTCTCCCATTCTCAACTGCAAGCCAGGAACGATCATCATACATATGACAAGGAACATTGCATTGTATGCATGTAAGTACGTAAGTCCTATGCACATCTGCAATAGTTTCTTATCATCGCCACGAAATTTGCTTCTTAAGATGTGGGTACTGATACTGATCTTCTTTGCTATTTTAGATGTTAAGTGCTGATGAGGACAAGTTAGTATAATTTCATTATGTTATGGTAGTACGGTATCCCAATTAGTAGTCATTAAGTTGGTTAGTTGCTCCTTGTGGTTCGGACGAGGTGGTGGTAGATAGATACGTATACATAGTAGGGCGGGCAGACGGATAGACCGACAGGGTAGGTCTATCATGAATAACAATAAATCAGTAGTTGGACTGCAGAAGAGAGGGCCCTAAACCCTGCCAACGGACTGCTTTTTTCTCCTGTTGTAGGCTGTGTTGGTGCGCTGAGCGATGGTATGGATCCATGATGGCCCATGTCTTGTTGGCCAGGCTGATGCTTCATGTTGTGCCAGGTTTGACAGCGTTGGGACACAGTACAGACTGCCGTGTCAGTCACTTACGCTGTATACAGTTACATTAGTCGGCTGAAGTGGAATCTAATGGAAGAGGTAGGCGCAGAGATAAGATTGTGGCATGACTGGGCGCTAATTCTTGCCACTGGACGGGAGGATGTATGAATCGATCCTGGTCTGGAGTGTACGACTGCGTCTACTGCAATTACAAGTAGTTGGATTCGAATTTTGATCTGTTGTATTCAGGGTGTACCATCGCAGCCCAACCGCCGGTCGTGACCGATCCCAATGCAATTATCAACAACAATGCAGCACACGAAATCACACAAGACATTTAAAAAGAGACCCCACCCATGCTGTATAGCAATGCTCCTCTTGTACAACGCCGATCCATTTCAAGCCTGCCTGGGACCAACGGATCAAAGCAAACCCAGGGAATAAACCACACAAGTGTCGTAAACATGACCATTCCAATCTGAACAGTGTCAAACCAAGGCAATATGCTAATTCGTATACAACAAAAAAAAAGGAAATAGAAAAGAAGAGATCGACAGCATGAGGATCTAATTTCGTTAAAGGAACTGAAAATGCCACCAGCACGCTACGCAGTGAAGACCCGGTCCAATTGCCGGAGTGCGCGCATGTCTTCTCCCCCAAACCCGATCTTTTCGCTGGGAATGTCCCGGGGTCCCTCGGCGCGTCCTGCGGCCGGGGCTGGGGGCGCGGCGATCGACGGCAATCCACCAGAAGGCGCGCCGTTCATCAGCGCACCGATGCTGGGCACGGTAGTGCCGGTGCTGGCTTCCAGTGGCTTGGGTGCCATCGTACTCGGCGGAGGAATTTGTACGCTACTGGACGGTGGCTGGCTGATAAGCTGGGGACTGCGCGCAATCGATGGGATGCCGTTGCTGTGCGGCATATGATGTGGCTGCGTGCGGGGTGACGTTCTCGCGATCTCGCGAGGCGGGCCAAGCTCTGGTGGACTCGGGCGGTGAAGAAGCTCGTGCGCTCCTGGCGGCACTCGTGGTGACCGGCTTGCAAGCACCTGCACGCTCGACGGTTGATGGAGAGATGGCGCCATCGTCACTTCAGCTACATGTACCGGCCGCTCGTGGTGTGCCGGCAATCCGGGCGGTTGCGGAGGCGGCAAGGGCGTGCCAGGAGGCACAGCAGCCTGATGACCATATGGCATTTGGCCATTGGGCTGAGACACTGACGGAAGGTAAGAGGGATAGTGGACCGGAACGGGCGGAGTAGCCAGCGGGGTCGGAGGCCATGTATATGAGGGAGTGTATGGCGCCGCGTGCGCAGCCGGAGAGCGTCCATAGGGTGCCATGGGATGAGGCGGCACGTATGCGGCACCGGCCATGGGACCACGAGTCACAACGGGGAGATTCTGTTGATCATTCACAGTAGACTCCGGATAAAGGCCCTTTTGAGGACGCACATGCCGCAAGTTGGGGTCCGTCGACGGCTGTTGAAGATTGGCGGCAGAAGGATGTGACCTCGAGTAGTAGCTGATAAGATGGAGGTGCTGGCCGGTAGATGTCGTAATGCTGAAGGATTGTTTCATCAAGCCATCGGGCTTGTAGCGGTAGCCGTCCGGCCCTTCATCCGCACCATCTCCACGGTCGTCGTCACTGCCTCGTGTGCTTTCTGGCGTTTTACCAGCTCTCGACATCGTAGTCTGAGCTACACCAGTCCCGCCCCGTTTGCCTTCCATCTCGCGATATGTTAGGAAGCTTCCCGATACGCGACTGGCACTCCATGACTTCCCATCGGTCCATCTTCGCATGCCCGCTTCGCGTTCATCCCAGACAAAGACTGACCCGGAACGAATTAATTGACGTTCCTTCTCGGATAAACGTCTCTGTACGCGGGGGAGAAGGCCAATGCGACAAGCTTCGAAGAGGATGATAGCGTCCGCAGGAGTGCGGACGTGCCCGTGATACGTCTCCATCCACCTTCGGTGATCTGTGTAGGTCCCCGTGATGACTGTTGGTTTAAGCGCTAGGACCGGGGGTTTCGTAGGGTGAAAAATGTTGAAAGATGTGCCGGAATGCAGGCAATCTAGATGAGGTCGGAAGTCAAACAACGGCTGTGCAGAAGCCGTTCAAGAAACACCGTTCAAGCGTGCGATATTCCCGGAACAGGAAACAAAAGGCCAAGCTTCAAGAGAAGGTGAGAGATGAGCAGGTGCTGTGAAGAACCCACTGCGGAAAATAATCTAAAGGGTCAAGATACAACATTAATTTCCCATCTATGTGATTGAAGAATGGATAGGGTGGAGGAGTGGAGTTGGAGGGGAGGGGAGGGGAGGACAGAGGGGATGGAATGTAAAGAAACCAGGGCAGCAAGGAAGGGGATAGGAAACAAGGAGTGGGGAGGGCCTGATAGGAGAATAAAGAAGAATGCAGGCAGGCGGAGGTTGAGCGTTATACAAACGCCGCTGAGACAAGGGGAGCTACAACATGCAAAGGCCGAGTAGGTACAGGCAAGACTTACCGTGGCGGAAGGTAGTGCGTTGTGGTCGCAGTTGAAATCGATCTTGGATGCAGCAAGGCGGGCGACAGACTGTTTAGTGGGTGATGATAGAAGGAGAAACGTCAACACCAAGGACTATACTTGGTATTCAGTTATAGTAGCAGTAGATGGGGGATGGTTGAAGGTCGCAAGTCGCAGCAAGTCGCAGTAGAAAGAGAAGAAGGGGAGAGGGATCGTGGTAGTAATAATAAGAATAATAATCCAGCTACTTTACTACTACTAAACTAAATTAATCGGAACCCGAATAAAAAAAAATATTATTATCATAATAAAAAATAAATAATAATAATAATAATAACAAAAAGGGAAAAGGAAAAAAAGAAAAGGAATAATGCTTACTCGAAGAATTAGCATTAGAGATAGGGTGGGGAACCGACTTAACTCTGAACCCCACAAGGTCAAGCAGTGGTTTTTATTGAAAGACCATGTAATAATAAATGAAATTAGGTGATGGGGATTTCCTTTTTGTGCAGAGTGGGAGTGACTAAGACTGGCGTATGTATTTGATTAAAAACCAATTTAGCGAAGAGCTCCCGGAAAAAGAATTCTCATGACCATTATTCTGATTATTGATGTTTTCTTTTTTTTTAATCAGTTGAATTATTATTTTCTCGTATATTCTCATTCCATTAGTGGCCTCTCCTCTCTGACAATACACCTTTTCAAAACAGCAGACAAGAAGAACAAGACAAGGTCAGAGGACTAATTGCTTGGGCCTCTCTCTAGGCGCTGGCCATACCGAGAATCAACCAGACGAAAGAAACGACCCCCCCGAAAAAGTGGGTAAATAGGAGCCGGCTGCAGCAAATGATCTCATCCGACTGATATTTAGTTGCTGGATTCATCACAAACAAATAGAACCTTGTTTTTAACCTTTTCTTTTTCGCCTGATGATTATCCATGGTTCTGGGGAGCGAGGCTGGCTGGTGTGGACACCGGTGGAGGCTTCGGTTCTTCTTTTCTCTTTCTTTTTCTCTTCTGCTGCTGGGACCTTTCCATGGGGCTTAAGATTACTCCGTTTGTGTCTTACCTCTGATTGTTACCATATACTAACCAGGTCAGATCCAGTCAATCTCACTGTAAGAAGGGATTTAATTATAGCCGAGCGTGCCCACCTTTTCCCCCCTCCCTCCTTATCTTAGAAACAAAGAATAGTAGTCAAATGAGTGTGATCGCACCAGGGTGAATAATGAGATATGAACAAAAGGGGGCGCGCGGAGGGAGGGGTGGGAGGGGGGAAATAAAGAGACTTCCGGTGGTGGAGTCTAAACCAAGCTTAGCGATGTTGCCCGGTATGACTATCAAGTATGGGACATGGAGCACAGCATGAATAGTTAAAGGACGCCTTTATACATTGGTATATACAGATGGAGTAACTGTGTACATACTATGTACATGATGGGTGACACAAACTCCTGCTTACAGGGCTGGAGGATTCCCACATACCAGATGTCCATTCCGCAGCAAGCATGCTGCACACTGATTGAGCTTCCCGTCCGTATCATGACGACGGAAGGATACCATGATAGTCGTGGCGGCCCTCCTTACGCGGTTTGGCTTCTCCGGTGACAGTCGATCGACCATATCTTGACCGGTCTGCTGCTTGGAGGCTTGGAGGTTTCTTGGCTCCAGTAAAACCCATGATTCAGAAAATTGAGAATATTCTCAGTAATCAAACAGGGAAAGTCCAAAATATTACCGTATTACACTAGGAAGATACCAGTGGCGCTCTGATCGCTTGATACCAACCGGAAATTGATTAGTGCGCGACTTTCTGAAGCTTAAGCTTAATCCAACACGAGGAACCTTAAGCTCGCTTAGAAGAAGAGACATGGCCCCCCCTCCACTGTGGCTGGGGTTCCACTTGTTCCATGGTCGCTTTTATTAGTCCCTCTGGGTTTTATGTTTGAATTTCTCATAATTATGCCTCCGGATATCCGGCGTGTGCACAATATTAATAAAAGTAAAACCTTTTTCCGTTTTGCCAGCTCCATCCGAACCTGTGTCTGGATTTGGACCCCTACGCGATCGCCAATCATGCATTTGGATTTGGGTGGTGGCCATCATCATCATAACTTTGCGGCATTCTCGTGTTCATCTGATCTCTCTTTGGAGGGCCTCTGTATCGTCTAGAAGAACTTTAGCACAGACCTTGTTCCATGCCCCCGATTCGTAATCGGTATCGGATGGGGAATACGACACGCATTTCTTTTTATGATTATTTAGGGTTAGACTATCCCCGGGTTACGCAGCGGTTCCGCCCGAAAGTGACCCTTTCGGGCCAAAACTGACGACATTTTCGCCCTTGTACGCTCGCCTGCCTTTGCCGTTTTGCCGTTATTTAGGCTTCGTGACTGGATTTTCGGGTCCTTTTATTTTACTTTGTGCTTTTCACTTTTTATTCCCTTTCCGCTGACATTCTTGACTCGTTAATTCCGTGCTCTCGGACTTTCGGCTTCTCGGCAGATGACAACAGCCACTGTGGCGATTCGTACTCGTATCGGGGCGAGCACCTGATCCCGCAAAGGGAATTTCTTTCCCCTCTGATTAGCAGTTTCTTTGTCGCCGCAGTAAAACCAGTCCTATTACAGGTAGAAGATGGTTGTAAGATAGGCCCGATATTGGTTATCTGGCTGGTCACGTTAAGCATTCTGACTAACGTTTTTCTCGGACTCTAACTCCGGCTGCCATTACTTTCAACCTATCGTTGGACCCAGGCTTTTCTCTCCATGCGTCTGAACACCTATCCTGGTCTCAAGCAGGGATCAACTGAGCTTACCAGTGACAAGCGCCAGGCAGATAATTTTTTTTCACTGTCTGCTGAATGCGTCCCCCTTTTTCAGCTGAGAATTTATCCGCTGGACCAAACATGAAGTCATTCTCTGTGAAAAAGCTTGACAAATCTTATCCGGGGTGATGGTTCGCATGGCATACTGTCCGATAAGTATGATAGTGGACCCTCCCTTTTTCTTTCCCCTCCTCAAAAACGCCTCTCCTTACTCAGGTAGGCAGGTCTTCAGCTCTGGGCACCAAAGTGAAACCCAGCCAGAAGCAGAACAAGGGAACTCCGACAGGCAAAGAGAAGAACGAAGAACTTAAAAAAAGCCAGTCTAGGATCAGTCATATGCAAATCAATCGGCCACGTAAGACCAGAGCATAGCTGATCTGCTCGCGACTTATCATACTCCAATCAGCGGGCGTGACCTCCCCGGCGGCGCTCGACCGGGAAATTCGCGTCGCTCATAGTCCGGAGCTTATTGTCCAGTAACATTGATTAGACTCGATAAAGTTGCGGGCGCAATTCAACCAGGATCGAGCTTTGTCCGTTGCTTCATTCTTTGCCTGAAATTACTCCGTACTTTAATTTTAACTGAAGGTTTGCCTTCTTCTCATTCTTCTGCTTTGATTAACTTCATTCCACATTGGCAACGTTGATCAAACACTATCAGCTTTGACATATTATCTTGGTCTTGCACAGCCCTCTTCCATTACCACCCACAATCCACCGTTCCAGGCTTCAGCTTTTCACTTTATTATTACACCTTGGCGCTAACGGAGGTTCATGATCGATTAGAATCGAAAATAACCACACTAACAGAAAGTATCCGACCAAGCCGGCTAGGCTACTAAATTATTACCATTTCTTTTTCTTTATCACAGTAGTGATCATAATCGAATCGGAAAAAGGAAATAAGAAGAATAATAAAAGAATGATTAAAAAAAGAAACACAAACTGAAACATGGATGAAAAAGGAAGTTTCACCCATCCGGGCGCTTCCCAAATGACTACTTACTACTTCATAAAGAAAGTGTCAGAGAGGAGGGGGGGTGTGAGATAGATACGTTACAGCTTACAAGGGCCCAACCACAACTAACTAGTTAGTAGACTAACTACCAGCGGCGCCATCACCACTAACTCCTGGAACTATAGCGCAGCCGTACTACTGACTAGCGTTCAGGATAAGCGTATCGCCAACAAAGTCGGTCGCATCCTGGCCGGTTTTCTTGGCCCTCCTTGGCTGGCCCACATCAGGATGCGTAAATTATTCGAGCCAAGCGATTCTGGCGGAGGTGGTCAGGAGTTGCTGCTGACACTAAGCTATACTAGTACTTACAGGGCTGGGCTGGGTTGCAGCTGATGTCTCACATGGGGCAAATAGGAGATAAAAGAAACAAGACCTTCTTCAATGAAGGATGCGACTGTTGTTATTAATTTAGATTACTTCCTGGATGACCCCGTCCGGTGCAAGGTACGGCGTATCAGGCTTCACAAGGCAGTTGGAGTGGTAACTAAGAAAGTAGTAAGTTGAGTAGGCTGATGTTATACTTGGATTATGAAGGACCTGTCTACATTATCTAACTACAAGTTACCAGCAGTAGTACTGTGTAAGTATGTTTGGGGCCGAATATGGTTTCCCTAGTTATTCACGCAACAAAGTCGTTAGGTAACACCTATACTACCTATGCAGGAATCACAAACCCATCCAAGTCACGAACCGGTGGTATGTTAGATTAGTTTGGTACTACTGGGTAGCTAGCTTGCTGCACCTTGTGTTCAGTGCCACAACAACCCAAGTATGGGATAGGATAGTATACATAATGTAATGTGTGTACACCCTGCGATCATGTTGTGGGACTTCACTAATGTATGTTCTCCGCCTGGATGCTCAAACTCCTAGTTTAGCGAAGTAGTAGGGTGACACTCACATTGCTAGATCCAACGCAACTCCCGATTTGATTTCCGACGTCTCCCATCCCACTCTGGCGCCTATGGCGGACAATAGCTATAGCACCTACATATCACTTGCATAGCCTTGTTTTTTGGAATTGCTCGCCCCTCTTTTTCTTTGCTTCTTTACTTTTCTTTCTCTCTCTCTCCACCCATGTATGCAAGGCGATGCGGAGAGTCCGGAGTACCACCATACCTATCTGAAAATAGATCACCGAGTGTGTATGTATGTATGTATGTACTCACTTACATCCATACATCTATCCATACATTGTGATCTGCTTGTCTTCCCTTGGGCTGGCTGGAGGTTTTGTGCAGCGAACCTGTCGATATTTTGTTGAACAATGATGTCAGAAGGCAGATGAATGTTATTATTCTTTTGCTTTTATTATTTGTTTTTACTTTTCTCTGCTTTCCTTTTCTTCACACACTTAAAACAGTATTTGCTCGTACCACTGAACTCTACCCTTCCCATGCAACGGACGATCATAAGTAGTAGTCCGGGGAGATAGATCCAACAGAGAATGAGAGTTTTCACACACTTTTTCAAGAATATGTATGGAACCAAGCAAACGCTCGCCCTCCCTTCCCCCTCCCCACCCAGCGTGTCACGGACAGTTAGTTGGCGATACAATCAAGCTTTTTCGCCTCTCAGGCGAGGGATATTAACCGTGTGTGTGTAATGTGAACAAGAAACCTTGTTTGTAGCCCATACCCAAGGTACCATGACACCTTAAGTGTGTCGACTGAATCTCATTCTCCATCACCGACCAATCGGACTTTGAGCGCGACTCAAGAAGCGCAAAGACTAGACTAGACCAGACTAACTAACTAACTAGTGTGGATTGTTCACTGGTCTACTGTGACTGATTCCATAATTTTCGGACAGAGCTTGTCCGGAGCGAGCGAGACTGTGTGTCTGCTTTTCCAATCAAGCGGTTGTCTGCGGTTCTTCGGAGGGGCGTTTTAGTTACTCCGTCCGTGGATTCAGCTGAACTGGACTATTTGCTGTAGAAGATGTATCTACTAGTGAGGTAAGTGAGTGAGTAAAATATGTAGGTAGGTAGTGGTAGGGTGGTAGAAAGTTCGCTGATCGGGGAGGAGCTCTAAAGTTAATTTCCCTTCCAGTTCGCCTTCAACTTACTTACCAGGCAAGCGAGGCAGTCAGTGACATGGTTTGGATCAACCTGGAACCCGCACTATCATCTAAGTAGGTAGGTCGATAGGTAGGGACGCTGCGCGTTCCGGACAAATGCGCAATGAATCGCTAATCAATTAGACCCGTCCAATTCAAAAACCATCTATCTGTACTCTGTAGCTTTTAAAGTTATCGTACTGTAGTAGCCTGTGTAATAGGCAAACGCCCTTTCCGTACCTACTTAATCTTTTGTGTCTCTTTTGTGTCTATCTAGTGTCTATCTATCTATGGTACGGGAAAAAAATAAGTCAGTGTGATCTCCATAACATAATACAAATATTGCTTATTTATTTTACCATTTTTCTTTTATCTCCCCTGAGTTCCCTTGCATAAACTCACGTCACACAAGAACAAACTTGCTTCTGGGAATTTTGTGAGTCAAGATTTTTTATAGTTACCCGCTACCAATGTATGTATGCATGCCTGGATTTACTCCTTAGGCTCGGTTATGCTCCAATGCAACCCTTGATTCGGAAAAAGTTTCTAAAATGCCAAGGGTGTTAGAGGAGGGGGGGAGGGTTGTGTAAACAGAAACAGAAGAAGAGGAGCCATTTTGTGAAACGTTGCACGGGCTTATCTCCACTAGCATAATTTGTTTAAGGTAGATTATTTTCCCTTTCTTCCTTACTGGGAGAAATGGTGGGAGGGAAGAATAGTCAGGCAATTCCATTCATCCGTGTTTTATCGATAATTGCGAAGTTGGGTTTGGCCGGTGTAATATGTATGTATGTATGTATCGTGGGAGATTGACGCTTTGATTCAATTTTTGTTAGTTTCTTTTTTTTTTTTTTTTTTTTTTTTTTTTTTTTTTTTTTTTTTTTTTTTTTTTTTTTTTTTTTTTTTTTTTTTTTTCCCTCGACAGTCGCCTAAGTGGACTTTTTTGGGATAATTAGATTAAGGTGTCATCGTGTTGGATGACGCGCTTGGACTTTGACGGTAGGCGTGGGTGGACGTGGGGGGGTGGCTGTATTTTATTTTATTTATTCTATTGTATTTCGCTTTAATCTAAGTCAATGTAACTGTTATGCAGGGATTTTCCAGGCAAGATGGAGCTTGTTGTTTGCTATTGTTATGGCAAAGGCAATGGCACTTAGTTGTTGCTGTTGCTGTTGCTGTCAAAGCGATTAACATCTGTTGGTTGGTCTTGTAGTACTGCCATGTCTGTAAGCCTACTTTCATCGTCGCACTCGCAGATCAACTACCCGACACAGACATTGCTGATGGAGATCTTTCCCCCCTCCTCCTCCTTCCCTCTCAAGTTGCATGAATGATCGATCATAGCCTGTTTGAATTAGGTTAAGGTACGGAGAAGATAAGGGTGTGTGCCTACTGCCTAGTTACTTTTTTGACTTACAGACAAGGGACACAATCAGACTACCCGAGCTGTGCGCACTTGGTTTTCCTTTCCCCAAGGCACAAGCCCCAAGCCCCAAGCCCAAGGCTGATAAGCCAAGACGAAGAAAGAATGAGCATAAATGGCTGGCTTACTTCAATAACTCCAAACCAAGCGTGCTCTAGGCGCCCACCGTTGCAGCCCTAGTCGGGCGACTATTGCTTAGTTAGTGTGAAGGTCTCTTCCCCCCTCCCCCCCCCTCCTCTTCCTTGTCGCTCTCCATCCGCCACGCGAATGGAGATGAATTTCCAGATTGGGAGATTTCCATGAGCGATTTGACTAATTGGCCGCCTCCGTGGCAGCGTATCAGACCTCCGTAGCCGAGGATCGCTATCCCTGACCAGGCCCAAGCGTCAAAGCGCTGCAGAGCCAAGCCATCCCCGCTGACTACTTCGTTTTGGTCCAGCAAGTCGATGTAACACGAGTTTTCCGACTGGACCCTCGATTACAAGATAGCCAAGGCTTAGCCTGTCTGGCCCTGTGGTCTGGTCTTTAGCCTAGTGTGTCTTGTCTGGCGTGTGGTGTATGTAATTAAGTAACAATGTCCTATCTACTGAATTACCTAGTTAGTATTTTCCCGAGCACAGCAACTGATCCTTCCATCCATTCACACACACCCTTCCCCCCCCCAACAGGAGTTCATCGTCTTACATACTTAGGTTACTTACTTACTTGCACACACCCCCTCCCCTCATGGGGTATTGAAAATCAGCCTAAAACTGGATGCAATTTGTAGTCTGTGTCATATCAGATATGGCAAGGGAGACTGGCGGCTGGCTCCGTCGTGGCCATCATCCATCCATCTGATGCCGCTGAGCCACTGCAAATTTACTGGGGGCTATTTTTAATGACTCTCGCATCCTTCACCCTTTTTGTCCGGGATTCGGCCATGGCAGCCGACCTGCCTTTTTTAATCTGAATCCGGTCTCCACGGAAATACCGGGCCGATTATGTAATGGGCACACTCTGGTGTGCGTCGGGTTTGAGGGCGTAAAACCAAAGGAAGAGCGAAGAGCTGGAAGAAGTACAGGTGTCCTCATCTGAGTCAAGTTGCCGAGCAAGCCAGCCGATACGAGCGAAGGTCGCGTAGGCGATCCACGGTCCCCAGTCTAGGCAAGAAGGGCCATAGGATCGATCGTCAGTCGTTCCATCCATGTCAGTTTTTACGCTCATACTCCGAAATAGTGCCCTGCTGGTCTGGCGCCGGACAAAGGCCGAGAGAATATGCTTAACACCAGTAAGGTTGGCAACTTGGCATTCGCCCCCCCGCGTGGTATTCCTCCGCAGTTTGACTACAGGGAAAAATACTGCTACCTACTAAGTGCTCAGCAGGATTAAAGCCTATCAGCCATTGATTCCTTCCTCCCCGTCTCTCAAGTCTTTGGTTTCCAACGCTTACTTGACCATTACTCCTTTTATTAAAGAATATTAGTAACTTTCTTCCCAAACTGGGGCACCCTTAATTCGAACGGACCCTCCCCACGATGGATGCTGACCCTGTTCAGCGCTGTCTCGTGCCGATATTAAACGATCCATCCAGTCATTTCGCCTGTTCAGCCCAATAAAGCTTCCGCCTGAAACCGCCCGACGACCCTTTTCTCTCGCAACCATCGTAAACCAAGTGGATCACTGCCATCCTGATTTGGGCAACCGGCGTAGCGAGGCTCCGCCCAGACCGCAGCTTGGAGGGAATAAAGTATCCGTTCGGTGTGGACCCCATCCAGAATCCAGCGCCCAGGTAGGTCGGTTAGTTAGGCTCCCCCCTCCTCTTCCCTTATGTTCCTGATCCCTGGGTACGGAGCACTAGGCAACGATTTCGATTGAAAGGGGACCCGACTGGTGCTGAGGGTGTGGACGTGTTTCACACGCCTATCCGCAGCTCCCGAATCCTGTCATCCGCCACATCCCTGGGACGTGTGGGAATCGCGGTGACCTTCCAGAAACCGAATCATCGACGAAGAAGGAATGAACTTCTGCGCGGAAAAGAACATGTATCTTCCGGATAGTCCGATAGAGATCCACTTTGCGCAGATAATGTCGAGCTGAGCCCACCCTGTGTGCGTGTACTCACTATGTGAGAGTGTTCATGTCGGCTGCCGAAGACACAAAAGTTCACCGTAGACAGAGAGTTAGTCAGTCGTTCCATGATCCATCAGATGGGGCCAAGGTTGTTTGGCCCCTCTCCTTTGACGATGATGCCTGCTTTGAGCTAATTTGAGTTGCTGGGCGTTTCTTTCATTTTCTTGTCTTTGATTCCTTACACACCTGCGTAATATATGACAGTACGCGGTGGTATTGTAAGCTTGACACGTGAGATCACACCAGCCGAGCCAGCCATGGCAGTATCTCACCGCTATTACCGCCGCTTCCATGCGTAATCCAGCTCGTTCACGTGCCAATAATCTACCATTCATGCTACTCATAAACAAACAATCAATCTTGGTGATACATTCCATACATTCCATACAAGCCATCCAATAAGTTGAGAACAGTATGTGATCATTAGACTTATCACACAATTGACTGAGAGCTATCACCATGGTGGGTTATACTTAGTGCCGCCATCGTCTTAACTTTGCCACTCCACACCAAGTCATTCGATAACTAGGTAACTAATTAGAAAGCTGGAACGCCGGTCCGCCGTTGCTGGCGCCGGAACTACTGCCCTGGATTGATGACCTTCAAGCCACCAAATGAAGTTTCGAGCACTCCCACGAATGAGGAGTGTGTCTCCTTGGGCGCTTGGCCAAACCAAACCTCTTGCGGTGCCCGTTCTATACAATGACTCACGATGACAGGGATATACACTGATGGGCTTATCTCTACTTACTCAGTTAGTTTGTCAGGAACTACTTACACTATCTGGAGAAGTTTGGCCATGAGCCATAATGATGCTGTTCTCTACAGCCATGAAGGGACGGGACGATACGAAAAACATGCTGCTCCTCTACACTTACATATAGGATTGGTGTTGGCTGTCAGCCAGGTCAGCCATCTACCGAAAAGTCAACCCTCTTTACCTTGTTTTTCTGGCAGTGATTGAAGGGGCTATTTTGCTAGATACCACGCCTCCGATGTCAACCCCTGATCTGTCGATCTTGGATTCTGAGAGACTGTTTCCAAACAAGGAAGCTAACTCGGATCGCATCGATGCCTTGTCTTTGCTGGATGCCACCACGGTAGATTTCTCGGATGCAAGTGCCGTTTGGCTCTTTGAATGTGAGCAGCAAAACCGCGGCAATCTAGTGAACCAACTTCGTCAATCTCTCAGGGTTACGCTGGATGCTTATCCACAATGGTGTGGGTTGATAAAGGCTATTGACTCGGTGGATGGCCCTGCGTTCGCTGATCGAGATCGCCTGGCGCCTCATGCGCGCCGCTTTGGTCGGGTGTATGTCCAATATGGCACGCGAGCTGACCCAGGCGTTGAATTCGTCACTGCACGTGCATTTGATACCCTCGATGATCTCTGTCCTTCCTCTCGGACGACATCTCAGCCTCTCTGGAATCAAGAAAAGGTGGCCTTGTCGAAGTTTGTCCCGAAGACTTGCTTAGCGAATCCGCTTAAACAACCTGTTGTCGACAATGCAAATATTCCTCCGCCGGTCATGGCCGTTCAGGTCACGGAACTGGCCTGCGGAGGGTTTGCCCTTGCGGTCAAAATAGCCCACCCTTTAGCGGATGCGCAGTCGTTGGTTTACTTCGTCAAAGACTGGGCAAGTGTTAGCCGCTCTGCATTACTAGGCGAGCCTCCGCCAGTGTTGAAACCTTTATTTGAACCGGCGCGACTCGATGGCGCAGCAGCAGGGGACATCAATGCTGCTACGCCGGACGAGTCAATCATCGAACAGACAGAGAGCCTACCGTTTCATCGCTATGACTGGTGGAACGTGCCCCCTGACTCTCCTCTGAAAACACGCATCCCGGATGCTTTCCGGAACCAGGACATTTCCCCAGCGGGGAAACCAATACCATGGTCAGAATGGGACACAAAAGCGCCTGTGTCTCATTACATCGTGCACCTGAGTCGCGAGCAGGTAAAGAAGATCTGGAAGCAAGCCAACAACGTGTCCTCCACGACCACCCAGACCAGCCAACTGAGTCGACACGATGCCATTCTGGCACATATATGGTCGAGCATCAACCGAGCTCGGAAGATGCAACACGAGCTCGGGCCGGTCCACTGCGACCTGGCGTACGGGTGCCGACCGGCGTTTCATCTGAGCGATGCTTTTATGGGGTCGCTTTCCGTGATGGTTAATGTGGAGATGGCTGGGGCGGAACTGACGACGACTGCAAACTCGGACGGCAATGAAACTGCCGTACTTCCGCCCATCGCGCACCGCATCCGCCAAACTCTTCTTCAGCTGAAGAATCATCCGGCCCGCTTGGCTGCCCATCTCCACCGTCTGGCGTACGAAACGTCTCCGCAGCGCATTTGGCAGGGATTTCTGGGTTCTCGGCACGTTATGGTGACGACGTGGGCGTGCGCAGGGCTGTATGATGTGGATTTCGGCTTGGGTCCACTTTCCTCCTCCTCGGCTCGCTACGCGGATGGTATTCTCGCCAATCTGGATGGCCTCGTCTTGATTAAAGAAGCACCGCCGCCGCCGTCGCCGTCACCAACCGGTCGGGAGTCGGAGGTCAGGGACTGCCGTGCTCCGTCGGCTTGGACGGAACATGGCGTGGATGTGCAGATTCATCTCCGGAGTGAAGATATGCTCCGGTTGCTGCGAGATCCGTTGCTATTGCCGGACACTACGTAGACCACTACTATTTACCCAACTAACTAACCCCTAGTCTAACTTTACTACGTATACTCAATCGAATCAGATAAATTACTAAGCGGGAATGATCAGATAGACTCTGCTTGGCAGCTACACTTTTCTACATATACCCACATTGCGTATATACTTCCAACCCCTATCTACTGTCTATCGACTTGGCTACAACGGCCGTCCCTGCCCTCCCCTGAATCTATAATAAGCCTCTTAAGCATCTACCTCGAACTAGTCGTATTAAGTAATGTTTCATATACTACCATCGTATCCGATGAAAGAAATACAATACATTAGATGCATGCATAACGACTATACACAAGCACGGTCTGGAGCCATGCATAACATAAAGCCCACTAATTTCCACACGTCCCTAGTTTATATACTAGTACTAACGTTGTAGCACCTACTAGTTATTATACTATGATACAACTTATATCTCCTGTATCAAACTACTTACTAGAAAACAAAATAAACAAAATAAAGTATTCTAAATGAAGGAGGAATATATCTTATCCGGTTCGGTCTTATGCTACGAAGTAGTAATAGTAGTAGTACCACTCATTAGTACTGATCTCACTATTCATTTCGCTACTAGTACCAAACCACTTAGAACTTAGTACTACTAGTTTAATAAGTCGTTCCTATTCATTTGTATATGGATAAACTGATACAGAGGAGTAGTATTTCAATCTCGTTTGCCGATACATACCCAAGTATATACCTACTACACTCAGCAGTAGTACTACACATTCAATCAATATAAATCTCTAGCGAGTCATTTGGTTACATGATAGGTAATAATAAACCCCCAATATAAGTACTTCCCGCCCCAGGGTATGTAGTTAGTTTGCGTAGTGCTTACTCGGCCCATTTTTGTTGTGACCCCTATCTAGTAGTTACTGGTAAGTAAACTATTATATCTTAGGTTGTTTTTTACGGTTAGTCTATCGTGGCTTGGTGCTTACTTACAGTAGTAATCTAAACTAATGCATGTTCTAGTTTCCGTCGTCTGTTTGAGAGGGAGGGAGGGGGCTGTGACGGAACGAAATACTTGCCCAATATGGATGGATAGTTAACTAAGTAGGTAAGTAAGTATCTTTTTGGTTGGTTGTTGTTTGGTTGGGAGGTGTGGGTGAGGCGATGATATGTGCCATTTAGTTAGTATCATTTAGGCTACAAAGTATGATTGGCTGTGCTGAGTTCTGTGGATGTGTGTGGTTTGTGGATGTTTGCTGTTTGATTGCTTAGTTGCTTACTATGCTTATGCTTATGCTTATGTGATTGTTGGTCGTTGTTCATTACTTACATTGGTTGGTAGATAGACGTTGGTGATGTATATTACAATGTGAGATTTTAGAACCTATAATACATTTATTTTCGAGTTAATGGTGAGTGATAATATACATGTGTCTACGTCTTGTCTCATCCTGATCTAGCAATCCGCCCGACCGAAGTATCTAGGGAACGCAACAATGTCTCTAACACTGGACACGCCCGCCAAATAGCCCAGGAAGCGATCGAACCCGAGTCCGAAGCCTCCGTGCGGTGCGGTACCCCATCGACGGAGGTCAGCGTACCACTGGAGATGGCCTAGGTCTTCGCCGGGAAGGAGATGAGGGTACAGCTCTTCTGCTTGTTGGGAGGTGGGCGTGGCTGTGTCAGTGCCGTCACCTGATGCGGCGAGGTTCTTAATCAAACCGTGCTGGCGCATGTTCTGGATGATCTCCGGGAGGCGGTGCTCGCGGAGTGAACCACCTGCTACTTCGCTGACCTCTGGTAGGAGAAGGTCAAAGCAGGCGACTGTTTCACCGTGGGTGGTGGCCGCTGATGCGTGCGAAGGGGCCATGTAGAAGGGTTTGATTGGCTTGGGGTAGTCGGTTACGAAGACCGGGTGCCCGTGGTTGAGCACGTCAACGATGTATTTCTCGTGTTCGAGTTGGAGGCCGCCCTCCCACGTTGGAGGGTACTCGAAGGTGGCGGAGTCCTTGGCGACGGCGTCTTGAAGGAGCTCGATCGCTTCCGTGTACGTCATGCGTCGCCATTTGGGCCCGTCGATCATGTCCTGCCACCGTTGGCGAAGGTCAGCAGGGTCTGTTGCTGTTGCTGATTCTTCCGGGTTGGTTTCGCCGGGGCGTTTTGTGGTGAGGATTTCCTGTCCGATGGGGGTGTCGTAGAGGCGACGGGTTAGGTCGCGGAGAAGGTACTCGACGAGGTCTGTGAGGGTGTCCAGGTTATCCATGAAGTTTGCCTCTGCCTCTAACATGTAGAACTCGCTGAGGTGGCGCGGTGTATCGCTCTTCTCCGCCCGGAACATGGGTGACATGGTCCATACGTTTCCTAGCTCCGCCGCGTATGCTTCCAGATGCAGCTGTGATGATACCGTGAGGTACTTGGGTGCGCGGAAGAAGTGGTCGCCATCGGCTGGCGTCGTCCCTACTGCCTCACGCGGTAGCACTTTGAAAGTTTCTCCGGCTCCTTCGCAGTCCGACGATGTGATTAGCGGCGGGTGCACCTGAACGAAGCCGCCGTTGGGGGCGTGCCGAAACACATTTCCGAGTTGGTATAGGCATTCGGATCTGAATCGGGAGAGGAGAGAATTGAAGGGCGTGCGAATGCGTAAGTGGGGGATCTGACGGAGGAATTCGGGACTGTGGTATTTCTTTTGGATAGGGTAGGTCTAGATGATAATCGTGAGTTAGTATACGTCTGCAATTGAGGACGAGGGGTTCCTACCTCGGGGTCTGTTTTGCCCACGATGTTGACAGAGGTAGCCTGCAGCTCATGTGTCTGCTCCTTGCCTGGTGGACATGCCTTCCATACTCCCGAGATTTCGACAGCTGTTCCGGTAGATAGTCTGGAGAGCGTGCGAGTCCAAGTTAGTATCTAGGTTCCTGAGTGAAAGAATTCGGGACCGCGGAGGACGTACTCGGCAGCCTGGGAGGGGTTCAGGATAGCCTGCAAAGGCTTGACTGTCGAGCCATCGGAGATCTCTGCAAAAGCAAAACGCTTCTGCTTGCGAACTGAGCGGATGAACCCGTTCAACTGGATCTCCTGGTCCTCCAGACTAGATCCCTTCTGACTCTGCTCGAGGACCTGGGCGCAGCGGAGAAGCGTGGAGCCGGCGCTTCTTGCTGCTGGCCTATTGTTCAGTCGCGCGACCGATGTGGCGAAGGTCCGCCGCCATGTCAGCATTTCTTCAGATCAATGGGAAGAAGTCGCGCGGGCCAGAAAGATAGATTGGAGAAAGAATCGCGGGTGTGCACCGGCGTGGAAGAAGTGCGCCGGGCCGATCGATGATTCAGCTCCGCAAAGCCGCACGCGATAAGCCGCTCAGTTATCGCAGATCCTCTGTGCTGTTACGTGCGCCGGACAGCTACGAGGAGCTCTACGTAAAGCAATATACGAATAGATATTCTCACTTTTCTCATTTAGTGATGGAGTAGGGAATATGTAGAGTATTCCGCCCAAAGCACACGCGTTCCAGCAATATCAGTCTCAAAACAGACCGCGAAGTCCACAGCTACTTGGGATCACAACGAGTCTGGGCCATATCAAATTGTAAGAAAAAAGAGTACTATTACCACGTTGGTCATCACATCGTCGATCCTTGTTGTTCGTATGCCTTGCGTTCTTCCTCGATCATCTCAATCGCATCCGATACCCTGCCGTCCGCAGCCGCAGCATAAATCGCTATTCGTTGATGGCCACCGTCGCTGGCTCCTCCATATCCCAAGCTCACCAAGGTAGAGACGCAGTCATCAATTTCGCGTTGTCTGACATCGGGATTCGCTACTTGAGTCTCGGATGAAGGGCTTTCAAAACTGTTGCGACGTCCACCGCGGTGACGATGACGACCTTCCGGTCTCCCGCCAAACATGCCGCGAGGGGCGTCCCACCCCAAGAAATCATCTTGCCAAGCAGAGCGGGGTCGCTGGCTCTTCCAACGTCTAACATGGCGGCGAGGGCCAAAAGATGATTCCCCATTGTCATGTGCACCGTGCAGATTACGGGTTCCTGAGAACTGTCCAGGTCGTGTCGACGAGTCCCCACGGACCTCCTGCGGAAATGCGCCGGGAAGCCCCTGCAGCGCCGCATTGCCGTTCAGATTCTTATCTTCTGGTGCTTTACCGACAGACCTCGTCTGTATGTTGGATGAAGCCGCTTCCTTCTGCTGCTCGGCCAAAAAGTGCGCTTCGAGCTGTGAGACTGGGGGGAAGCGGCACTCTTCCAATTCACGCGTAAGTTCGGGGATCCGATCAAACGCAGGACTAACAGGCTCAGAAGGTCCCGACTTCGGGACACCTTCAGGCAAGAGGGACGGGTAGAGTGAATTCAGCCGCGTGGAATCCCCCAACGATGAGTCTTCCAGACTATTGGCAGACGCTGCGTTGCCCGGATTGCGATTATCATTGGAACACAAGTCCGCCACGGTCAAAGGGGCGGCACGTTTACCGCTGGGCGATTTGGATCCATCTTGGCTACCAAGTGAAGCCTTCTCCAACTTGGCGGGTGTAGCTGTAGACCCTTGAAGTTCATATGGATTGGACTTCCGATCACTAACAACAGGCATGGGACTGTCTGATGTTGCTTGAGGAGAAGGTTCCTCAGGGTGCAGTTTAATGACCGGGGTCTGGTCACTGAACTCCAGGTTAATTGCGTGGCCATCAATATGCGTACCCTGCAAGGCCTCCAGGGCCGCCTTTGCCGCAGGGACAGATGGGAAGAACAAGTAGCCAAATCCAGCGTGCTTTTCGGTCCCGACATCAAGAGGCAAATGTACATCTACTAGAAAACCCCTGGAGGCGAAAACGTCGCGGATCATCTTCTCGCTAACATCGAAGCCCACATTTCCGACGAACAATGATGTGTTAGTGGGGCTTTGTGTTACTGTCGGTGTGGCATCTCGGCCAGATGATGGCACATCATTGGTTCCACCACGGCCTTGTTCATGAACATGTTGATGGCTAGTGGGACCACGGCTACGACGACATTGGTGATAATGTCGGGCCGCATGTTGGGAGGGATGTGCATGGGTACTCGTGGGTTGTGGATGATGAACCTGAGGCCCAGCAGGGAAGTGAGGATGACTCAAACTTTCGGGTGTCGGCCAGAAAGGCGGCGGAGGTGGAACTGGGAAGGGCTGGTGGAAGTGATGAGGAGGGGGACCAAAGAAAGGAGGATGGTGAGGAGGTGGTGGAGGCGGAGGCGGATAATGGTGATGGGGATGAGGATGCGGTGGAGGAGGGGGTGGTGGTTGAAAGTAGGGTGTGAAAGGAAAAGGGCCATGACGTCCACGAGGGGCATGAGGCACGTATGAAGATGCATCTGGCTGCGCCTGGTTAGGGCCGCCTGGCCGAGCCGGACCGTCCGCCTCTGCAGCTTTCTTGGTGCCATTTTTGGAGTCTGATTCCGACCCTAGCTCTTTCTCTCCGGATTGGGTCTCGTGGCTTCCAAGATCCCGATCCTGGGTTGACTGATCTACCTCGTCGGGAACCACACTATTAACTGCAGTGGCATCAGACGGTCTGGGAGGTTCAGCATGGTCGGGACGGAGGCCATCTGGACTTTGTTCGGAGGAAGATTGTGGTTGGCCGCCGGTTCGAGTGCACCCAAACTCCGACTCGAACGCTTCGAACAAGGTATGCCCTACATTTCCAAGTTCCGACGCCATTGCACGCAGACTGTCTACGGTGCCAGTGGCTGTGGGGATTTCACCTTGGAGAATGTTTCCTGTCGACACACCACCAACCGTGTTGTTGATAGAGCCGGTAAGCTGTCTCAACTGGGCTTCCAAACTCGCAAGAGCACCTTGTACCGAGGACCCGACATTTCCAGGAAGGGCCCTCTGGGCGTTCTCCAGTTGCCGTTCAATCTCGGGTATACTTGATCTCACCCCAGAACTGAGCAACTCGGCTCCGCTAAGCAGGTTCTGCATCGCAAGAGTGAATGCATCCGCGGGATTTGGAGTCCTGCCCCTTGCGGTTCCCGCTGGCTCCTGAGCGGGAGCTGAAGGCTCTTCAGAAGTGCTATTTTCTTGTATATTCCTGGAAGCATCCAGAATCTTGGCCATCTCAGCCTCAAAGGCGGCCATGAGTGGCGCTGTGTCGTCGTTCCTCGTAGCCTCAACGTTCTCTTGCTCGGTCCCTGACCCTACTTCTGCTGAAGCGCTAGCAGCCGGGGCGTCCACAGTAGGTGATCCAGCCCGGGTATCCGCATCCTTGCCTTCTTGCTTTATCTGGAATTTCTTCCACAACTCGGTTATTGAGTTCGAGCGTCGAATATCGAAGAGGTGCATCGGTTCGGAGATAGCTGCCTGCGGCATCGGGTCGGGTGCAGTTGCAGGGTCTATGGGCTCATCGAGACGCTGAGAGAGTTCGAGAGACGATCCAACCTGTAAAGACCGATTAGTACCAAAAGGACGCAGTATATACAATAAGACATACAGTGATGATCTCCCCATCGTCATCATCAACATAAGTCAGCCGTGCCCGCGGGTGATTCGATGCAAGGTCATCATACTGGGGAGCAGACAACTGTACGATTCCCCGACGAGCTCTAGGTGACGATGGCTCCCTCGTCAAGGGTTGAGTGGATGCCAAGGGCCCCTCTGCAGGTGTATGTGATGGAGATCCATGAAGATCTCTGATTTGGAACGGTTTCAACATCTTCGGCGATAAAACAACGGTCGCGGAAGAGCAAAGTTCCGCTCCTAGACCGTTATGAGGCCAAGAGAAGATGATGGATGATTAACCACGCAGCACGCAGGCGATGCTGGTAAGAATGAAGCCAGTTAAAGGACTCAGAAGACCAGAGGAGAAGATATGCTGGCTGGCGATCACCACGAAAGAAAAGGGATCAAGCTTGACAGGAATCTAGGCCGTTAGGATAAGGGTCTGAACCCCGGGGGCGCGATAAGGAGGGGGAACAAAGGCTGGCAGGCGGCGGTCGTCGTCACTATTGCTGCTGCCTATGGACGAAAGCTTTAGTTTCGGCGTTGGATCGTCTTTTCGCCTCAGTTCAGACAACAAGATTCCGCAAGAGGAAGCCGACCATCGTCATACGAAGGTCAGCTGCAGTGTAACGGGAAGGGAAGGCACAGGAAAGGAAGGGGTCCAGGCAACCAGATAAGCATGTGGTGGTGAAGGTGACTTTGACGTGATGGTGAGTGGATTCCCACGATTACTGTATGAATGAATAAGTTTGCGGATGAGGAGAAATCTAGTAGTAATCAACCCAAGTAACTAATCCGTCAATAAGAGACGATGAGAAGGTTAGTTAGTCTGGCTTCTCCAACATCCCAAGACTCTAAGACTCTCTCAGCAACGAAACTAGTTGTAGTCAAGCTTGTCTTTCTCCCCGCGCGGCAGTAACATGATTGGGTGGTGACGGAGATCAACTGACCCGGTCAATCTGGTCTGACTGGTTAGTGACGGGAAGGAATCCGCAGTCTGATGGAGGTCCTACGTATCCTCTATACCAAAAAAAGTGATCTAGTGACGACCGCAGCAGTGTCCCTGCAGACTGAGAGAGAAAAGAAAGCTTGAGCGTATCATATAGCTAACAAATTGATTGTATCCAATGCACCTGATAATCCCTCCGCTTTTCCATAGTAAGCAGAAAATATGCAAGTAAGCTGTACTGCCTTTCCGAACTCTTTTTAGGCTAATCCTCCCGCCCGGCCTATCCAAAGATACCAGCGTAAGGTGAAAAAAGAAATCCAGGACCTGCGACAAACCGCCGTCCCAAATGGCATCTCCACAGAAACGCGTTCGCCCCCGGTCTCCAACAAATCATCATTAAGGGGGAAGAAATAAGCTGCGAATTGACGCCATTCGTTCCTAGTCCTATCGTTTCCCTCCCCGTCTCCAATGGCTCCCAGTGACCCTGTGTCGCGCACCGAACCATCCACCGACCGTAACGTCAAGCACGTCGTACTGGGTGACCTCCTTTTTCCAACATGGTATCAGTCTATCTATCCGGAAGATCTCGTCAATAAGGACACAGACAGGTTGTACGTCTGTCGTTGGTGCTTCCGCTACTCGTGCGACGTCTACGCCTACGCGCAACATACGCGACTCTGCCAACACCGGATAACACCTCCTGGAACGAAAGTCTACGATCATGGCGGATACTCCGTGTGGGAGCTAGACGGTGAAAGTCACAAACTATACGCGCAGAACCTTTCCTTGTTCGCCAAACTCTTCCTAGATCATAAGTCCGTCTTCTACGACGTCGTCTCCTTCCTCTACTACCTCCTCGTTTTCACCGACCCCAATGACCCCGAGAATTACTACGTCTTGGGGTTCTTCTCGAAAGAGAAGCTCTCCTGGGATGCGAACAATCTCGCATGCATCCTCGTCTTCCCGCCCTACCAACATAAGCAGCTAGGGAAACTGTTGATGGGCGTGAGTTATAAGATCAGTTCCTGGGAGAGCGATAGTGGCCTCATAGGCGGTCCGGAACGGCCGCTCAGTGAGATGGGCCACAGGAGTTATACTCGGTTCTGGCAGGAACGAATAGCCAGGTATCTATTGTTAAAGGGAGGCAAACAAAAAGAAGCAGACGCGTCTGGCTCCGTGCCACTGAAGCAGAAGTCTCCGAAGACGTCCAAACGAAAACATACCCACGAGCTCATGACAGTGCAGGACATTGGTCTGGCGACAGGGATGTTGCCCGAGGATGTTGTCACCGCTCTTCAAGGCCTGGGAGCCGTTGAGCCTGCGACGCCAGCCAAAAAGCGCAGGACAAAGGATTCATCTGGCGAGGCTGGATCGGGCGCAGACGAGGCCTTACTAATTCGGAAGTCTAAGATCCTTGAGTGGGCAAAGTCACATCATATGGCGCTCCAAGACCCTGTTAGAGATGAGGGTTTCCTTGGGAAATGGGCCGCCGTTGATTCCACTGAAGCGAGTGATGTCGACAGTGATGATGTTGACGAAGATGCTGGGTAGAAGCTCCCTGGCCAACTCCCTATTTTTGAACCCATCCTTACGTTCTACCCACTATGTTTCCTGATTGGGAAACAGTGTCATGTATAATTTTTTTTGCCTCTACTTACGCTACTGACCGTATGGAGCATCATATCATTAATGAATACCTAGCAATACTATAGATAGACGGGCTAGTCCTCTGAAAGCTTTCTCTCATGGAAATAGTGGTATTTCTATGTAGGGTCTGAAACATCATCGCATCCGACGATGCTACCTTGCAACAGATGAGTAACTTAGCGTAGGACGTGTTAGCTCTGCAAGTTACGCAACTCGCTCACTTATTGTTCGCTGGTCATTACAGCCAAGGGACAATAGTACTCTGCATGTGCTATGAGCATGCTACTTGATCTCGCTGCCTACTTTTTAAATTTCACAGGATAAAAGTCAAGACACTCACCATCCCTTAGGCAGCCATGAGCGACGTAATATTACTTTCCGTCTGGAACATTACCATACTAGCAGTCTTAGGAAACCTGATTAATTCCCTCGTGGATTAGAATCGATTAGGATACGTAAGTATGTGAAGTACAATTTTCGACGTAGGATATTTTTCTATACCAGTATTCCGAATATGGAAGAACCTGATGCTCTCGCTTTACAATAACTCGCCTTAGACGTAGCCATCACATTACTCATCCATACCGCCAGGTCCACCCTGCCGGCCCATCTGTCTGGCCTTCAGCAACTCATCGCAGAGCAGGAGGTTCGAGGCGATACCCGTGCTTGACGCGACGCAGTTACGTAGCACACGGAAAGAGTCGAAAACACCTTCCTGGATGGGGTCCATGGGCTCACCAGTCGTCAGGTCCAGGCCGACGGTGTTGCCGTTCGACTGCTCGTCTTGCAGAGCTGCCAATGAGTCCTGGACATCGTGGCCCGAGTTGGCCGCGAGGGTCTTGGGAATGACGAGAAGGGCATCAGCGAAAGCCTGAACGCCCCACTTGGCCTTGCCCTTAACAGACTTGCGGAAGGCCTCAGAAGAGAGATGTGCTGCGCAGGCCACCTGGAAGCTACCAGCACCGGGGATGACACAGTTGTCGACGATGGTGTTGTAGACGGACCGCAGACCGTCGCGAACGGCATCCTTTACCTGTGCGATGGTGTGCTGGTTGGGTCCCTTGATGAGGATGGTGACGGACTTGGGGTCCTTGACTTCCTCAACGAAAGTGAACTTCTCCTCGCCGAGCTGGTGCTCGTAAACCAGGCCAGCCCATCCAAGGACATCGGGAGTCAGGTCCTCAACACTATTCTGTGCAGTACCGCCGCAGATAAGCTGAAGACGCTCCATGTTCCTCCGCTTAGCTCTCCGGAGAGCGAGGATGCCATTCTTGACAAGAACATCCAAGCTCAGGGGGTCAATACCCTTCTGGTTAATGACAACGAAGCTCTTGTTGGGGTCGGTACCGCAAACTTGTTGCTTGAGCTCCACGATCTTCTTCAGCTTAGCATCGACGAACTTGCGTTCACTCTCCACCAACTTATCCCTCTGTTCGGCAGAAGAGTAGTAGAAGCCAGAGTTGATCTCAGACTTCTCGTACTCCAGACTCACGTTCAGGGTCAGGATGAACGCGTTCTCCACACGCTTGGGCATGTCGGGGTGTCTGGCACCGTGGTCAAGAGCAAGACCACGGATAAGTCGGGTGTCAGAGGACGTGCGATGTTGCATGGTCATGATCTCAATCATGTGTAGATCGGGCTTCTCGGGAGCTCTGTGGATGGCAAGGACGGCGTCGACGATGTCAGGCGTAAGCTTCTCGGCCAGAGCGCTGTTCAGCTTCGTGCTAAGCGATGTCCGCGCGACGGAAAGGAGGAGTTCACGGTCGATTTTCCGTTCGAGCTTGAATTGCTCGAGAAACTATATACCATCATAGCTTAGTATTGTAGATGACAAGCCATCTAAGACTCTGGTGTACTGACCTTCAGAGACTCGTTCTTCGCAATCTCATAACCATCCGTGATAACACGAGGGTGCAGGCCCTCAGAGATGTGTCGATTTGCCTGCTTCAGAAGCTCACCCACCAACAAGACAACAGATGTCGTTCCATCACCGGTAATATCATCCTGTGCCGTTGCAGCCCGGGCAATCATGACCTTTTGCCTGTATTAATAATTGCGTTTGGGGACGGAGGAGGGAGGTCAAGCTCACAGCCGTAGGGTTTTGGATTTGCTGCACCGGTTAGCATGAGGGTCGATAATTCCTAATTGTAGACATCACTCACCATCTCACGCAGCAGAACATTTCCATCTTTAGTCAACTTGATCTGTTTGCAACATTGTTAGTGAACATGCCGAATCGTTGTACTCGAGGGAATATTTCATACTCCGCCTGCACCATCCACCAACCTAAGATCAGTCAGCTCTGCATCTGTCTAATGCTATTGGAAATTGGAACCTACATCTTCAGGGTACCCGAGGGACCCAGGTTGGACTTCAAGACATCCTGAAGACCCTCACCGGCGCTGATGTTGACTTTCAGGGCCTCCGCTCTCCGCTGCGAACTGTTAGTCTCTGCTGGGCCACTGAGGGGCTAATGTTTCGGGGGGGTAAAGGAAGGAGGATAACTGCGTGCATACCCTCGACTCGGCCTTGGGATTGAGTAACTGCGTTGCAGACATTTCTGCAGCACGAAAGAGCGACAAGCAACAAAACCCAACGAAAGAATCCGGAGAAAAAGATAAGGCTGGCTGGTGCTGTAGGCCCCTAAGACGATGCCCGCGCGGCCACAAACCTGGTGGTGTTTGCCGTCGAATGCGGTGAGCTGTAGTTTTGGCAAAAAGCCCACATTCGATGTTCGCACTAGCGCCGCCGCGAAAAAAAAGAGCTCCGACGGCTCGACTCTGCAATTCTACCCTCCCAGGCTTTTCTTCAACTCCACGTCGGTCCACGGCAGGTCTACGGTCGCATAACCCCGGGAAATTGAGACGCGACCTCGATAAGTCGCACGTAAAGGACCGTTTTGTCTAATTTTTAGGGCCCTTCCCTCAATTTCGCAATGGCCGACTACCTTCTGTTCGAGGGCCCCATGGGCTACTCGCTTTTCAAGGTCGCCCACCAGGGTGACAGCGTTGGAAACCGCTTGAAGGAGGTTCAAGAAGGTGTTAACGACTTGGCCAGTTTTGGTAAAATGGTCGAACTGTCCAGTTTCCTGCCTTTCGAGTATGTGGTTCAATTTTTCCCATAGGATCACTTTCCCGCAGGAATCTGACAACTTCCAGGAACAACAAGCAGGCTCTCAGTGAAATCAACGATGTCTCCGAGGGTGTCGCTTCGGACACTCTGATCTCTTTCCTCGAATTGAACTTGCCCAAGCCTAACAAGAAGAAGAAGGTTGTTCTGGGTCTTGCCGACAAGGCCTTGGCTGGAAGTATCAAGTCTGCCTTCTCTTTCGTTGACTGCGAGACTGGAGACACCAGCGAAGTCGTCCAGGATATGCTTCGTGGAGTTAGACTGCACGCCACCAAGCTGCTGAAGCAGCTGCGTGAGGGTGATATGGACACCGCTCAGCTTGGTCTTGGTCACGCTTACTCTCGCGCCAAGGTTAAGTTTTCCGTTCAGCGCGATGACAACCACATCATCCAGGCCATTGCTATCCTCGACCAGCTCGACAAGGCCATCAACACTTTCTCCATGAGAGTCAGGGAATGGTACTCCTGGCACTTCCCCGAACTCTACAAGATCGTCTCCGACAACCAACGCTACGCGCAGATTGCCTTGTTCGTCCAGGACAAGAAGAGCTTGAACGACGAGAAGTTGCACGACATTGCTGCCCTTGTGGAGGATGATGAGGGTGTCGCCCAGAGCATCATCGACGCTGCTAAGCACAGCATGGGTCAGGAGATCTCCGAGACCGACATGGAGAACGTTATCTCTTTCGCCCAGCGCGTTGTCAGCCTGTCCAAGTACCGCAAGTCCCTCCACCAGTACCTGATTTCCAAGATGAGCGTTGTCGCCCCCAACCTTGCTGCCCTTATTGGTGAGATCGTTGGTGCTCGCTTGATCTCCCACGCTGGTAGCTTGACCAACCTGTCCAAGTACCCCGCTTCGACGGTTCAGATTCTCGGTGCTGAGAAGGCCCTCTTCAGAGCCTTGAAGACCAAGGGCAACACCCCCAAGTACGGTCTTCTGTACCACTCCTCTTTCATTGGAAGAGCTGGTCCCAAGAACAAGGGTCGCATCTCTCGCTTCCTTGCCAACAAGTGCTCCATCGCCTCCAGAATTGACAACTTCTCCGAGGAGCCCTCCACCAAGTTCGGAGAGGCCCTTAAGAAGCAGGTTGAGGAGCGTCTGGACTTCTACGCCACTGGTGCTGCCCCTACCAAGAACGAAGTCGCCATGGTAAGTCAACATAGCTAGTGTGATCGCTAGGACACTAGTGAACCACAAACCCCTTTTCTCCGTAATAATCATACTAATGGTCCTTACAGAAAAACGCCATGGATGCTGTCCTTGCTGATATGGACATTGACGGCGCTGAGAGCGATGCCGAGATGCAGGATGCTGATGAGAAGGCCGAGAAGAAGGACAAGAAGGAGAAGAAGGAAAAGAAGGACAAGAAGGAAAAGAAGGAGAAGAAGGAAAAGGGCGAGAAGGAGGAGAAGAAGAAGAAGCGCAAGTCCGACGTTGGCGAGGGCGAGTCCGAGAAGAAGAAGCGGAAGCACGACAGCGATGCTGAGCCGTCCAAAAAGAAGAAGAAGGTTTAAAAGTACCGAATCTTGGGACAGGAGGGCGTCATTGTCGCGGCGTTGATGGGTTTTCTTTATTATTCTTGCCAACCATGTTCTGTTTTCTCCTTGACGACTTGATGGGCTGGGTATTTTGTAAATTATTCGATTGAGGCCTGTGTCGTGCTAAAATTTGTGTGTAGTTCTTGCTGCCAATTTGATATGGCTTTTTGGTTCTAGACTTATATGACATGGCAATTGGCTGTATGCGAGAAAGTACCAGTAGTCTAAAGGACTTCTACAGTAACCACCAAGTACTAGTAGCTATCTGCAAACCAAGGAACTAACCGTGTCCTGGATATATAATCCGACCCAACAGCGGAGGAATCCTAGCTAACTACTAAGTTAAGCAAATTACAGGGGCGACCATGCTTATTCACCGGGCGGAGGAAGGGGCCGACGACCACCCAGACCAGCTTCCCCCTCTTAACCCTCCCAGCGAGGATCCAACCGCATTGCGCTTTCCCTTCGTTCAGCCACTCCTACGGCTATATATCATGGCCCAAGCATCAGTGCTCTCCGCATTTACTTGGTTATAATGGCTTCGTTTATGACTCTGGTCCAGATACTAAGAAGCTAGCCTATTATTTAGCGCACACTTTCTGTGTCATTCTTTACCATAGCCGGCGCGGTCGATGTGATGCCCCCACCTTCGCAATGAATCCCAGCCCCGCGATGATGCCAACTACCCTGCCGACGATGTCCTCTGAATCGCCTAAGCGTAAGCGAGCATCGTCCGAAGAATCTGACTACTGCAGTCCTTCTGCTTCACCTACATCAAGCGGCTCAATCCCAAACCCTCAGGAATCCAGGATCCGGGACGCAGAGGACTGGGGTCGATACAGCCCGCGAGCGCTAGTCGCTGGTCGCTTGGGGCGATTGGCTATCCGCGGGGATCAACTTTCTACATCGCCAGTGCCGTATGGAGTAGACCAGGGCATAGTCGCACATACTGCACAGTCGGGGAACTGGTCTACCTCAGACGATGATTTCCATGAGCCTCACGCCTTATCCGAAGCGAACTCTTCGATGGAGATCAGTCCCAGCCCAGAGGAACAGTCAGAGTTTGCGGAAGCTACCCAATCTCCTGACCTTGCTAGAACCGGATCACCATCTCCCAGGAAGAGACGATCGACACCCAGCCCTCGCAAGAAGAAGCTCCCTACGACTTCCTCCAAGATGCGCAGCCGCAGTGCGTCACCACCTCTTATGACCGATACAGCTGAGAGCCCACTTACATGGCATGACTCTGAAATTACGGGTCACAACCCGACTGACCCTACTGATGATGGATATGGCTTGAATGGAATTGGTTTCAAACCGACTGCGGCAATGGCCTGGGCTAGGTCAGAGAGGAGAAAGAAACAAGTCGCAGATTGGAGGAGCCGTGAAGCCAGAGAGGCGCGCGAAAAGCGACGAGAACGCCGAGATGGTGCCGACTTTGAGAGGATACGGTCTATCCAATCTGGCGCCATTCAGAAAAGGGTCAAGTTTGACGTCTAGATGCGGGTTTCACATAAGTATGCATATGCGTATGAACCTCCTTCTCTCGAGACACACTTTCTATCCTCAACGATATCTCTAACACTTCCGGCGTTCATTTGTTATTGTGGTTTAATGAAACGGGCGTTGGATTGAAATTATCGACACGAGACATGACATCACAACTTCAAGGTTGGATAGGGCAGCAGCCCCTAACATAGAGAGGAATATGTACTTTTGCAACCAGCCCACTTTATACATAGTACTATACAATGAGATTCCATCCAACTCCAGTACTCCATGCGATGCACAAAAAGCCTACCAAAACTTGTAGTTCGATAGGTTGGTCCAGCTCTTCCGTTTCCTTTCCTCCTCTGCCAAACGTGCGGCTTCCTCGATCTTCTGTTCCTTCTCACGTTGTTTCTTGTCTTTGAGCGCCTTCATCAACTCCACTGCCTGTTTCATACCGTCTAATTCCTCCACGCGACGCCGCTGGCAGAATTCGTGGGCTGCAAGCGCTGTAATAGCGAAAGCACCGACGGCCCAGTTACAGGCGGTCCACATAGAGCGCAGTCCTAAAATTCATCCAATTCATCAGCTACCATGTATTATATTGGATATATTATTAGGATATCCTACCTCCAACCACGCCCCTAATGCCGCCTACACCGAATCCGGCCCCGATTCCGAGCAGCAGCGAGTCACGCGCACACGGCGCTTTATGGAAACTCATGGCATTATCGAGAGACATACTTTTCATAGCCTCAGTGACCGTGATTTCTTTAGCCTTTTGTCCAGACTTGGTGGTCGCTGTAGGCAGCATATTCACGGGCTCTTCGGGGTTTCCGAAGGCATCCCACAGCTTCCCGACCTGCGACTTGGGAAACTCATGCTTCGGCTTGCGGACACCCTGCTGCTCAGGCTCCCTCACTTCCTGAGTAGGGGTAGTTGGGTCCCGCGCATCGTCGGCCATTATGTGAGATCCAATTGTGGGTTTGAGATACTTCGGCGTCGCTCTATGTCCAATCTATGGCCTTATGCGGGCATTTTCTCTACCGGGTAACTATGCGTGGTATACGGATCAACCTTTTATCCGGTACCTCCCCGGTCAGCCAGCAGAAACGGATAATTTCCCCGAGAGGCCCGCGATCATCCAATGACTACGCGTAAAGTAGAAAACGCGAACGCGTCGGAATGGCGTAGGGCAAATCTAGGCTCCGCAACATGCAAGTGGATCAACGACCAATTCAGTTACATTGGAGCGCGCTCAATTGTGTCTGTCAAGAGACGCCCAATTCACAAAGTAAAGAAACTAATATTCACCAAAAGTCAACTATGCGCAGCTTTGTCCTGTGTTAATTACACCATTGCCTTTCCATGTTACGCCTAACTCCCCATCGTCTTGCTCTGCAGTGATCTTCAGCCCCGGCCAGTGGGCGCGTCGCCGTCGCAATGCCTTCAAGAAAACCCAGCAAGTTTGGGAACAAATTCCGGTCGAGCGCGGCCTCCTTTAATCCCAAAAGAACGAAGACAATCGAGTTTTCGTCGCTCCGATCCACCGAGGCAACCTCTCAAGATGAGAAATTCGAGGCGATCCGGCTGGCCAACAGCATCGATGAATCCTTGGGGTTCCCCCGTTTTGAGTCCGGCGAAAAGCGAGTTGGATGGCTCATCAACATGCACAGCACCTCCATAGAAGATCCGAACGTCCCCGGAGGACGCGCCGGCGTGGATTATTACTTTCTCGAAGACGGAGGTGGAAGTTTCAAGGCGACTGTCGAATACGACCCATATTTCTTAATTGCTGTGAAGAAGGGCCGTGAAACTGAGGTTGAGGATTGGTGTCGGAGAACGTTCGAAGGGCTCATCAAGAAGGTATTGCGGGTGGAGAAAGAGGACCTCAAGCTGCCAAACCATCTGCTTGGGTACAAACGGACCTTTCTCCAGCTCAACTTTGCGAGTGTGAGCCATTTATTGGAGGTTCGCAAAACACTACTTCCTCTGGCGGAGAAGAACAAGAAAAACGTAAATGTGATGGATACTTATATGGAGATCTCCAGGTATGTTTATTTATGTGAGGTTCTTTCTTGGGAGCTCGGGCTAACTGAGGTCTATAGCGCAAATGCTGGGTTTGATCTCTTTGATGATGAACTTATTAATGAATCACGATCTAATGCTACTATGAATGCGAGCGATTTCATTATTGATATTCGAGAATATGATGTTCCGTATCATGTTCGAGTCTCCATTGACAAAGGTATGTGCCCGCACCACATGTAGTATCTTCGGTTCGCTAACGGCTTCAAGACATTCGAATAGGAAAATGGTATACAGTAGAGGCAAAGCATGGCGTCATCTCATTGACATGTATAGAAGAACGACTCACGCGAGCCGACCCTGTCGTTCTAGCATTCGATATCGAGACAACCAAGCTACCGCTAAAATTTCCCGACTCCGTGATTGACCAAATCATGATGATATCCTACATGATCGACGGGCAAGGATTCTTGATTACCAACCGTGAGATCGTATCCGAAGACATCAATGACTTCGAATACACGCCCAAGCCAGAGTACAGTGGACCTTTCATGATCTTCAACGAACCCGACGAACGCGGCGTTCTGGAGCGATTTTTCGAACATATCAAGGAAGCGAAGCCTACTGTTATTGCTACCTATAACGGTGACTTTTTCGATTGGCCTTTCGTGGAAGCTAGGGCTAGCGTTCTCGGCATCGACATGTACAGAGAGATCGGTTTCCGCAAGAACAGCGAGGACATCTACCAAAGTGACCACTGCGTTCACATGGATTGCTTCGCCTGGGTGAATCGTGATAGTTATTTGCCCCAGGGAAGTCGTGGTCTAAAAGCTGTTACAGTCGCAAAGCTGGGATATGATCCCGATGAACTCGACCCCGAGCTAATGACTCCATACGCAAGCGAACGCCCTCAGACCCTGGCAGAATATTCCGTTTCCGATGCCGTCGCAACATACTACCTCTACATGAAATACGTCCATCCTTTCATCTTCTCCCTGTGTACAATTCTTCCTATTAACCCCGACGACACGCTGAGAAAGGGTACTGGAACTCTATGTGAGATGCTGCTCATGGTGCAGGCGTATCAAGGAAACATCGTCCTGCCGAACAAGCACAAAGACCCCCCGGAATCTTTCTATGAAGGACATCTACTCGAATCAGAGACTTATGTCGGAGGACACGTCGAGAGTATCGAAGCCGGCGTGTTTCGAAGCGACATCCCTGTTACGTTCAACGTGCAACCTTCTGCGATAGACGAGCTCCTCCGGGATCTGGATGCGGCTTTGAAGTTCAGTATCGAAGTAGAAGAGAAGAAATCGATGGACGATGTTACAAACTACGAAGAGGTCAAAAGGCAGATTGCGGACAAGTTGATTGACCTCAAAGAGAGGCCACACAGGGATGAAGTGCCCTTCATCTATCACTTGGACGTTGCGTCTATGTATCCGAACATCATGATCACAAATCGACTGCAACCTGACTCCATGATCCAAGAGTCGAACTGTGCCGCTTGTGACTTCAACCGACCTGGAAAGACATGCGATAGGCGACTACCATGGGCCTGGAGAGGTGAATTCCTTCCGGCTAAGCGCGACGAATACAATATGATTCGCCAAGCGGTTGCCAACGAACGGTTCCCTGGAAAGCACAAGAATAGCCCGATGAGGTCCTTCGGTGATATGAGCATCGAAGAACAGGCCGGCATTATCAAAAAGCGACTACAGGACTACAGCAAAAAGATTTACCATAAGATTCATGACAGCAAAACAATGGTCAGGGAGGCCATCATTTGTCAGCGAGAGAACCCATTTTATGTCGACACTGTCCGCAGTTTCCGTGACCGAAGATACGATTTCAAGGGCAAGCAGAAGGTCTGGAAAGGCAAGACTGATGCTCTCAAATCTTCAGGCGCATCAGCTGCGGAGGTGGAAGAGGCCAAAAAGATGATCGTCCTCTATGATTCCTTGCAGCTTGCCCACAAAGTCATTCTTAACAGTTTCTATGGTTATGTCATGAGAAAGGGATCTCGATGGTATTCTATGGAAATGGCTGGTGTTACGTGCCTGACAGGTGCTCGCATCATTCAGATGGCAAGAGAACTAGTTGAACGCATTGGGCGACCTCTGGAACTCGACACTGACGGTATCTGGTGTATGTTGCCAGGCTCCTTCCCGGAGAACTTTTCTTTCACCTTGAAAAACGGCAAGAAGCTGGGTATCTCATATCCTTGTGTCATGCTGAACCACCTCGTCCACGGAAGCTACACAAATCATCAATACCAGACTCTGGTCGACCAAGCCACGTTCAGATACGAGCAAAACAGTGAGAACTCTATCTTCTTCGAAGTTGATGGTCCATACAAAGCTATGATCTTGCCAACCTCCAAGGAGGAGGATAAGAACTTGAAGAAACGTTATGCAGTTTTCAACCATGACGGCTCGCTGGCGGAACTGAAGGGTTTCGAGGTCAAACGTCGTGGAGAGCTGAAACTGATCAAGATTTTCCAAACACAAATCTTCCGTTTCTTCCTGGAAGGCACTACTCTTACTGAGACGTATGCTGCAGTGGCCAAGGTGGCTGACCGATGGTTGGATGTACTTTACGAACACGGTGCAACTTTGGCCGACGAGGAACTTATCGATCTCATTTCGGAGAACAGGAGCATGACAAAGACACTTGAAGAATATGGAAATCAGAAGTCAACGTCTATCACAACTGCACGGCGTCTGGCAGAGTTCTTGGGTGAGCAGATGGTGAAGGACAAGGGCTTGAACTGCAAATACATCATTTCATCCAAACCACGAAATACGCCTGTCACTGAACGAGCCATTCCAGTGGCGATCTTCTCTGCTGAGGAAAACGTGAAGCGTTTTTTCTTGCGCAAGTGGCTTAAAGATGACCCTGGCGATATGGATCCTCGTACTGTGATCGACTGGGACTACTATCTTGAGCGCCTGGGCTCCGTTGTGCAGAAGCTCATTACTATCCCCGCTGCGTTACAGAAGATCCGTAACCCGGTTCCTCGCGTCGCTCACCCCGACTGGCTGCAACGGCGGATCAATACCAAGGATGATAGGTTTAAGCAAACGAAGATGACAGACATGTTCATCAAGTCCGATAAGCCGGAGAAGAATCCATTGACAGACATCTCGACGAATATTCTCGACCATCGCGTCCAGCATACAGGTGATCTGGATGAAGCCATTGCCAACTCTACACAGAAGCTCAAGCCATCATCCGAGACTAAGGTCTCCCAAAAGCGAAAACATCCGGAAGGTCTATCGAAAACCTCTCTTGATCCTTTCGCTACCCTTCCCGCGCAGATGCCGTCGATGGCGGATGACTATGTTGGCTTCCTGAAGTACCAGAAGCAGAAGTGGAAGATACAGAAACAAGCCCGAATCCGTCGCCGCCAACTTTTCGGTGAAAGAGCGAACGCAGGTGGCGACTCCTTGAGCAATCTTTTCAGAAACCAGGCCGAATTGCTGTACATCAACACCTGGCAGATTTTGCAGCTTTCCGAGACAGGAAGGCCTGGCATTGTGCGAGCATTTGTTCTCATCGACCGAAAGATCCATGCTCTCACTGTCAAAGTGCCCCGGCAAATTTATGTTAATCTTAAACAAGATTCCCTTCCTGATGTTGACGTGCCGGACTGCGAGGTTGAAAAGGTCACTCACACGTTGCCCAACGGGCATCCTTCGGTCCATCTATTCAAGTTAACATTGTCGGAAGAGACTTATCTTCGCGAAGCGGAGAAGATCGATGTTCTTTTTCAGCACCCTAGCGTTGAGGGTGTTTATGAGAAGAACATCCCTCTCAACATCCGAGCAGTCCTGAAGCTGGGTAGCATTTGTACGTTTGATGAGGAACAGCGAGGTGTTCTCGGAGAAGGCTTGGACCGCGGCTTTGACCTTTCGACCCTATGCCGCACAACCACAGAGCAACCGTATCTCCTGGACTCGCCACTCGC